TTTTCTACATTCAGTGAAACTTCTGAATGAAAAGCTGACATTTGGTATAAGTATTTGTGTTCATCATGTGGGGCAATGTTTTCCTATTTTCCTCAGAAAACAACACCCCAATGTCTATAAGTGGTACTTGATACTGCAAAGAGAGATTTAAGTGTTTTAGTCAACCCATGACTCCCCCACCCCCCATGTATAAATGTCTGCCCACTATAGATTCAGATCTTTGATTGCAGCCCATCAGAGATTTCTGAACTTCTGTTTCAGCTGTCAACATTAGCTGTTCCAAGGGGAGTTAATACTTTAATGGGTGAAATATAACAACAAATTTCTCAGCTGAATTGTAATTCTCTTTTTAGAGAGACAAATATTATATTTTCTATGCTAAGAAAGAAATGATTGATAATTAAGATAAGATTATAATTAAGACAATTATCATAACATAATTGTAGTTATGTTTAGCAATATTTAAATTTGTGTTTCTTTTAGGACTGATTTTGTTGTTGATATTATATATAATCATTTTAGCAAGGGCTATCTTTATATTCATCTGTAATCATTCTGGCCTACTGGGGAAGGAAGAGTACTATAAAAATGAAATAAGTTATTTGATTCATTCAAGTTAAAACTTACGCTGTCTTTGACTATAATTCTGCATAAAAGGTCTCCTTAGAAATTAGTAATTGCTAGAGATGATAGCAGTACAGAAATTGATTGCATTTGCCTTCTTCTAGGATGTTTTTTTGAAACCACTGCCTATGTTCTGATTTAGAATTGCTTAATATAGTGGAAGACATGGGAATTTGTCCTGGATTTCAGAATTGAAATGTGTTCTCAAGAACAGTACTGAATATTAAAAATATCACTTCCTTCTGTTTTACAGTGGTATGTTCAGGCTACCTGTGCTACACAAGGTACTGGTCTATACGAGGGACTTGATTGGCTGTCAAATGAGCTATCAAAGCGTTAACTGCAACTGGATGACTTTCGCACCAAGGACACGTTTGATATAAGTGGTCTAGGCTTGTTACATCAAAATTAGCTGCATCTTGGTTATTATACAGTATCTGGAACTGATTTGGGCAGGATATTACAGCATTTTTACTTATTTTGTTGCCAATTATTGTTCTCCAAGCTATGTTGCCAAGGTAACACTAGGCTTGGATTAAAGAGAAACTCCTTAATTTGGAAAAAAGTGTATCTTTTGATTTTTCCTTTTGTTGTTAGCCTAAATGCCTGAATATAGTTGTGACTTTGAAATCTATTGAATGCTTATTGAGCCCCAATTCAATTAAGTATATTTAAGACCCCTCTTATCTCTAAGTTACCAATCCTTGTTTCATTCCATAAGACAGTCTGCTGACTTAATCTAGCATTCCATTTATATTTATTTCTTTCCCTTATAAAAACACTTCCTGATGTTGCCAAGAATCTTCTAAAACACTATTCAAATCTTCTGCACTGAGGAACATTTTATTAACCCCCCCCTTCCAATTGACCCACATTTGCCTTTGTGTGAACTCAGCCTGATAATACTTACTGTGCTGGTTGCAACAAGCTCATTGGAGTCTTTAAATATTCAGCAGATTGTCTTTTTTTTTCTTTTTGCATGTTGCTTTCAGTATCAGCCTGTTTTGCCCAGTGTATAATAGTTCTGCTAAAGTTTTACTGTTTATTGGTGAACATATCTTCATGAAGAGATTTTGAAAATTCTTCAGACTTGATGGATTAATTTCTTTATAACCTATTCAGAATTATTCCTAATTAAAATGATAAAAATGTATAGCTTTGTTGTATGCTCCTTGAATCTTACGTTTGTGGAACTGATAATATGAATGTGTGACAGATTCTTTTTCAATAAACGGAGTTTTTTCTGTACCTTGAACACAAACAGATCTGAATAGATTTTGAGTTGTTTTCAATTTGGCAAAAAATTAAGATGGGCAGTTAAAGTTGTGTACAACATAACTGATTATCAAAGCTAAATCTTGTAAAAGTATTTTGAAGCTGTAAATCTAAATCCTTTTAAGATGTCCAGATATGAGAGTACTTAGAGTTCAGAATGGTAATAAAGTTCAAACTGCCCAAAGAGTCTGTTTCATTAATGATTGACAGAACACTTTGGTTTGCTAGCAATTGTCCTGTGAGTCCCTTCCACGTAGTCAATTATCTGATGCTTAGTCTGATAGCCGCTTAATTTGGAAATTTTCATATATATCTTCTCAAGATCTGAATTTTCTAATGTCTTTTAAACTCATTTATAACTGGCACCAGAAAAATGATGCATTTAAAACTGAATTTTTAATTTATTGAATTACTTTATATCATTCAAATAATTCTCCAAACTGCTGAATTTACATAATACATACATTAGCTTCATACTTCATATTAAGCCATAATATCTTCTCTGGCTTGTTATACTTTTGACAAATTATGGTATTTAAGAAATTAGCACAATTTGAGAACTGCCATCAGTACTTTGCAAACATGTTGGGATGTAATAGCACTATGTAGTGTCCACAGAATCCATATTTCCATCTACCTCTTCATCCTAGTCATTAATAAAAATGTTAAGGAATATTGGTCTCATGACTGCATGTTTTGGCACTCCCATTTGATGCCTTCTCCAATTTTTTACTTTTAACTGTAAATGTTCAGCCATGTATGTATACATTTAATAATCTTTCTATCCGTTCTATCTACCAGAATGTTATCAGTTATTTTGTCAAATACTTTAATTTTACAACATTCCTATATCTACTCAGAAAATTGTTGGTTATATTAAGCCAATAAGCCCTTGTGTTACTTAATAGGGCTTGCACAGATTAGCATTGTTTCTTTGGCTCATGTTCTCATTCCAGTCTTAATCAAGCAGGAGCATTTAATATTGTCAGGCTATTCAAACGAGGAAAAACTAAATCTGATCTCAAACCTGAAAATAATGTTTAAAAAAAACAAATGGCTCACGCTGCATTCCTTCCAGTTTGTATATCTGAGGCAAGGGTGCCTGAATACCCTCACAGGAAACAAAGGGATTTAATTTTTTTTAAAAAGATGCTGTTCTTAAGAGATAAATTTGCATTTACATCATGGCTTATGGCTTTCTAAAAATTATTGAAATACTATTTTTTGCTGCTCAAAATTGAGATTTTCAACATTGGTTACCACACCTTATTAGATCCTCTATGTTAAATAGTTTTGTATTCTTAGCACACAACGTGGTGTACAAGGTAGTTTTTTTTTAATTGCCATATCCTTCTAAACTGGTTTTCCAAAGGATTCTTGGACTCAACCATTGTGAAGATGCAGCAGTTATATCAAGATGTGTTATATAAGTGGGAGTTTTTAAATACCTGAGTCAAGTATAACTAATTTCAACTGTCAGAAAAATTCTGTGGAGGGTATTTGCCAATTAGAGCAAAAGTTAAGTTTTAGATGATACCAGACAACTCATGACTGATTGGGTCATGCTTTCAGAACTTTCCTTCTCAGATTTCTCAATGCCTTTGACAATGACAGAGCTTTGAATGTACTGCCTTAACTGGAAAAGCTAGGATACATTCAGAGATATATCTGCTTTGAAAATAGCCCATGCTGAACTCTATAGCAGAGTCAAACTTAAGTACAGAAAATAGGTTTTAACATTTGTATTATGTCAAAGTGTTTTATGATGTTTATGTCATTTTAAAACTTTTATAAAACTTGCCAAGTTTCAGTTCCACAAGGGACATGGGTCCCAGATTTTGGACACATTCTGTAAATTAGCCCATTTGAGCTACCTTGTTCAAAATGTTTAGCCCTTTTGTTGCATTGTTTTGCCCAGTTAAAGGTTACAGGAATCAGTTTTAATAGTATATGATACATAGACTGAATATACTGTGGCAATCTGGTTATACAAATAAAGGATCCAGAAACTACATAAATTAACAGACCTGACAGATAAAAATGAGGTATATGTTCATATGGAATACTAAAGCATGGTTAATCTGGTATTCACTAAATTTATCTAGTTTAACAATCTATGCAAATTGACATAAAAGTAGCCATAACTATGGTTGCATGCCCTTGTGCCATAAAGTAGCTAGCTATAAGATAGTCTTATCTTACACAAATTAGGGCAATGAAATGGGGTGCCAACATCCTCCATTATTAGTCAGTTAACGTAAATTGTGAGAAGTAGACCTAGCATTGTCACATGATCAGGGACACAGACCAAACAGTTAAGCGATTTATATGGTCACCTATCTCAAATCTGTAACTTTGGACAGCTAACGAAGATTCAGGATTTAATGGTTCTGGGTGCAGAACATACTTAACCAGGTTACCAGCAACACCAGTATGTTGATCACATCTGGACATTCATTATCTTTTGTTAATAAAGGAGACAATTTACCCTTGCACACAGGATTAACAGTACCTTCTTAACTTGGTCTAGTGAACCAGTCTGGAAGAGGGTTAACTGGAGCTTAATTACCTTTTAATTAATCTAGCGAGAGGACACTAGAGGTTAGCCCCATCTCAAAGATGGGGCTGCTGCAGCTACAGTACCTCTTTAATTACTTGTCTTTGCTTAAAGTGAAATAAGTGGGGTTGTCTTCCATTGAGTCTTTGTTGCTTAGACCTTGCTCAAACCATGAAAATTCTTTTTAAGCTTTCTAAAACAGCAGGAAGCAATAGTCCTTAAGCTCCCCTAAAGGTGGATTACCATTGATGAAAATCACCACTCCCTAGCAAAATCAGTCTCTGTAATTGGAAAAAAAAAATCACTGCCCATGCATACCATATTACTATTATTTAAACCCAAGTTATTTTGGTTTATATGAGTAAGATCTTTTCCCTCGATGTAGTGGGAACTGTCAGAATATTTTTTTGAATCTTTAATACAGTCTTATAAAGACTGGCTATTCCCTCAACATGTTAGTAGCGACTGATTGGCAAATATCAGTTTAAACAATCCAGTCTTACTCCTTATTTTAAAAGTCATCTGAAAATGAAATAGGACGATCATAGTTTCAAATTGTATTGATTCTGTTCATTAATAGAAGAAAAATATAGCACTGGTACATAAGAACGCTGTTATAAAAAGTATGACCACTTACAAAGAATTATAAATGAGATATAATTGTGATCAAATAAGCATTCCAACTGAATTTTTCACAAGTAGCACACATTTCCGAAAATAATGAGATTATTTCCACTTTATATCACATATTAGTGCTATATGATCTGATGGGTGTGAAACACTTGGTAAGGCCTGGTGGGTGGTTACTTCTTCATGGCTTGGCAGTGGAATTACCTGTTCAACCTCCAAAACATTTGCATCAATGAAAATATAGTCCAAACATCCATGAAACCCTCCAACATAATTAGTGTAGGCTGGTTCTCCACAAGCACTTTTAAGACCGAACTGGTGGGTTAGAGACATAGCAAACCGTTGCTCTTTAACTTCTGAATCCCAGCTCTCATGATCTTCGGTAACACTACCGCTATTGACAAAAGTATATGTTCCAGTTGATGGTGTGGCATTAAAATCCCCACAGAGGATGAGAGGTGTAGCAGGATAGATGTCATTGATCACATGCTTAATATGGGATAATGCTATTGCAACTTGAATTAGACGGATATTTTCACCTAAAACAAAAGAAAGGACTGTTATGTTTAGTCAATGGGTCTAAGGTTTCAAATAATGTAATATGCAGTCTTAATATTTTTTAAAGCAAAGCCCCGAGTTGAATCTGACTCCCAACTATAATATAGAAATGGTTTGCCATTGCCTTCTATTAGGACAGAGGTTTCAAATTTGTAGCTTTCCATGTCATACTAGGTAAACTGCCACACTGATACACAGTTGGATGGTGACAGCCAAAATATATCAGCAACTTGCAAGTCTTAGACAGGCCTTATGTCTTCTCATTTGGATAGAGTATGGCTCTGCATCTAAGATGGAAAGCCTGACGGACAGCAACACATATACTGTACTGAGGTCACAGCTCAGCCTGGAGCTTGTCAGCTTACCAGCAATAGCAAGAAGCGGCAGGCAGGGCAGGGATAGGGCACAGCCAATTGCTGTTGTCCATGGGAAATGGCACAAGTCCATTTTGGGAGATGGTGACAGAACCAAACAAGAGGCCAACAATTCCCTTCAGAATAGATTTCTCTATAATTAATTTTGACTTTATGATTTTGTTTTTAATGATTTTTCTAATGTTTTGTTTTTGTTTTTAACTTTGTACACAGTTCAAAATCATATAAGTAAGATGACAGCTATACAAATTTATCAAATAAACGAACATCTCATTCCCAGAAATTATACTTTGTTCTGTTGTGGTCTCATTCCAATTCTACAATTGATCACCTGGCACTTTATTATTCCATATTCTAACACCTTTTAATTTTATTTACATACACATACACTTTTAAAACCCTGATCCACTTTGTGCTGCATCAAGCCTGGACTGAGTTCTTTCTAAACCTTTAAACTTCCTACTTCCTAACCCACAATGCTGCAGGCACTTGTGTGGTCTCCATCAAAAGAATGTTAGGTAGAAGACGTGGGCTGTTTCCTTTCAGGAAGGTTGCAGTTGCTGGGAGGCACTTAACCTGTACCAATGGTTGGGTGGTGCAACTGTCACTCAGGACAGCTTACAGGCACCCAGCCGTTGGATTTTTCAGGCTTCTTGGACTTTTCTACTCTGCCATCATCTGCCACCTTCCTGCAGGGTTATCAGAGCCCATTTCAGTGCTATTGATGTTCTTGGGGCCATTGCTGCTACTGCATCTGCTGGTCTGGCTGACATTCTACACTTCTTCCCCTGGCAGCTGCTTCCACTGCTACTGCTTTGCTGATTCTACCAGTTCTGCAAACTGTGGCCCACAATTAGTTATTCCTCTTGGCTCAGCTCCCCTGCTCCCAGTTCTTTCTGTACAGTACTCTTTTCCTGTACTTCTCTTTAACTTTTTATTTTTCTTTGTTTCTTCCAACTTCCATTCTTCAATGTTCCTTTTCTCTGACTCTTTCAGTTTTTCATACTATCTCTTCCTTTCTTCAATTAAGTATAGTCAAGGGCCCTTAAAAGGGGAAGAGGGAAGTGTTCCTTTATTTTACATCCCTCCTCATACTATAGAATGTATTTAATAAATTTTAATCTACCTAATAATACTCTAAAATTGAGCTACATTTGCAGAATTATATACAATAATTAGGAGGAAGTAACACAAAGAAAACTAAGGACAAATATGTTTTTTTCCTCTAAAGAGAACTACTGGGATACTTTCTAGCAGTTCTCTCAATTAATCCAAGAGTTTATTCTCTGCTACTGTAATACACATCCCAAAGGAATCAAGTAATTATTCTATTCGCTGTTTTGAAATGTGACATTTCAAAACATTTTATTCCATGGTATTCAAATAGCTCCAATTAACAATAGATTGTGTGCTTATGAATTTATGAACACTACAATAATCTAGACTACTTCTTTGGAAACCCCTGGCGTTCCTGCTTTAGCTTAATAAGAATGTTTCTGCAGCTGGAAAGGACCTCATCTCAATCCTGTGGCAAAAACCAGCACCACACAGGCTTCCAGTTCTGCAATTTACCAATTCTCAATTTATATCCAATCCCAGAATTCAAAATACAAGATATAACCTGCTTAAAAAGTATCAGAAACTAAAATTACCTTTTGGGTGCCAAAACAAGTGAGTGTTGGCTACACAAATCTTTCTTGAAGAATCATTTTGAGACTGAAGGACAGAAACCTGCAAGAAAAATGTTCATGAATTCTGATACCTCACAATACTGTATATAGTATCTAAGTTAGGGAAATGATAATGAGCATAGTAGTTCAAATTCTTTCCAACCTCTAAAAAAATAGGTCTGGCGTTAAGGCACAAGTCTAGCAATAAAGAAGGAGGGGGGGTGTCTTTAAGTATAAGATGTCATATGATTGCTTTGTTCAATAATCACATTCTTGGCATTTCTGGTTGTGAGTTGAAGGGCTACCTGCCAGAGGATTTCAATCATGTGAAGCTGAATCTTTTTAAGAGCAAAGAGTTGCCTACTGGAGGAATTCAGTCTGGTGCTGGGCTGAAAGCCTCAGGCAAGCAGCCCTTTTGGTCTCCAAAAGACTCAATTCTACATAGAGTTGAAATCCTCCAGCAGACAGTCTTTTTGCTCTCAGAACTGTTTCCCTAAGGAGCGTGGAGTGGATATCCTCTGACATGATGCTCTTTCAGCCAACTCCAGAGACCAAAAGGAATCCTCTCTGTAGGTGACAGCAGCTTGCAATCTTCCCTGCTGGATTCTTGATTTTCTGAGAAATTTGGAGGACAATATTGTAAACATCATTGTGGGGTGTTTGGCAACCAGTCCTAAGTGTGAACAGGTTGCCACGCACCCAAATCATAATCACTTGATTGCAGAATAGGTGTGCATATGTATGAATATGTGACATTTTGCAATGGCCAGAAGTGCCACCCTTTTTACAGTTGTTAAACAAATAGTTGTAAGTCAAAGACTATCTATGGAGAAGTCTGCAACATTCCAAACTACTGCTTACTTTTTTCTTCCATAGTAATATATGACATTTTTCTCCATAAACCTGGTTTGATCCAACTTATCTTATACACAAATCTTATTGTTGCCTTTTCCCCACACACCAAATTTGGCTCCATTCTATTTTATTTTTAAAATAGATTTATTTTACATTTGATTGGGTTAAAAAAAAATAACATGTCTGAAAGCATGCAGCATATGGCTTCTGGAGTTACTTGCAATCCTCAGTTGCAGCATTCCCATCACATGACCATGAAGGAGGCAGATTTACAAATGAAGCATTTCAAGCCACAGTACAGTTGCCTCTCTGGGAAAGGTACATCAGATGAATGCTTTCTGGATCTGTTGTTCTCTGCTTCTCCCAGCCAGATTTTTGCACATAATTTAACTTTTACAACATCTCCCATTTTTTTGTTTCCAGAGTTATCCTGCCGACAGTCTGAAATCCCTTTAGAAAATTTATTTTCCCCATTCAAAAGAACATCAAATAAAAAAGGACTAACTATTTTATATTTGAGGGGCTGATTATTACGCTCCTCCTATACAGTATCTTAGTAATTTTCTACCTTGGTCAATTTGTGAGGACTTTATCTCACTCTTCTTTTTCCTCCAAACCATATTTTTAAGTTGTTTTCTTAACAAAGTAAAGTAAAAACTGCTTCAAGATACCAAAAGATGCCAGTTTGGAGAATTGAGACAGTTCTGGCTTTGAATGTCTTAATGAAAGTCCCTTTAACTTAACCTGCAAACGCACTTCCCCACCATTCCTTTAGACCAGGGGTCTCCAACCTTGGCAACTTTAAGCCTGGTGGACTTCAACTCCCAGAATTCCCCAGTCAGCTTTGAAATTCTGTGAGTTGAAGTCCACCAGGCTTAAAGTTGCCAAAGTTGGAGACCCCTGCTTTAGACAAGAGCAGGGGTGAAATCCAGCAGGTTCTGACAGGTTCTGGAGAACCAGTAGTGGAAATTTTGAGTAGTTCGGAGGACAGGCAAATACCACCTCTGGCTGGTCCCAGAGTGGGGTGGGAATGGAGAAAAGAGCCGAGGTGGCGCAGTGGTTAGGGTGCAGTACTGCAGCTACTTCAGCTGACTGCTAGTTCAGCAGATCAAATCTCACCGGCTCAAGGTTGGCTCAGCCTTCCATCCTTCCAAGGTGGGTAAAATGAGGACCCAGATTGTTGGGGGCAATATGCTATTTAGTATACTGTCTTTGGTGTAAGCCATCCAGAGTCCTCGGAGTGGGCAGCATAGAAATTTGAATAATAAATAAATAATAAATACATTTTGCAATATTCTTCCCCCAGGAGTGGGGTGGGTATGGAGATTTTGTAGTATCCTTCCCCTGCCACGCCCACAGAACCGGTAGTAAAAAAATTTGGATTTCACCACTGGACAAGAGGGAATAATAAGGCATACCTGTAGAGCGGATGATCGCTTAAGCAGGCTTTCCTCAACCTGCGGGCAGGTAGCCACCTTGTCCCGCAGCTCTCTGTGCAAGGGATCTTCAAGCAGAGCCTGATTGAAGGCAATGTCGTGCTGACTAAGGAGATGGAATTTGTCCCTTCGGTAGAAAGTGGCCAGGCCTTCGTGCTGCCTCTCTTTGATCCGGAACAGCCCCTCCAGGCCGAAGGCGTCAAGCGCAGGCCCCAGGCTATCCACAAAGACCGACTTGTCTACCTCCTGCAGGCAAATGATGTCGGCGTTGTAGCCGGCCAGTTCTTTTTTGAGGAGGTTTTGCCGGTAGTCGAGCTCCAGCGAGTAAGGAGCACAATACGGATAAAGGACGGTCCGCGAGAGCTCAGTCCTGGCGTAGATGTCGGCCAGGATGTTATAGGAAACCATGCGGATCAGTCCCGGCCCCGCCACTTTCTTGGTGTAGAGATGCCGCGCCTCGAAAGTGCAGGCGCCCGGGCCAGCCTCCACGGGGCCTACGCTTTCCGCCTCGCGGGGCAGCCCGTAGCGCCTCTCGCCGCTGCCCGGGATACACACGAGCTTCAGGCGGCGTCCGATCTGCGCGTTGGTCGGCATGAAAACGCGCTCGGATCCGGCCGGGGCTTCCACCCAGTTGCTGCTCGCGGCGGCCGACGCCGTTTCAGCCGGCTCGATCTTCTGCTCGTAATACCAACGGAAGAGGCAGTCCCGGGCGGAGCCGAACTCGACTTGGAGCTTGGGGCACACGGGGAAGCCGGCCATGAGCGAGCGCGGGAGCTGCAGCTCGGTCAGCATGGGCGGATTGCGCTCCACGCGGTAGCGGGTCTCGCCGATTTGCAGCACCGAGCCGTCTTTCCAGGCCTCCTGGTTAGGCACGTCTTCGGCCACGGCTTCCCCGTCCTGGGAGAAAAGGCGAACGGGGACGAGCTCAGAAGGCGTCCCCGGCGTCCCGGGGTCGGGCTCGCTCTGCGCTTTTTTGCTCTTCTTGGCCTTCTTGGCGTGGCCTTTGGTGACGTTGTTGGCGATGCGAGCCAGCGCCTGGCCCAGAGGCTCCGTTTGGTCTCGGTGCACATGCCGGGTCTTACCGTCCTGCAGCACGATGGAAACGCTGAGCTTAGGCTCCGCCGGGACGCAGCGCACCACCGCCCGCTCCATGGTGAAGGTAGGCAACCACCAAGCCAGCCGCTGTTTGCCCGGACGCCTTAACAAGGGAAGGGCCTTCAAAGTGCCCAGCAGACGCCGCAAGAACCCGTAGCTGACACCATTCATTTGCTCGTCTCCTCGCTCGCCCCGCAGCACAGAATCGCTTGGGCCGCCCTGCCCAGCTCCGCCAGGGCCAATGAGAAAACTCGCAGCGAGGGAACAGGAAGGAGGAAGCGCGAGCCGGGAAAGGAAACCAAGCGCTTGCCGGAAATGGCGCCCGGACCCGAAGGGCTGTTTAAACGAGGTAGCGGAACGACAAAAGAAAAGGGGAGGAGAGTTAAAGGACCCGGAAGATGGAGGAGGTCAGGATTCTGTTTAGGCGTAGCCCTGAACGTACCGAGCACCACTGACCGGAAATAGCCTTTCCCCCTCAGTGGCTTGCTAGAGGTCTTCAAACTTGGCAGCCAGCTATGCTGGCTGGAGAATTCTGGGAGTTGAAGTTCACAAGACTTAAAGCTGCCAAGTTTGAAGACCTCTGTGATAGAGGATGAGGCTTGTAGGTTTGTTCTTTTCTCTATCCCAGAACTGGATGAGTAGTGTTAGGCGCTTGGGAATTTGGTGTTTTAGTAGAGTATAAAACTCTATTAAGGAAGGCCAGGTGCCAGAACAATGGTTAGCAAAGTTAGATGCAAAACTTTGCTGTATGGACTGGAGCTTAGAAGCAGCATACCTACACTACTGGATTGTTATCTACTTATGCAATAAAATCTAAATCTGTTATCCATGTCAGGAGCTCTAAAGCACTAATACAGAGAGGTAAACTGCTCTTTATGGTTAATATTAAATAGTGGCAAAACAATGTTAAGCATATTAATTTTTTAAACAATTTACTGCAAATCAGAAAAATAGGGGCAAAGAAACTGAAGAGGGACTACTTTTTCAATTATTTGGTAGAAGTACAAATTATTAACTCCATTTTACTTGGAAATATTTAAATATTACTGCAAAGAAATTAAGTCTAGTAATAGTTTTAAATTAGTTTGACTCCTACCAGTAGTAACCAGGCTAGAAAACAGGAGACTGTTAATTCTAGTCTTATTTTAAGCATGAAAGCCAGCTGCGTGTCTTTGGGCCAGTCTCAGCCCAATCCACCTCACAGGGTGGTGGTTGTGGGGAAAATAGGAGAAGGGAGTATTATGTATGTTTGCTGCCTTCAGTTGACTATTAAAATAAGGGAGGGATAAAAATTAAAAATAAAAACTTTATAGACCTGTCCATGAAAGTTTTCATAATGCTGCGATTTTCTGAGTCTGTACACATGTAAACTGGATTCACATTTTATACAATGTACACCTTTAATCTTTTAAAAATGTACTGTGTTTGGTTTTCTTTGTAATAGATTGTTTAACGAATGGATAAGTATTATCCACTTCCATAGAGACAATTTTTCAGAGACAAGGGACTTCTCAGAGTACATTATGCTGTAGGAAGAAAACCCACTTGCAACTGTAGGAAGGGAACACCACCAAGACAGTGCCAGGGCCAGAAGGACATAATCAAAAAAGCAAAGACCACAGGCATAGGAAAAATGACCTTCCCAAAATAGAACACATGAACATCAGGGCCATTTAGGAACAAAAGAGGACCCAGGGAAATAGTACACACAAAAGACTCAGGACATGCCAGAAAAGGAACTATCAAGACAGCAGAAACTAGGAAAGCAAAACAAAAGGAATGGCAGAGGATTAGCAAAAGGAAAAGATTTAATCAATAGCCCAAGCAATCTGATAAGAGTCAAGGGGTAAGGGCTTACCTGATAACAACTTGATCAGCTTAAGGCAAGGAGCGAATAATAAGAACAGAAGGGAACAAAAGAACATGAGACCAGATAGCTCAGACACCACCCAGTTTCAAGTAGGGAAAAACTAGAATAAGAAAACAGGGCAATCCAAGAACACACACACAAAGGGAAGACCCACAAAAGTAACAAAAGAAACAAAGAATTTCCTTTGTACCAAAAAGTATAAGAATGCATGCTTACCTTGTAACGATGTCAGCTCACCCAGGAACGCTGGTCCGCGACATCGTTCAATCTGACTTCCTGAAAAATAAAGAAAACTTGCTTTCACGCAACTTGCTTCTCTCACGGTTTTGCGCGGCGCCGAAACGCTCTCCCAACCGGGAAATTTGAATCCCCGGGGAGGGGAAACCTCTCCTCCCTTCTAACACAATTTAGGCATCTCCTTTTTTTCTACCAGGTAACAGCCTCCCCTAACAGAGCTAGAGACAAAAGCATGTCTCTCTGGAAATTCAACCAGCACTAGCAAGCAAACATAAAACAGAATCCTCTCAAGATAAGGGAACTCTTTCCTCATAATACATCATAATGCCAGATCCCCCATAAAAATTCCACACCAAAGAGATTTACACATCTAAGTTCACACATCCCACAGGACAATGAATGAATGGGCCTCACATATCCCCAGAGTAGGAACATCTTAATTTACACATCTAATGTATTTCATATCAAAGTCCATTACTTCATGATTTTTTTTTTTAAATTTGATTTATATGCCGCCCTTCTCCGAAGACTCAGGGCGGCTTACAATGTGCTCAGCAATAGCCTTCATCCTTTTGTATATTTATACAAAGTCAGCTTATTGCCCCCACAAACTGGGTCCTCATTTAACCTACCTTAGAAAGGATGGAAGGCTGAGTCAACCTTGAGCCTTTGGAGAGATTCGAACCAGCAGTAAATTGCAGGCAGCTGTGTTAATAACAGGGTGCTTTAAACCACTGTAGTACCAAGGCTGATTAAAGTCCATTGTTGCCATAAGTACTACCATTCTGAGCACTCTAAATTCATAGTATACCTTTTGATTGCTCTACTGCATGTCATGCTATCGAAATAAAACTTTGCTTCTACTTCAAGCAGTTGTCCTGCATCCTTCATCAGGTAACGTGGTTTGGAATAGGACCAAGAAACTTTTTAATCTACACAGGATATCTGAGATGTTAATTTGTTGTCAGTGTTCACACATTGAAGATATACTGCATAAGTAATGGTGGACAACTTTTTTGACCCAAAAAAGGGTACCAGATATGATGGAATAGAGCAACTGTGATAAACCAGTTGACCACTTATTCAGTTTGTATTCTGCCAAGAGTCAGATTTATCCATTATATTTGTTATGCTCAACTTCCACGTCTGAAACAAGTTCAGTTTTAAGTATCAGTCACTGAAGATCAACTGTAGATGACAGCTGTTGTTTTCCTATTCAGCTTCTGAGTTTTCCAGAGTGTCATTGTAGGAAATAGACGCACCTTTGCCCTGTTAATAGAGCACTTACGTTCAAGTCAAGGCATTTTACAAATAAATCCTTGTGTACTGTATACAAATATGCCAATGTAATTAGCTGATAAAATAAAAAGATAAATAAAGCTGATAAATAAAAAAATAAAAAGAAAAATAAAGATCAGGTAACTTTCATTCGAACTAGTTTTGTTTCATTTGTTTCAGAATTTGTATCTAATCTTTGTATACTTGGGTCATGAACAGTACACATTAGGGAATGTATAATAAAACAAAGTGAATAGGAATAAAAACACCTCAACAGCAGTATATGAACAGGTCTAGCAAACAGGTCACAGAAAAAAATGTTTGCTGTGATAAAGTAATTTTATTTGCATACTTAGAGAGCAAAGAAATAGTTAAATTCTTGGAAGACTGATTGATAATTGATATCAGTTAGAGCTTGTTTTTGTGCTTTATCGTCCAGCACTGTGTCACAGTGGCAATTTAGTGATGTAATTCTTTTTGAAGACAATTTTGAGGCCAATGTAGGGAAACCATGGGAATAATAGGGCCTCTTGAACTCCTAAATTTTGAAGCTGACAACATGACAAAAACACAAAGTTGCAAAACTCACCATGATTATTCAGGCATCAAAAGTACACACCACCAGGGACATGTATTTATCCTCAGAGTGAAGAATCTTTCTTCAGTTCTTCACTTTTTATAGTAATCAGTCTGAAGAAACTTAACTCCACTGATTCTGCATCTGAATCTGAGTAGCTTCTTGTTCCATCCTTCTTGAACTTATTTCCATGGAACACCAATAACACTTTTGAACAAATATGTTGCTTTGACGAATCCTTGCATTGGTTCACATTGTATCCATTCAGCAAACTAAGGATTATAATAGTACTTCTTTTTATGTATCCATTCAGCAATTAGATTCTTACAGTACCTCTTTATAATCCTATACAATAAAGTTTAACTTTTCATATTTGTGTATGTTGGAAGAGAGAGTGAAGTAGAGAGGTACAGTCCGAATGCCTTGCTTCCTTTAATCTCCAAAAAGAGCCAGATAATATTAGCTTTTGCCAGGCAATACCAGATAAACAGTAGGGAGCTAGATGAAGTAATATTTGGGTCTAGAGTATGACAGTGCCTTATACTTCAATTTATGTTTTACTTTTTTCTCCAGAACCTTAACCCAGCTTACAACAGTGAGATGAAACTCACACTCTGAAAGTCAATCGGGTTTTTAAAATAATTTTTTATTGAGTTATAAAATAAAATAAGATACAAAATACAAAATAGGAAAATAAAATATATAGGAAAGCAAATAGAAAAACGGTGGGGAGGAAAAGGGGGAAGAGAAGTGAGGAAAGATAAGAAGTGAGGGGGGAAAGAAACATTGACTTCCCACTCTCTGTTGCAGTAAAATAAGGCATTAACATCAAATCACAACTTTTTGCTTTTTCATAATAATATAAGCAAGCCATCTCTAAAAGATCTGAAAGCCATTCAGTTCCAATCGTTGAGGGAAGAGCTGAATTTGAGTCTCAGTACATCTGAACCACAACAGCATACTGGCTTTTACATACTCTTGCTACGTAAGGGGTCGTCAGAATAGCACTATTTTATCGGTTCAATGTTTTTTAAAAAAATCCCAATTCATCGCCTTGAAGTGATATTTCGTTTCTCGTCACCCTGCTTTTAACGACAACGTCATTAACACTTCCAAAGTTAGTCCAAATGTTGCTCGTGGGGCTCCTCTTATAATAAGAGTTCAACGGCTAACATAAGTGGCAGCAAAGTGTGTCTGAGCAAGATTAAGACGCCTTTTCCTCGCGGCGCTCGTTTTTAACTGTCCTTCGGGAAAGGCAGGAATTCAAAAATAAAAGAGGCGCATTTGGCACGGGCCCAACGGTGCGTCCCTTTTGGAGAAATAAAGCAAAATCAACCGCCTCCGTACAGCGCTTCCACCTCCCGGTTTAAGCAGCGAGGAAACACCCTTCCCCCAGCTAAGCCTCAGGCATCGCGAGCCCTCCTCGCGCGGCGGGTGAATTTGAAGCGGGGGGCGGGAACCGTCCGCCAAACAGACTGGGGGTGGGTGGGGCCCTACCTCGTTCCCATAGCAACCAACGCCTTGTTGACAAGCCAGTGCCGGCGCTTACGGAATTGGACGCCGGGCCTTCTTGCCTTCGTCGCTTCCCTTTTCTCGGCTAAGCCCAAGCGATCCCATCATCCCTGAGAGAGGTGAGGGGCCCAGAAGGTGTCAAGACGACTGGGCTCGGCCGGATGCCTCCCAAACGTGGCTGCAGAGCGAGAGCGAGATAGAGATATATTTCAAACAAGGGGGTGTTTTATGGCTCCAGGATTGCAGCTAGCATTCCTTCTGCTGCCTGCTTGGAGACTTACTGTATTTTCCGGGATAGGGCAAGGCAGCTGTTGCTACAAATGAAGCTGCCCTGCTCTTCCTACAAAACCAACCCACTGTTGAATTCAGTGCAACTTTTTCTTCCTATATAGATGCTGCTGATCTCGGAGAGGCGCTTGAAATTAACTGAATTTACCTATACTCCCATTGCAAGTTTGCAAGTGCGGGGTGGGTGGGGGTTTGAATAGAAACACCAATCTTTGTGAACTTGCTTTGTGATTTTTTTTCCCCCCTTGGGGAGCCCTTTCTCTGGAATGAGAAGCCGCCTAGAGCCAGCCGCCTGTACACCGTTGTGGTCGGATATAAATGTGTATAAATAGATTGTGTATCTCAATCTATAGTGTTTCTTAAACTTTTCTCTTTGAGGACCCCTTTCTATGTTTAAAATGATGGAGGCCCTCAAAAGATATTTTGCTTATATGGGATTTATATTTACCATATTAAATATGGCTGCATTGCCTTCCACTAATGCTTCTCACAATTGCTTGATGGGATTTTAGTACTGAATTATTTTTCAACATAAGCCAGCAAATAATTTTGATTTTGTGGAATCTGAAGGACCTCAAGGATCCACGCTTTGAGAAACACTGGCATAGCTCAATTGCTGGAAATGGAAGCAAAAATCCTGTCTTATTGTTATTCCCTATTCATTGGTATTCGATACCATATTGACCAGGTATCTGAATGGTTTGTTACACAGTCAGCCAGATTTTTATCTGACTTTTTTATCTACCTCTATAGAGTCCTTCCCAAGGACCTGGAATAGGCAGATGTTGATATTTTATGGTGTTAGAGGTATCATCACAGGATGTATTATTTACATTGCTATTATTGCTAATTGTTAGGTTATTTTCTTATATATTTCTCTAACTTCCCCCTTACAAATGTTTTTGAAATGATTGGCCCTGTTCTCACATAATACTGCAGCTTACAAATATTGAGCATATCGGCAAGCTGCACAAAGTACATGAAAAGTTTCTCCTCTCATCCAATCAAGGGAAAGAACAAGCCAGATTGTATTTTTTTTTTATTTAATTGATTACTGATTTGTCTTTACATGTTTTATCCTAGCTGGTAAAGTAGATGAGCTCTATTCTAGGTTCTGCTTCTTGATCCATGTCAAGAGTGAGGGATACTAGAAACTCTTTTTTTAAAAATACATACATGTATACCTTCATACGAAAGTACTAATCACAAGTTCTTGCTTAAAGTTAGGGTCATATTCAGGAATCCAAAGCACTTAATTAAATCAATGATCCTGAAAGTTATTAGTTTCCATTATTGATTGGAATTTTGAAAAAGAATAGTATCAATTAAATGAAAATGAATAATAACACTGCACTTATCAACATGGAATTACTACATATTATATATTATGTTTTGACTTCCAGCCATCTCTGCATAATCAGTAAATTAACATCTTTATCTATATTAAAATGATTGCCATAATCTGATCTTTATGAAAATTAGTTTAATAATTGTACCGTTTTTTTCTCTGTCAAAAATACTTGCTTTTATTTTAGATGTCAGCTCCAAGTAAATCAACAAACACTCCTGATGAAGATGAAGATGTATGGAACCTTCAATTACCACCTATAGCTCTTCCTTCCACATCTAAGGAGTTGACTGAAAAACAGAAGAAATTGATGAAATACCGAAGAGTATCGGAACAGCAGAAGATGCTTAACAAAATCATGTAACATCTCTCTTTCTGTACAGCAATTATTATGGAATGGTAGTGGTTGTGCTTGTCTTATTCTCTGTTCTAGGGCTCAAAAGGCAGTTTGTAGATTCCTACCTGACACACATGTCTTGCATACTTTGCTACTGATACACCTGCAAATTGCTGGATATAAAATATTAGCAGATGATCATGTTTAATTCAATAGCAAATGCTTTACCTAAAAATGTACAGAAAAACAGATACTTAAAAGGTAAAATATCCAACATAAGCTGAGCTTACACAATACAATGGTATAAACCATGGCTCATGGTTGCAGGCAGTCCTCAATTTAAGACCATTCACTTAGCAATTGTTGAAAGGTACAGTGTGGTGAAAAAAGTGACTTATGACTGGTCCTTGCACTTACAGCCGTCATAGCATCCCCTTGGTGGTTTGATCATGATCTGAGTGCTTGGAAACCAGCTTGCATTTACAACAGTTGCAGCATCTTGGTGTCACATGATCACCATTTGCAATCTTCCCAGCTGGCTTCTGACAAGCAAAGTTCCCCCAATGGAAGGGAAGGTTGCAAGTGACCTCCTGTAATTGAATCCTTCCACCTTGCTGTTAGTCATTCTCTTTTTGTCTTGCCTTCCACCTTTCCCAGCATTATAGTCTTCTCAAGGCAGCTAGATCTTTTCATAATTTATCCAAAATTTGAGCCTGGTCATTTGTGCCTCCAATGAGAACTCTGGATTAATTTCTTTAATGATTCAGTTGATTGTTTTATGGGCTATCAATAGAATTCTCAGAAATCCTCTTCAACACCAAGGTGCAAAAGTATTGAATATCAATATGTTTTCTATCCTGCTTTTTCCAATGCAGATTTCTCTTCCATAGACACTCAGAAGGAAAACTTTTGCTTACACAGTCCTGGTAGTTGTAGTTATAGGCATATCTCCACATCTGTATATTTTTTCCAAGACCTTCATGCTACTTTTCAAATGCTAGTCTAAGGCATATCCCTTGATTGTTGAAGCTTTATGTCAGGCATTAAAAGACCAGGTCCGCACGTGAAGTTTCAATTAAACTGATTTATTGCTAAAAGCCTATGTATATAAGGGTTTTTTCTCAGACAGTACCTTGTTAGAGTTAGATAAGGATCAACAGCCTCAAAGGGAGGTTGGACTTAGTTTGTTTGTGGCTATGTAAGGATTCTAGGCTGATCCCTCTTTTCACCCACCCCTAGGTTCTGCCATTCCTTCTCCTACACTTTTACCATTAATAGATGTTTCTAATAGGCAGAAGCTATCATCTTCTTCAAAATGTTCATTGTCAATTGTAAGGCTTCACTTGTTGGGATTACTTTAGTTGTCTTTATACTAGTTCATATTTTTCCAAACATTGCTGCATATTTTCTTCAACATCATTTCTGTACTCTTCTACATTTACCTTGTTTTTAACTTGTCTCTTTCCATCTCTGATGTCTTTACAAATGTCATTGTAATACGGCTTCTCATCTCCCCTGTTTGAAATACCGTATTTTTCGGTGTATAAGTCACACTTTCCCCCCAAAAGTGGGTGGAAATGTCTGTGCATTTTCTACAGCAAATGTTGCCAAAGCCCTGCCCACCTGCCAGCCCCCACCCTTTGGCCTCTGCCTCCCAGCAATTTGCCTCCGTGCAGCAAACAGTAAACAGCCCGGTCAGCTTCAGCACAGCCTGATGTAGCATGAACAGCTGATTGGCTGTTGGATTTGCCTCCCAGAATACCGTCTATTAGCTGTTCCAGGCTGTGGGGATCGCCACTGACCATCACCGCCGCCACCCACAGCTGCTGCCACCTATCGCTGCCTCTGCGCCCCCCATTTTTGGCTTCCACACGCCCCGTTTTTGGCCTCCGCAGACCCCGTTTTTGGCCCATTCCAGGCAGTGGGGATTGCCGCCACCGCCTATCCCTGCCGCCCTGGAACCCAGGCCGAAAATGGGATGTGTGGAGGCTGAAAATGGGACACGCAGAGGCCAAAAATGGGGTGTACGATGGGGGGCAATGGTGGTGATGGGCGATGGCAATCCCTGCAGCCTGGAATACCTGATAGGCGGTATTCCAGGAGGCAGATCCAACCGCCAATCAGCTGCTCATGCTAAATCAGGCTGTGCTGAAGCTGACCAGGCTGTTTGCTGTTTGCTGAAAGGAGGCAAATTGCTGGGAGACAATTTTTTTTTCTTGTTTTCCTCCCCAAAAGCTAAGTGCGTCTTATAGTCCAGAGCATTTTATAAGCCGAAAAATACGGTACTTTGTTTCTTCATGAGATCTTTTTCTTCCTTGGCTTTAGCTCCTCTTTTTGGAAATTTAAAGTTTGCTCTGACATTCAATTTACTTTCCTCTTTTTCTTGGTCTTTGTCTCTTTTCACATTCATCCATAATAACATATTTGAGTTCATTCCAGAGTTTGCCTGGATCTGTCAGGTGTGGAAAACCAAGAATGACACATATAAATGCACAAAGTAATTCTTTTATTGCTGTTCACCTAAATAGACAGAATCTTCCCAGACTAAAGTACACTTTGCATAATTGTCTGTGAAGTCTGATTGTCTCATCCCATTGGGACTGGCCTGCCCAATCTGTGCTGGCAGAGGAGGCATGCTTTGAGCTCCATTTATAAAGAAATTCCAGTTGCTAGGGTCCAAGAGAAGGGCCTTCTCTGCCATGTCTCCTGCCCTTTGGAAAATCTTACTTGCTGAGGTGAGATTGTCTCCCACTCTTTTGTCCTTCTGCAGGAAACTTGCTCCGCCAGATGGCTTGGGGCCCTAACTGGGGAGCATCGCATTGGAGGTGATTGTTGAATTAAGAGGCAATCCCCTCTCCCTTCTCCGTGCATCCTGTTCCTCCATCCCCATCATTTAACTATATTTTATTTTGATTGGGATTTGGATTTCTATTTTTATTCTTTTAAAGTTATTTATTTGTTAGGATCTTGATGTTTTAATTCTCGAAGCTGCCCAGAATCAAATCATTACAAGATGGGCTGCAAATAAATTAGATAAATAAATAAATAAAAATTATTCAGTTATTAACTATGTTGTACTAAGTGATCTTGACTTCATCACTTGAGACTTTCAAGACTGCCATTTGTCAGAAATGGTGTGCAGTCTCCTGTTTGAGCAGGGGATTGGATTAGATGACCTATAAGGTCCCTTCCAACTCTGTTAATCTGTTAAATCTGTTAGACTTGGTTCTTTAATTGATTTGTCTGTTATGTTCCACTGATAGATGCCCATTTATACAAATTTGTTAAGTGTACACATTCAATTTTTGCTACATGTTTCCTAAATATGAAAGCAACATAAATTCTCCTCTGTTGTTTTTTCTTTTCTGAGTACTAAACAGTGCATTCTTTTGACTATAAAATCCAATTCCAATTTATATCAGTTTCCTGATCCCAAGATGACAATGTCTCCTTGATTCATTTCAACTTTCACTGAATTCAGATTTCCCATATTCATGCTGCTTATGTTTCACATTTCCACTATCTATGCAGCTTTGGATTTTCTTTTCCTGCATGGCAATATCTGCAATCAGATATCCTGAAGGTTTTAAATTAACCGTCATAATGTTCAAACACCATTAGTATTCAAAAAATCCTCAGCTTTTTCTCAGTAGTATGTTAAGTGCCATCCAACCTGAAGGGTCATCATCTGGTACTATATCATTGATCGCTTTATGTTGTCTATTCATGTGATTTTCTTGTTAAAATATAGGAGTGGTTTACCTACCAATGACTTTTCCCATGCAATATGAGTTCATGCCTTTGCTGTTGTCACTAAAGAAATCATCTGTTTCCAGCAACTTCTTATATTGCTACTGTCTGTTGCTTTAATTGGACAGCTGGATTGACTTTCATCTGTTTGATGACCCTACTGAGAATATATATTTTTGATATATATTATTAGTCTTCCTTTATCTTTCTCTGGAATATACCACCACTGCCATCATCATGATGCAGTGTAAGAGGAGAGAACTAAATTTAAAGTAGGGGTAAAATAAATGTTGAGATTCTAGAAAGAGTGCAGAGAAGAGCAACAAATATGATTAGGGAACTAGAGGCTAAAACATACAAAGAATGTTTGTAGGAATTTCATTAAATGTCTAATTTAATGAAAAGAAGGACTAAGGGTGACATGATAGCAGTGTTCCAATATTTAAGGGGCTGCCTCAAAAAAAAGGGTCAACTCATTCTCCAAAGCACCTAAAGACAGGATAAGAAGCAATGGATGAAAACTAATCAAAGAGAGAAGCAAATTAGAACTAAGGAGAAATTTCCTGACAGTTAGAACAATCAGTGGAACGGCTTGCCTCCAGAAGTTGTGGGTCCTCTAACATGGAGGTTTTTAAGAAGAGATTGGACACATTTGTCTGAAATGGTACAGGGTTTCTTGCTTGAACAGGGGGTTGAACTAGAAGACATCCAAGGTCCCTTTCCACTCTGTTATTCTGTTACTCTGCTAATAAATTATAAATAATTAAGTGGCTAATCCTTCTGAAATCTATATGATTTAGTTTGATTATGTTTGCATGTTAGCCAGTTTGCCATTCAGTACCAACAAGCTTGGTAAGAAATAGATACAAGTCTGAGACACTTACAGAAATATAAAAGAAATTTATATTGCTCACTATTTTTTGTTTTACTTCAGAATTAATGTTGCCACAAAAGATTATACAATGTCCTTGGAGGAATTTCTTAAAAGAGAGCCTGAGCCTGTTGCTCCACAACTGCCTTATACTGTAAGTTTTTTATTTCAATATATATATATGGATTACAGAAATATATTACAGCACTGTCATATCAGTCTGCATCAGTGGTCAACAACCAGTAGAGCAGGCAGCTCCCCTGCAGGCTGGTGCACCTGGTGGAGGAGCTGCTCCGGGATGACCAAAGGGCCAGTCCTGTGACTACTACAGCTCTGGAATATGGGACTGACTTTCCCACCAATGTCAGCAAGCCACTGTCAGTCTGCCCGTCTTCATTTTCCTTCACTCAGATTGACCAAGCTTCTTGAGAGAAGGAACACAAAAGAAGTTTCCAGGCTGTGTGCCTGGACCATGCGCTTTCTCTCGGGCCTCCCACCCGGAGGCCTCACAGAAGCAGACAGGTAGGCCCGAAAGGCCGCTGAGCCTCCCCCCCCCACAGTGGTCCACGGGATTTAAAATTATGCATTTGGTGGTCCCTGAGGTCCAAAAGGTTGGAGACCCCTGGTCTGTGTTGTATTCAGGCCCAATGAATTGCTGGTCTATTAATCTTGTTTGTATCCATCTTCTTTTACCTTACTGAATATGATTTATTCTATGAAACACTCCTATGAATAATCCTAGTGAAAAGCATCAGACCCATGCTTTTTCAAGTAGTTACATATAAACTGTATCAGTAAAGAAAATTATGTCAGCAAGTTTCAACAAAATATTTTATTTTATTTTTTATTTTATTTAGAATTTATATACCACACCTTCTCCCAAGGGACACAGGGCGGTGTACAGCCAGATAAAAACATACAATACAAACATTAAAAAGCAATTAAAAGGATATATATTAATTTGGCCCCAATTTAAGATAACAAACCAATTAAAAAATTAAAAATATGTTAAAAAATGTGTTAAGCCAGCCCGGCTTGCTGAAAAAAGAAAATTTTAAGGGCACGGCGGAAGGCACCGAGGTCTTGGATTCTCCTTATCTCTGAGGGCAGCTCATTCCAGAGGGTAGGTGCCCCCACAGAGAAGGCCCTCCCCTGGGGGTCGTCAGCCTACATTGTTTGGCTGATGGCACCCCGAGGAGGCCTTCTCTGTGGGAGCGCACAGGTCGATGGGAGGTCATTGGTAGCAGCAGGCAGTCTCGTAGATAACTAGGTCCTATGCCATGGAGCGCTTTAAAGGTGGTAACCAACACCTTGAAGCGCACCCGGAAGACCACTGGGAGCCAGTGCAGCTCACACAGGAGCGGTGTTATGTGGGAGCGCCAGGCGGCTCCCATGATTACCCGCGCAGCGGCATTCTGGACCAGTTGGAGCCACCGGGTGCTCCACAAGGGGAGCCCCATGTAGAGAGCGTTGCAGTAGTCCAGGCGCGAGGTGACGAGGGCGTGAGTGACTGTGCACAGGGAATCCTGTTCAAGAAAGGGCCGCAACTGGCGAATCAGGCGAACCTGACAGAAGGTCCCCCTGGCTACAGCCGTCAGATGTTCCTCCAAGGACAGCTGCGTATCCAGGAGGACTCCCAGATTGCATGCCCTCTCCGCGGGGGCCAAAGACTCGCCCCCGATAGTCAGTGATGGAGTCAACTGACTATATCGGGATGCTGGGAGCCACAGCCACTCAGTCTTGGAAGGGTTGAGCTTGAGCCTGTTCCTCCCCATCCAGATCCGCACAGCCTCCAGGCACTGGGACATCACTTCAAGGGCATCGTTGGGATGGCCTGGGGTGGAGATGTACAGCTGGGTGTCATCAGCGTACTGATGGTACTTCACCCAAAAGCCACGGATGATCTCATCCAGCGGCTTCACATAAATGTTGAACAGAAGGGGCAAGAGGACCGACCCCTGAGACACTCCACAAATGAGAGGCCTCGCGGTCGACCTCTGCCCCCCTGCCAACACGAACTGCGACCGGTCTGAGAGAAAGGAGGAGAACCACCGTAACACGGTGCCCCCCATCCCCAACTCTTCCAACCGGTGCAGCATGATACCATGGTCGATGGTATCAAAAGCCGCTGAGAGGTCTAACAGGGCCAGAACAGAGGAGCAACCCCTGTCCCGAGCCCTCCAGAGATCATCTACCAACACGACCAATGCCGTTTCCATGCTGTGCCTAGACCCAAAACCCGACTGGAACGGATCTAGATAAGATGTTTCCTCCAGGAATTGTGGAAACTGTCGTGTGACCACACTCTCAACAACCTTCGCAACAAAGCGAAGGTTGGAGACAGGACGATAGTTGGCTAATACTGCCGGGTCCAGGGAAGGCTTCTTGAGGAGAGGCCTCACCACCGCCTCTTTCAAGGCAGCGGGGAAGTAACCCTCACTCAACGAAGCGTTGAGAATTCCCTGAAGCCAGCCTCGTGTAACCTCCCGGGAAGCCAGTACTAACCAGGAGGGACACGCGTCCAGTAAACATGTGGCCGCACTAAGTCTCCCCAAAATCCTGTCCACATCATCAGGAGTCACAGAGTCAAACTCTTCCCAGATAACGTTCTCAAGACTATTCCTCGTCACCCTGCCCAAATCTACCCAGTCAGAGTCCAAATCCCCCCAGATCTGAGCGATTTTGTCATACAGGTATTGTCCGAAATCCTCGGCCCTGCCTTCCAGGGGGTCCTCCCGCACTCCCGGATGGAGCAAGGAGCGGGTCACCCTGAACAGGGTGGCCGGACTATTCTCTGATGACGCAATAAGAGCGGAAAAGTAATTACACTTTGCCGCTTTTATCGCCACTAGGTAGGTCTTAATATTGAACACATTGAGGGGCAGTTTCAGAAAAATAAGAAATTTTGATGTGAGGGAACCAGCAACTAACTCTTTGCCTTTTGGAAGGGAGAAGAAAAAAAAGACAACACTCTGAGTGGTTCATAAATAGTACTAAGTCATTGTGTAGTTTGTTTGGTTTTTAGTTATTATTGTAGTTCATTCAATAAATCAAGAAATCATAGATTAATAGTGTATAAATCCTACTATTGGATCTATTGCAATCCTAACCAAAGAGACTCGATCCTAATTTATGAAAGTCCCATAGCTTTAGGTAGCAGATAATTTCAATTAAACAAAAGAGGAACATGTGAAAAGTTTTTGTATTAGAATAAGCAACATAATCTCTGTTGATGCTATCACTATTAGCACTTTAGCTATTAAGAAGATACTGTTCTTTAGGGCAGGTGTTAACAAAGTTCCTTGTTTTTGAAATTTTCACTTTTACTGCATAAATGGTTCCACTGAGCTCTGGAAATAACTAAGATCTATATTGTGGAATTCATATTAACCATTTTGAGGGCCTTGTGGTAGAAAAATGGAATAGATAGAATAAATATATAAAGTATGTTTTCCTGCCATGTGTTATAATAATTTTTAGGTCAGGAACTAGTTGATTACTTTGAAAGGCTAAGATTGCAGTACATATTTATACTGTACATATGTATATGTATATGTATATGTATACGTATACGTATACGTATACGTATATATATATATATATACTGTATGTTTTTGGGGAAACACGGTATTACCTGTTTTATTTCTCACTGCTAATAGTCTGCTTAGTTCCCTTTCTTTTTGCAGATCTATACTAGCTGTCTGAGCTGCAATGCTGCAGATATCAGCAACAGTACAAACAGGAGGAGTTTTCATTTATTGCATAGCTATTAAAAGTTATGGTATAGTCTGATTGAATTTTCGATCATTGACACGACCAAGAATTTCTCATTCAGTTTTGTGATCTTTTCTTATTTTTTCCCCTCTCAACAGATGAACAGTGAACAGAAACAAATTAGAGTAAGTGAAGGATTTAAGGATTTTTAAAAGGCCTGTTATGATTGTAACATGTTGCATAAACTTTATAAGTTTTATGAGGTATGGAAATGCAGTTAATATTCATAGTGTTTGTTCCTTATCCATAGAACTAACATACAAATGATGAAGATGCTCAATATTATTTATTAATGTAATTTGAAGATCGTACTTGTTAGGGTATCCCAATTTATGGATTATGCAAATTATTAATTTGATTTGACAGCCATGTTCATTGTTTTGGTAGCCTTGCCAAATCAACATTATAAACATTATTATCAAAGATTTTGATTAAAATATTAGTAACATGAATTTCTCATTTTTAAAATGGTATTAAAATTTACACATTAATTAATTAAGATTTCTAATTAAGATATGTAAGATTTTTTAAAAGTTTATTGATACATCTAATAGAAAAATCCCTTCTTTATCATATTAGCACTTTTTGTGTTAGATTATGCTTATAGAGTGTAAGGATAAAAAATACTGAGCATCAATCAGCGAACAGTGCTAAGCATATTCTCTCTTGCATGGGAAGACAAAAATAAGCTAAGGTCTGTTCATTCCTGGGAGACTGAGTAGGGAAGTTACTGTTCTGCCCAGGCTATTCTTTTTAGAACTGTAATATTTTATCTCATTAGCACAACTTGGAAAACTTTGCCTTAAAACTGAAAGAACTGTAATCAGGCTGTTTCAACTGGAGGCAACAAAAAAGACACAAAGTCAACATCATACTGTGTTGTCCTTTAGCAACAGCTAGCAAGGCATTCTCAACCTGTAGAATATGGAACATAAAGATAAGCTTTCAGAGTAATATTACAATTTATATTTTTAAATCACAAACAATAAAAAGCATTAGTTTTATTTCATCACATAATGATGGTTTCATTTCAGAATAATTATCTCTTTATGAAGAAATGTGTTGAAAGTAATCCAGTGGTACCTATTCAGCAGGAGTGGTTACTTTCCATGCTCACATTGGTACCGCAGTCTCTCATGGAGGGCAAGGATAGAGAGAAACTGGTTGAAGAACTCTTAAATGAGATAACAGATGATTATGAAATGAGTATGAGAAGATATATGGGTAAGTTCAGTATCATGTTACAATAATACCTATTTTCTCTTACATTTTCTATATATTTCTTTGTATAACATAAAATATATAATGTATTTTTTGCCTAGATAGCAAAAATTATATTGATACCTGATTCTATCAGAGATATTGTCAGATATATTTTTCTCAAAGCATGCTAATATGTTACTTACCTATATGTTAAAAATAGTTATCATTTATATATAGGACTATGCATATATAGGTAGTCCTCACCTTAGAATCATTTAGTCACCTTTCGATGTTAGAAAGGAACTGACAAAAGTGATTTACAGCTGTTTTTCACACTTATGACCGTTGGAGCATCCCCACGATCACATGATCAAAATTTGGGCACATGGCAACTGGTTCACATTTATGGTGATTGCAGTGTCCCATGGTCATGTGATCACCTTTTGTGACCTTCTGACAAGCAACATCATTGGAGAAGCCAGATTAATTAAACAATAATGTTACTAATTTAACAATCTAGGAATAAATTTAGCATTTGATATCCCTAAAGTATGATGTAGCTTCTGTGTTCTTCTTACATGTTTTAAAAGCCAAATCAATGTCAATTATTTTGTTGAAAATAAAACATTTTAAAAATTATTTTATGAGTAATATGCTAAAAGAGTATGCATAGCTGTTTCTCAAAATACCAGCATGTCTCTGTAATGTTTTGAATAGTCCTTGAAGTTAAATATAATTTTTAAAATATTACTTTTAAATAGCATTTCCTAACACATATTTCCAATATATCACAGTACGAAGTGTTCTTATCAAGCCTGAAGTAAAATTACTTGAATATGAAAAAGAAGGACCTTTGCCAGTTGAACCTGTGTGAGTAAATTATATTAATAAAGCTATCTAGATGTTTTGCTGAAGCAAAGTGGAATCTTTTTTCTTATTTCTGATACTCTGATTTTGACTTTTAAAGATTTTAAAGCTGAAAAATGTTTCTCTGTTTGTTAATCAAAATTATATTGTTTCTTTTTTTTCTTCCATGTATTTAGTATTGTCATTTTGTTTATTTGTAGAGGATTAGACTTTTCTAGGCCGTGGCATAAAAGTTTTATTCAAGCAAGAAAACAGATTTTTGAAAATTTACATATTCTCCATCCAACTTTAAGAATTCTCCTTGAAATCGGTTACAGAATGTTTTCCATGTTACTTATAGTAGATGTATCTGGTTTCAGGTAAAATTTATCATTCTGGATTTAATTTTCTAAATACCAAAATATATCCATAATTCTAATTAGGTATACTGCATTATTAAATTGTTATTTATATTCCTTTAGTAAAATATATCACTATACTATCACTAATAGTATAGTTTTTACAATTCAAATCAAATGTTTTAGTATTTGGCAATTAATTTATTTAAGAATCTTAAGATAATATAAAATGCCCACCATATAATATCTCCTACAGGTAATAGCCTCTTCTCCACATTAATTATGAATTTATTCTCCAGAGATATTGTTATACAGTCAGAGCAACACATGTATAGACAAGAAGGAATATGAACAAGCTTGGGAAAATATCCTTATTAGCAATCAGGAAAACATAAATTCCATTTTATGAAAATTTAAAAAGAATCCTAGTGAAAAGAGAATGTGACTGAGTAGTGGAAAATATGAAAAAACTGAGAAGTAGAATAACATAACTAGTTTCCTAGAAATGACACTCCACATCATAATACTTCGTTGCAGACTTCACTTATGTTTTATGTGAGTTTTAAATCTGGATCAAAAATACATGAATAATATAAGGACTCCAATTTTTTTTATAACTATTAACATGTACATTTGCTTTGTATTTGTTGTCCATTGATTTTGCTTGACAATGTTTCATTTCTTAAATTAATATAGGTCAAGAGGCCCAATAGAATGTGAATCCCTACAAAATGATGTGTCTATAAAATGCTTAAAAACAGAAGAAAAGATATTAAACACATGGTATCCAAGGGTTATCAACCTCTTTACCAGAAAAGAAGCCCTGGAGGGTGTGAAACCTGATCAAATGGATTCTTTCTATAACTGTGTGGCTACACTTATGTCTAATCAGGTCTCTTTTTCATGTCTCTGTAGAACATTATGTATGCATCTTAAGAATTTTAATTTTCCATCACTTCAGCAAAAGAAGAATTCAGATCATTCATAAAACTCTTTCTTTCAAAGCTCCTTTGTGAAAGGAATAAAAAAATTATGTTTGAATCTGAATCCATGAGAGATTATTGCAAGAGTTATGTGAATGTTCATACTTTATTCTAAATTTCAAAATGTACATATTCGTATTATGGAAGCTGTGAATAAACAAGACAATATAGAGGATGGGCTTAAGACTGCTTTAATTGTGTGTACTAAAATCTTTTTTAAACATTTTTTTAGCTGAAGGAGTTATTAAAAAGATCTGTTGAAGCTTATGTGAAGTTGTTTGACTTAGAAGATCAGAGATGGCTACCATTGTTCAGAATGGAATTGACTTTTGATGACGAGAAAATGGACTTTTATCCTAGCTTTCATGATCTGGAAGAAACCATCTTATGTATTATTACTTTGATTTCACAAACTTTGCAGGTTCTGTTTTATCTATTATATTTTAATCTCATAAATATGTAAAATTTATATTGCTTAATAACGTACACATCAATTCTAATAATTCCCATAGATTTCAGTTTATTTTCAGGTAATGCGCAGATGATTGTAAATCTCACATCCAGTGCTAAATGATTATCATTATCTATGAACGTTAAAATAACTATCTTGCACTTAATAATTAAAACACAAACACTGTTTGAATTGTGAATCTGCTCCAGAAATAATCTGGTGAAACATAGACAATACTATTTGGGCTGGATTCAGAGCAAAACAGTTCTCTCAGTTTACTGAGAAGCAGCTAGGTAAAGAATTGATTGGCTAGCTCTTGGGGTATCAAAACCTCTTCTCTGTTTCTCTGTCTTGAGCAGCATGGTTTTTTTAAGTGAATGAGAAATTAAATGAAAAATTCTTAAAATAAGTAGGCACTTCTTATGAACTCATAGTCTATAGTAAGCGGAAGTGCAGAAGACTAGATAAATGCTTGATTTCCTATTAAATGGAATACTAGAGACCATTGGAATGAGAAACTAGGCCCTTGTGGGAGAAAAAAATATCAATTTTAAAATATTTTATCCCCCACTGTAAAGTCTAATTTTAGGTGTTAGAAAAAGAAAATACGCGAATGGATTCATTGTGCTGTTCTATGAATAAGGCTGCTCTAAATATGAATAAGTAATAAGTATATACGATATGCACAGTGCCACTGGGGGAAAAAAGGGAAATCTTTCAGAATAATATTCCATAAGAATCTGGACGCTGCTGGTGGCAGTAGTCAGAATGCAGTATTGCAGACAATTTCTGGGGCTCAAGGTTGACTCAGTTTTCCAACTTCCGAGATCGGTAAAATGAGGACCCAGATTGTTGGGGGCAATATGCTGACATTGTAAATCGCCTGGAGAGTGCTGTAAATCACAATGGAGCTGTATATAAGTCTAAGTGCTATTGCTACTGCTAGAGCAAAAGGTGCATTTTTGAGTGCATATTGATGATACAAAAAAGAATTTAAATCTTTCTCAGCTTCTTGATTTGTAAAGACTAAGGATACATAAATAGTCCATTTCATACAGTTGGTTGGTCCACAGAACTGCTGGGGAGGTCTCTTTGAAAATATTCCCTGGTTTCTGGACTAAAAGTAAGAGGTGATAAGATTAGTTAAGAAGCAGAGTGATATGCAGCATGTTCATGTGTATGTTTATTCAGAAATCATTCTGTTTATTTCAAAAGCAATTCAAGTGTGTTCATTCAGTTTTACTCTCAATAAAAGCATATTCAAAAATATTCAATTACTGTAAAGCTGATAAGTACATTAATGTTTGAAGTAATTTTATGAGTTTGGGTTGAACAAGCTGGTATATAAATAGTATTACATATTATGAAATGATTTCTTAAAAGCCATAAATAATCCTTGAATTTCTTTTGAATAGAATGTCCAGACAATACATTCATGGTTAGGAGGTACAAACATAGTAACAACTATTGACACTGAACTTCCTGACCATGTTATAGCATGGGCTTCATCTGTACTGAGGAGAGCAATCGATGAGAATTTGAAAGGTGCAAAAGCACATTTTGATTCTTATGGTGAGTGGTTTACAATAATTCTTTTCAAAGTCATATCTTTAACGTTCCAAATGTAATAAAATTGCTGCTGATTTGTGGTGACTATTATTATAGGACAATTCTAAGATCAGGGTGGGTTCTAAACATTTTTACTACTGGTTCTGTGGGCATGGCTTATTTTGTGGACGTGGCTTGATGGTCATGTGACAATTATTTAGGATTTAGCAGAGGTTCTGGTCTACCAGGCTTTTAACTGCTTGCAGAGCTGTCCCGATCTACCCATTTATTTTTGGAGGCACTGGTCTACCCATGTATTTTTGCAGGCACTGATCTACTCATGTATTTTTGCAGGCACTGGTCTACCCATTTATTTTTGCAGGCACCGGTCTACTCATTTGTTTTCTTTTAACACTGATCAGCTGTAGGGTGGCCCTTTGAAGCCCCTCGGCAAGTTTAAACAGTTTTTTTTCCCTCTAGCCATCAGCTGGGAGTCAGGAGGCAGCAATAGATTGGAGGTGGGGCCAAATAAAAGATAAGAATAATGCACGGGTGGGGGGGTGGGGGGCCAGAACCAGTTTGGTGATGTCATATTGTCACCGCTACCGGCTCGGCGGAACCGGGCAGAACACACCACTGTCTAAGATCATTTAGGACTAAAGACCAGCACGCAATCCACTAATACACAAATTGGCTTATTACAATACCAGAAACAATAGATAAGTCAAAAATGGGCAGGAAAAGGGTATTTTGCTTGTTTTTTGTCACATTCCCTTCTTCATTTTCTTACAGTGGAAAAATATGGCTGGCTTGTAGATGGTGCTGCAGATGACCGTATTAAAACATTTATAGCTGAGGAACACAGTTTTGATGAATATGCAGAGGTAATTTCATGTATAATTTATAAATATACCTGGCTTTTGTTCTGTAATATACATCAGGTAAAATGCCATGATTCTTATTTAAATTATGCCAGTTCAGTTGAAAAACAATTATATTTTTTCTCGACAAATCTGAGCTTTGGGGGATGATTTATGAGACAAAATTCGTGTTTTAATCTTTGCAGAGATTTAGGGTTCCAATTTTGTCCTTAAATTTCTAACTGGAAAAATGGGTCTCTTTTTAAAAAAAAAGTATTTTTGAGTGTTATGGTGCTTTACATGTTTGTAAGGCTTAAAGCTTTCATTTTACTCCTTAAAATACCTCAATCCCTGAAAATTTTGGGCTGCTCATTTGGAAAGAACTCTTAAGAGAAACAAAAACCATAATGATGCTTACCATGGATAATTGATTGCTCTTCCCTCATACATTTTTCTGAAATAAACCCTGGCAACCAGATTTCACATTTCTAGCTATTATGAGAATACCATAAACATTTTGGTGAAGAAAAATAAGTAACCTGATTTGAAGAAATGGTATTTAGATGTCTCCTTTATAATCTTTTATTGTAGTTTGTTTGGGGCTTTGTTTTTACAGCTCTATACTGCTCTAACTTTTTTGATTCAAGGTAGTTTGCATTAAAAATAAACATCAGTACATTAAAAAATTTAAAAAAAATTACAAAAATTACACAAGCAAATCTGATTCATCTCTGTACCAAAATCCCAGTAGAATAGGATAACTTTTCATAATGAAAGCAAGGGGGGGACTCCTTTTACCTATTTTATAATTGGAGATATTGCCATTAAGAATGAGCCTTCTCTTAATCTCCCATGAGATGGGGACCTAGAACAGTATTTCTTGGGAAAAATCCACAGGGTAGGCTAATTCTAGTTGGGAGAGACAGTCCTACAGGTATCTTGGTGTCAATCCATGTGGCATTTTAAAGGTCAAAAACCAGGATTTTTGATTGGGCCCAGAAGCCTATTGATAACCAATGCTGTGATTGCAGGATATATAGATATCACATTATTGAACCTACATGATGTTTACTACATGGTTTAATGATTATGATACCTTGATCTATATGTGTACCAAGATTCAGGCGTCTAGATGTGAAGTTAATATTACTTTAATAGGCTATGGACTATGACCAAACAAAATGAACTGCCCAGTCAAGCCACAGAGCAGCAAGCTTGTATATAATTTACGAAAAATGAAATGAAGACTGTTCATTATCTGTAGCTTGGTATGCCAGGAACAAATACGTTGTGCTGATGGAATAATAGGTTTGTGATGATGCTCCATGCACTCAGGTTTAGTTTTTTTCCTGAAACAAAAGACAAAATGTCCCCACAAAATGCCCACCCTTAATTCCACAACCTGATTGTATAGTCGTGCCTGGAATCGCAGTTGAATTTCCCTTTAACATTGATTGCAGAAATGCAGCCCTCATTGCATCATTGGGAAGCTAGTTTATTTAGTGCAAATGCAGGCAACTGGTGGCCCATGAATTGTGGGATTTTCAGCACTCTTTTTATGGTTCCCAGGATCTTTTTGTGGCTTCCAGAGCACTTCCATTATATGTGGTGTGAAACATTTGAATTTTGGATAGGAGTAAAACAATTCTTTTAAAAAAATTATTGGATGGTGTATACATAATCAGTAGGAGGCTGCTATTTTAGAATAGGCTTGATGTCACTTGCATGAAGAAGAACAGAATGCTGGCATCTACCATCAGTGCTTTTGGCAAGTAATCGTATAACGAAAATAATACTTTATTTACATTAATCTAAACTAAACTGATAATCAAATGTTCTAATTGGTTCAATGAAACTTTCTTCCAAATACTTGTTTCAACTGTATTCAGTTATGTATTTATATGTAAAATAACAAATATAATCATCTTTTGAAGCTTATAGATGAATTTTTAAATCTTTCGACGGAAATAATGAGCTTGCCAATGATAGCTCACTTCTCTATGGTGCGTTTAGATTGTGATGACTTGAAGCAAGGGTTATGTGAAAAAGCAAAAAGCTTTGCATATAAATTATTGGATTTATTAGCTTATAATCATAGAGAAGAAAATAACAAGTGAGTATTTTTTATTACAAATTATCTCTTCCTTAGAAAAATTTTGCCACATACTGTATATAGCACTGTTCATTTTTCATTTTGTATTCAGGTACCCTTTGACTTCTGATCAGTTGTTTAATGACCATTTGAAGTTATAACAGATATCCAAGTTCCAATGCCCCCCTGTCCACCTGCATTTGGTTGCTTGGCATTTATGACTGTTTGCAGCAATCCTCAGACATATGACCATACTTTATGAAAATTAGCATTTGCAACAAAACTAACCCATAGCAAACAATGACTTCACTTAATGACTGTGGCATTTGCTTAAGAAATGTGGCATAAAAGTTATAAAATCTGGTTGATTACTTGCTATATGACCATCATGACTTATGACCATAATGGGCAGATTTCATCGTTGTAAATGGAGGATTACCTATATTGTTTTCTGACAGATTGATTTTTCATTGTTGCACTTAAAAATTAAGTACTATGTATAGGTCTGTATAGTATGCATTTGGATGTAATGATAACTAATCATTACTTTTATATAAAAGCTATACTGTAGCAACTACAGTATTGAAGATACTAGAAATAGAAATGTACAGAATTGTTTTGTAAATCTAAAATGTGTAAAACTCAAATCAAAATTATTTTTTAGGATATGTAATGAATTTGAAAACATTAAAGAACGTGCATTAAAAGTTCCTGAGACAACAGAAGAAATGATGGAAAGTATAGCCTTTATAGACAAGGCTAAAACCATAGGTATCCAGAAGTTGTATGAAAGGATTAAGGTAAATATTTTAGGAGACCTGGTTTTTAAGTGGCAAATAGCATATTAATTTAATTTCAGCTAATCTTGATTTTTCTCCTATATTGTAAAATAAGTCATATAAGTATTAACATCTAGTCATCGCAGCATATACCACTATAATATGAACCGTTATAATATGAACTTTTGGTTTGTTTACACATAATGGCTTTTTAATGTTTTAATGAGAGTTGGCATTTTTGGGGTTGAGCTTGAGTCCAACATGAAGGGTGGGTGGAATTATTAGCTGCTTATAGTCATTTTCAGAAGATTGAAATATATTATTTTGAGCTTTTCTTCAAAAATAGCTGCTGTCCTCTCCCACTACTAGCACTTCTTTCCTATCACCATATTCATTTTTCTTTTTCTACAGGGTCCTTATTCCAGGTTTTCTGATGCTAGTGCAGGAGGCGGGGGAAGCAAACTCTACTTTCCTATATGATATTACTACACTACCTCACCTGCTGTACTTAATTCTAGTCTTGGTTTTTAATTTTAAATCACAAATGCACAATATTTTCACTGAAATCTCTGAATCATTTAAGCTGCAATCCTATCCTCACTTACCTGAGACTAATTGGGCATTACCTCTAGATAGAAAAGCCTAGAGTTGGTCTAAAAATAATGCACACATTCAACTTACTGGTTCACAGTACTATCAAACACAGAAGTGTTTTAAAAGGGGTGAATTGCATTAAGTCTGGAACCTGTTTTTATAATGTATCCATTATTTTTATTTATTTATTTATTTGTCAAACACATAAAGATAACAAATATAAGTATAAACATGATTATGAATACAGGATAGATACGAATAAATGGGGACAGTAGGACAGGGATGGTAGGCAGGTTGGTGCGCTTAATATTAATAATATTACTAATTATTGTTGTTTAACTAGAATTACAATATAGCTTGAGCTTACACTTCACACAAAACTCCAGCAAATCATACACCATTAACAATATCATATATCTGTCTTTTAAATAGTATATCAGCTGAAGCTGAATAAGCATTCCTGCAGGGACGCAGATTATCAATCTTCTGGCCAAATTTAAAATTGCCAACTACAAGCTATCATTTTGTATGATTTACCTGCCCTACCTCAGATTTCTCCTGTGAATTACACTCTCAAGAAACACGAACAGCTTTTTTTTTCCTAATTGGGAAAATGTAATAGATGTTGGAATGATATACCCAGTATTATAATTGAGCTCAATCTCCCTTCAAATTTACATCTTGTTTAAAGCAGAAATAAACTACTTAATTTCTTTTATAGGAATGCCAGCGACGAATGAATTATCTTCTGGATGTTTATTTATTTGAACCCGAAGACTTGACACTGAATGCAACTGTTTTATTGTGGCCTCAAAATATTAACCCTATCTTTGATGAAAATGATGATGTAAATATAAACTTAAAAATTTTTACATGTTATGTTGTCTGAGGAAAAAAAATGCAGCTTTGTAATTACCTCAGCTTTAATCTCTTAAATTTGAAGACTGCTGTTAGACAAATTTATTATTACAGACCAAATAACTGACGAATGCTATGTTTGAATTGATTCAGTGTGATTTAATGAAGTTAGGTAATGCTATCCATAAATGCACTCCGCTTCTTCTTTGTCTTGTAGATTATAGAAATGTCTAAACGGAAGGGTGAAAGTGAATTACTAGCCAAACGTGAGAAATTGATAATGGAAGTAGAAAAGCAAATCCGTCGTATGCATGAATTCACAGAGTACTGTGATTTGGATCGCATGCAACAGGTCTGTGATATTTGGAATAATTTTTGCTTAAACTTTGCATAAGGAAGTTACACAGTGATAAAATAGCAAAAAAATTAACTCTATTTTTAGAGGACAAAAAATTATACTGATGAATTTTGATATTCTCTAATGCTTAGTAAATTACATTCTGTTGCTGATAGTCCCATTAAAACATTGCTACTTCTACTATTAACATAAATGCCATTCATTATTGGAATGGTAACATTAAGGTGTTAGTCTCAAAGTAGAAAGTCCTGGGGCAGCCATAGTTGATGAGATAATATTCTTTGGATTTATATGCAAGATAGTAGCATATTTTGTATTTTGATGCTGCTACAAGGTGATTTAATGGACTTATGACATCTGTACACCTAAGTTTCATGCAGGAGTTGCAATAGAAATGAACGTTAAACATTTATTTAGAAGAAATTTACTGACAAAAAAAATTTGAACATCAGGAATATGCTGTATATTTCTTCAAAAGAAGTATTGAGGTGGCAATAAATGTAAACCAAAATGATTTCTTACTTTGTTCTGGTTTTTATACAAGAACCTGAATATGGATGAACAAATCTGTTTATTTCAGTTTGTTTAATTTTTTAAAAAAACATTTATATTTATAAGTACTGTATTTTTCGGAGTATAAGACGCACCTTTTTCCCCCAAAAAAGAGGGTGAAAATCTGGGGGTGTCTTATACTCTGAATGTAGCCCTGCCCAGCCTCTGAAATGGAGGTTTAAGAGGCTGAAAAAAGCCTCTGAAATGGAGTTTTAGAAAAAAAGCCTCTGAAACAAAGCTTCAGAAAAAAAGCCTCTGAAACAGAAGTTTCAGAGGCTGAAAAAGCAAGGTGCAGAGCTCACAACCAATGAACCTGTTGCTAAAATTTGCCTCTGGGAACAGCTGTTTGGGGGTATTCTGGGAGGCTGATCCACCCGCCAATCAGCTTTTTTCTTATTTTCTTCCCCATAAATGAAGGTGCGTCTTATAGTCCGAAAAATACGGTACTTGTATCCCGTAATCTTAAATGTGATCAATTTTTTTTTTTGAATTTGAAATTTCTAATGATAAATAAATCTTTTCAGTATGTGACTGACATGAGAACACTGCAAAAACGCATACAAGATGCTGATGAAGCAGTTACTTTTATTAATAAAGAAGAGAAGCTTTTAAATTGGGAGCTGACTGAATATCCAGAGTTGGAAACCTTAAAAGTTAACATTGAGCCATATCAGAAACTTTTTGTTTTTATATTGAAGTGGCAGCGAACTGAGAAACGGTAAGTTATACAAATATTTTAAGGGAGAAGCAACTAGAATCTACATAGGTTTTTTAAAATCTTAATTCCATAGCAATTGTATGATTTTTGCTAAAAAAAAAGTCTGTAATTTTCATTCTTTTATAGTTTATGTGTTTGATTTTAATTATTATTTAGGTTAGTGTAAGTATAATTAAGATGGAAGATTCATCCAATTTTAAAGAAGTCAGGCCGATACCTGGCAAAATTCTTAAACAGATTAAAAAAGAAATGTGTCTGCAATCATCATGAAAACAATATGTTCATTACCAGAGATCATTATGGATTAGGCAAGAACAAGTCTTCCCAGACAATCATAACTGATGGTTTGATTTGGATAACTTTCTTAACAAATACTGGGAAAGCTGTAGACATCAACATGCTCTTGATTTCAAGAAAGCATTTGGCAAAGTCATCCATAATATGCTGATTATCAAGCTAGTTAACTGTGATTTGGACGGCATGCTAATTAAATAGATACAAGGCTGGTTTGACAACTGTATACAGAGAATTGTCATAAATGGTTCTTCGTCATAATGAAGAGAAGTACTGATCTTGGGCTGCCACAAAAATCAGTCTAAGGCTCGCTATAAAGATTGGAATAACTAATACCTTAGAAAACAGAAATAATTGTCCGATGATCTTGAAAGGTTAAAGAAATGGGTTAAAGTAATATGCACAAATGCTAAGTGTTAATAAATAAAAATAAAAAATAATTGCAATTGTATTTGCCATTACACCTATATCTGGTAACTGTACTTGTAAGAAAGTTTTTGGAATACTAAGTGATTAGAAACTGAATATGAGCCACCTCTGAATATGTGGTAATATGTGAATATGTGGTAATATGAGCCACCTCTGAATATGTGGTAACTGAAGAAGCATTAAATAAATTTGAGTGCCTGCCTGTCTTGGAGGAGCTTGACAGTGTCTTGGAGGAGCTTGACAGTGAACCAACTTTAGAAGAACTAAATGCGGCCCTGGACTCCCTTGCCTCTGGCAAGGTACCCGGGAAAGATAACATTCCTGCTGAAGTTCTGAAGTGCTGCAAAGAGAACATCTCTACTGAACTGCATGAAATCTTCTGTCTTTGTTGGAGGGAAGGTGGAGTATCACAGGACATGAAGGATGCAAATATTGTCACACTGTACAAGAACAAAGGTGACAGGGGTGACTGTAACAACTACCGTGGCATCTCTCTTCTTAGTGTTGTAGGGAAGCTGCTTGCCCGTGTCGTACTGAAGAGGCTCCAGGTGCTTGCAGAGAGAGTCCATCCAGAATCACACTGGATTTTGAGCCAACAGGTCCACATGGTATTTTCCCTTAGACAGTTGCAGGAGAAATGCAGGGAACAAAAACAGCCACTTTTCATAGCCTTCATAGATCTTACGAAGGCTTTTGACTTGGTTAGCAGGGATGGCCTTTATAAAATTCTCCCCAAGATTGGATGTCCACCTCAACTCCTCAACATCATCAGGTCCTTTCATGAGGAAATGAAGGGCACTATAGTTTTTGATGGCTTAACTTCAGATTCCTTTGATATTCAAAGTGGAGTGAAGCAGGGCTGTGTTCTCACACCAACTTTATTCAGGATCTTTTTTGCTGTCATGCTGAAACATGCTTTTGGAACTACCACAGAGGGTATTTACCTCCAGACCAGATCAGACGGAAAACTCTTCAATCTCTTTAGATTGAGAGCAAAGTCTAAAGTCCAGCTGAAATGCTTACAGAATTTCCTCTTCGCTGATGATGCTGCCGTCACTGCTCACTCTGCTGAAGACCTTCAACAACTTATGGACAGTTTTAGCAAGGCCTGCCAAGACTTTGGACTAACAATCAGCTTAAAAAAAACACAGGTCATGGATCAGGGCGTGGATTCACCTCCCTGTATTACAATCTCTGCACAAGAACTGGAGGTCGTCCATGACTTTGTGTACCTCGGCTCAACTATCTCTGACACACTCTCTTTAGATACTGAGCTGAATAAACGTATTGGTAAAGCGGCCACCACATTTTCCAGACTTACAAAGAGAGTATGGCTTAATAAGAAGCTGACAGTACATACAAAGATCCAGGTCTATAGAGCCTGCGTCCTGAGCACACTCTTGTACTGCAGTGAGTCTTGGACCCTTTATGCACGGCAGGAGAGAAAGTTGAACACCTTTCATATGCGCTGTCTCTGACGAATTCTTGGCATCACCTGGCAGGACAAGGTTTCAAATAGCGCAATATTGGAACGTGCTGGAATTTCTAGCATGTATACACTATTGAAACAGCAACATCTACTCTGGCTGGGGCATGTCGTGAGAATGGCTGGTGGTCGGATTCTGAAAGATCTCCTGTATGGAGAATTAGTGCAGGAAAAGCGCCTCAGAGGGAGACCACAGCTGTGATATAAGGATATCTGCAAGAGAGACCTAAAGGCCCTGGGAATGGACATTAACAACTGGGAAACCTTGACCTCTGATCGTTCAGCTTGGAGGCTAAAGACGCAGCATGGCCTTCTCCAATTCGAAGAGACACTTGTTCAGCAGGCTGAGGCAAAGAGGCAGTCCCGGAACCAGCGAAATCTGGGGGCTGGGCAGGGGACAAGAATGTATCTGCCCTCAGAGTGGAAGGGATTGCCACTCTCGAATTGGCCTTTTTAGTCACACTAGATGCTGTTTTAGGACCTCTTTCCAGAGCACGATACCATAGTCTCTTGAGACTGAAGGATGCCAATGAGACAATGAGCCACCACTGTGATGCAAGTGCCAAAAAGGAAAATGCGGTATTGGGCTGCATTAAGGATATTTTCCATATTGTAGAATGTATAATTCCACTTACTCTGCTTCAGTCATACCCCACTCTGAAGGGTATGTTCAGTTCTGAGCTATTATTAAGTAGACAATAAAAATAGGATGGACATCTGAAGGTTTGCTATGAAAAATCTGCTTAGCATCTGACAGATAAAGCCACTTGGATTTGTTCACATTAGATTCTGGCTCAACAACTCCTATTGAATTGACAAAAGAGAAGTCTATGAGATGTTTGAGGAATTTAAAGCTGGCTCTTTCAATAGAATGAGATGATCTACGTATCCCTGATAGTGTATTTTGTTTTTATGACAGAGATGGAGTTTGATTTATCCTTCTTCAGTAGGTTGCACATATTACATGTCTTGATCATTGCTTTTATTTTGCTGTTTTTAAACCATAATATGTAAGCTTCCTGAACTTACTCTGGTGATAAGTATGGCTTGCAAGTAAAGAAATAAATCCCTAACTAAAATATATTTTCATCCTTTTCTTTTTTAGATGGATGGATGGTGCTTTTCTAGATCTCAATGGAGAAAAGATGGAAGGTGAAGTAGATGAATTTTTTCGAGAAATTTATAAGACAGTAAGATTTTTTCAACAACAGCTAAAGAAAGCTGAAATAGAAAGAAAAAAGTCACTACGAAGAGCAGTAGTTGAAGAGAGAGTAGAGGAAGAAAAGAAGGACAACCCAACTATTTCAATGTGTAATTCTGTAATGCAGCAGATTAAAGATTTCAAAGTAAGTGTTTAATTGTAAAGCAAAGTTTTAAAAACTATACACTATACGCTGACATACACTCAGAAATATTTAATAATAGTGATATTTGCATGATATGCTGAATTGCATCATGGGCAAAACTAATGTGCTATACAAACTGTTGTGAATCCAGTGAATGAAGAAGTTACAGAAGAGCAGATTTAATTCAAGTAAGATTTAGATTTCAAATGTTCTTCCCTGGTCAGCTGAGCCATGATAATATTGTTAACTCAGTCAAAAGTAGAGCAACAGTCTAGCCTCTGTAGTCAGTCTCAAAGAGGAAGAACTGAGGCTATAGAGTGGTTAGAAATGTACAGTGTCTATTATAGAACATGTTGCTGGAGACCCTGGCAGCCACTGACCACCCATTTTTATACTGATTAGCTACATCAATCAATCAAGCCTAATACCCGAAAACTGAGTTTTTTAATCCTTTATCTTGGGTTAATCCATTAAATCAATGGAAGGTAACTATTGAAATAGATTCTCACCACACACACCCCAAAAGAAAATAAATTGAAAGTTTATTAGATTTATAGCAGACTGGTATAAAAATGATAACAAAATATGGTATAAAATGGTTCATAAGTTCGAAAAAGAATAAATCAAGTAATATTGAATTGCAATTGTTTAAAATCATTAAATTGTGGAAATAGTAAATTAGGAAACAAAGAAGGCAAAATTGATGGGGGGTGGGAAATGTACTAATTCAAATTAGAAGAAAGTAGATTAAATTCCAAACCTTTTCCAATGTACAGTAAGCATATATAAACATTTTAAATATTTAATCATAACATTGCTCACATGAAGATTCAAGATTCCTAGATAGCTTTCAGGTTCAACTGATAGTAGCAAAAGTACATAGAAAGTTAATAAAGGAAAAAAGTTCTGAAGAAGACACATTTTCATGTAATTTTTGAACGGCCTGTTTCTGCATCTTGGGACAAAGTTTAAAAGCATAGTTATACCACAGTACCCAATAAAAAAGCTCTTGTTTTGTCTGGGGCATGAGATTCTATGATTTGACTGACCACTGTGCTTTAGATATCACCACAAATTGCATTGGTCACTGGTTTGCATTCTTACTGGTTACTGGTTATGTCCTAAAACCTATCACCTAAAACAGAGGTGTCAGACTGGATTTCTTCAAGTGCCAGATCAGCATTGTAGTTCTACTCTGTGGGCCAGCCAGTGTGGGGAAAGGGGAAGGACGCCTCCTGAAGCACCCTGCCAGCCAAAATGGATTGTCCTGCTAGTAACTACATTATAATTTAATCATTCCAAAGGTGTTATTGGCACCAGTCAAGAAGGCACTGGTGATTTCCAGATTTAGGGCCAATGTCTTCTGAAAATGTTAAGCAATATGCATGAGAAATGTGTGTATATGTGTGTGAGTATGTACACAAGTATGTATGCAGAAATAAATATATGCTTTTAGCTACACTGCCAAAAATCATAAATAAATTTCAAATTTTGTGTAACGTTGTAATTTTTTTCTCTCAACTAGGAAAATATCCCATTGGTGACTATCCTTTGTAATCCAGGCATAAAAGCTCGTCATTGGAATCAGATGTCAGAAATTGTTGGATATGATTTAACTCCAGATTCTGGAAGTACCTTAAGAAAAGTGTTAAAGCAGAATCTAACTCCTTACTTAGAGAAATTTGAAGTCATAAGTATGGGAGCAAGTAAGGTAAGATAAAACATTAACTATTAAACCCAACCTCTCAAGATCCAAAGGAATTAAATAATAAAACAATTTATTTCCTCTATGGCATAGGAATTTTCACTAGAAAAAGCAATGCATAATATGATGGAGACCTGGGATTCAATTTTCTTCCAAACTGGCTTATATCGTGAGACTGGAGTTAGTATTCTGTCTGCTGTTGATGAAATCCAGACAATTCTAGATGATCAGATTGTAAAAACACAAACAATGAGGGGATCACCATTCATCAAACCATTTGAAAAACAAATGAAGGTATTTGCTGTATTACTGACTTTATTACTAAAATGCCAGTCTTTAAGAAATGTTTTAATCGTTTTTTTAAATCCTGTAAAATGCTCAACCATAATTTTTCCTTCCAAGTGCCCTTTCACTTGATTGAATAAGAATGGGAGATGACACCCCAAATGATACAAAAGTAAGATAAAGTAGAACAATGAAGACAGAATTAAGATATTCAAGTAATTACTAAAACAATCATAATAATTTTCAAAAGTCTGGGTTCAAGAATTACATTTTCATCCTTTTCTAAAACTAGAGAAAGTGAGCATCACACCTAGTTCTTGGGTACATTATGTTCCATCTTTCAATTACTTGCAGATAAAACCTCTCTGTGATAATGCCTGAATTCTAGGAATGCTGTTCTTCTTAAAATGTATGATTTATCTACTACTGTATCTTTTACTTAGATTTCCCCCGAAGAACTATTTCTTTACCCAGAATTGCCTACTCTCAATTATAGATGAGAGATAAGGAATTTCTAAAATAGCCCAAAGGATAAACAAATGGAAGAGAGTTTTCAATTTAATTTGTCCCATTATTCTGGTTTTGACTTTGCTTTTCATAATGTAGATATAGATGTATATTTATAGATATAGATACTCCGTCCTATAATCTTAATGCATTTTTAGGAATGGGAAGAACGCTTAATCAGAATTCAAGAGACTATTGATGAGTGGCTAAAAGTGCAAGCTCAGTGGCTTTACTTGGAACCAATTTTTTCTTCAGAAGACATTATGCAACAAATGCCAGAGGAAGGGCGCCAATTCCAGACTGTGGATAGATATTGGAGAGATATTATGAAATACTGTGCCAAAGATCCCAAGGTAAAGTAGTAACGATGAGTCTGCTCTGAATAGGTGAAATAAGTGTACCATATAGTTTACAGATTAACAGAGTTGGAAGGGACCTTGCAGGTCAACTAGTCCAACCCCCTGCCCAAGCAGGAGACCCTACATCTGCCTCTACCTAGGATCGAACTCACAACCCCCTGATTGTGAGGCAAGAGCTCCACCTCTAGCCCACAGGATATATTTGTAAGCTGTGCACAAAATTTGTAAGTGACTTTTCTTTTGTGAAGTAGCCTGGTATTGGAGTTGCAAAAAGCCATTACTGAAAGTCTATCATACTATGTGAAACAGCAGAATGGCAGAAATTTGTTTTTGAAAAAAATCTGAATATACTGCAAAAATATATTGGCAGTTTTCTTTAAATGAGAGGTGGCTACTTAATAATTGAGAAATCTACATAAAGAAAAAAATTCTATTTTTATTTCATGTGAAATCTAAAAGTTAGATTTTACATGAAACAAAAATTAGCATGCAGTTGATGAAAAATGACTGCACAATGGAATGTTCAATTATTTTTATCATTAGTATTTCAAAATTACAGGTAGTCCTTGATTTACAACGGTTCATTTAGTGACTGTTCACTGAAAAAAGTGACATGACCATTTTTCACATTTATGATCGCTGCAGCATCCCCGTGGTCACATGATTTACATTCAGATGACAATTGACTCATATTTATGACGGTTGCAGTGTCTCGGGGTCATGTGATGCCCTTTTGCACCTTCTGACAAGCCAAGTCAATGGGGAAGCCAGAGTCACTTAGCCACCATGTTACTAATTTGACAACTGCAGTGATTCACTTAACAACTGTGGCAAGGAAAGTCGTAAAATGGGGCAAAACTCACTTAACAAATTTCTCACTTAGCAACATAAATTCTGGGCTCAATTGTTGTAAGTCGAGGACTACCAGTATTAAAGGACGCTTAATGAAATAAACTTTATAATCTGTAATCATGATTCACTCACCAAAATTTCATAAATAGAAATATTTTAGTGTGAAATAATACAATAAAATTGGCACTCTTAATTAATTCCTAAATTTGATAATAGTCTGGGATGAAGGTGAACAAACCAAAACTGTTATCACGTAATACTGATATTAGTAGGAAATCAAGTTCTGAATTTACATCTCATTCAGTTCAGAATGGGGTCATACTGTACTATCATATAAGGAGTGCCCAACTAACTGATGAATTGTCACAGTTGGGTTAGGATTGGGGTACAACTGGTAATTGTGTAAATCTATTCCTTGACTGCTTGACTACTGCAAGGCAGTATCCAGAAATTTCAGTTTTAGTAAAATATGGCAACTAGGTCCTGCATGTAGACAAGTGGGTTGTAAATATTAATATAAATAATTATAGATTTCCACTAACAGTCCATTTTTTTCATTAATTTTAATTAATTAATCCATGTTAACCATTAATATTTGTCAGATGCCTGGCAAAATTTTTGAACATATATAAATATATATGATTTTGATCATATATAAATATTGCATGAATAACATTTTTGATAAATGTATAGAACATTACTTGCACCTTCAACTGTATAGTGCTTTTTCAGCCACATGAAATTAATGCTTAGAAACTTAAACAGGCTGAGGCTCCCAGCACTATGAAGAGCATGTTAGTGTATGTATTTTTTTGCCATTTTTTTAACATACAAAATTAGACATAGGTTTTTTTTTCCAAGCCCTTGTTGCAAATGTACTTAGCAGTGTAATTCTTGGACATGTAATTCTAGTCTAGGGTTTAGTTTAGTTTTCTTTTCTTTTTTAGGTTCTTGCTGCCACATCATTGACAGGGTTGTTGGAAAAACTTCAGAATTGTAATGATCTTCTTGACAAAATCATGAAAGGATTGAATGCCTATCTTGAGAAGAAGCGCCTCTTCTTTCCCCGGTATGCTTCTGTTGTTCATTAATAAAGCTGGAATAGATATCTTTAAATTCATATTTTTATGCAGATGTACTCAACTATAGTAATTGATGCATTATTAATTTATTTTAGCTTTTTTTTCTTGTCTAATGATGAGATGTTGGAGATACTCTCAGAGACTAAAGACCCTCTCCGTGTCCAGCCTCACTTGAAAAAGTGTTTCGAGGGCATTGCTAAACTTGAATTTCGGCCAAATCTGGATATTAAGTCAATGTATAGCACTGAAGGTGAACGTGTGGAATTTATTTCAACTATTTCAACTTCTGAAGCTCGGGGAGCTGTTGAAAAGTGGCTAATACAAGTCGAAGATATTATGTTGAAGAGTATTCATGATGTTATTACAAGATCAAGACTGGTATATTTTCTGTTAAATATTTAGAATCTTATTTAGCTGATATGCACCATTATTAAATCTGACTAAATTGGTTGTGTTCCCTCAGTCATTTTGAGGGAAACTAAAGCTGAATAGATGGGAGGGTGAATAGATTTAGATAAGTTAATAGGGAGGAACTTGAAAGTTTTTTTTCTTCCATGTAGATTAAACTCAACTAACAATGTCATCCATATCTAGATAGATTACAGTTAATCTTAGCTATAGTGAGACTGTAGAACAAATTTCAGTAACCTCACTCAAGACTGCTTATAATTTATAGCTGATGGTTATTAAAATGGAAGTAGATATTCTGATCTTCACCTATTAGCCATTCCAAAAACGGGGGGGAAACTGGTTTAGCCTTGATATTGTAATGCTAATCTATAGTTTTGCATTTTGTGAAAAGAGTGGCTGGATTCAATTTTATATATTATTAATCATGATTACTCCTAAGTAACACTTATCATTTCCTTAGGCATATCCAGAAAGCCCAAGAAAGGATTGGGTGAGAGAATGGCCTGGGCAGGTAGTTTTATGTGTCTCACAAATGTTCTGGACAAGTGAAGTTCATGAAGCCATAGCTAGTGGTCCAGAGGTACTATTATGAATCATAATTTTTCTGATATTATTTTTGTATTTTTAGCCATGTTATATTTGTTCTATGGTGCTTATGATATGATATCTCTCTTTGAATTAATGATGCAAGTTACATATGTAAATGAATACAAAGATAAAAGTCAACATTCCATGAAGTTGAATTTTACTTTTTTTTTTAAACATATGTTTTATTGATACATTTTGTTTATAAACAAAAAGTTCCATATTTATCTGAACAGCGTGTTGTCTGGGCACAGTTAGTTTTAAGCAGAAATACAACAATAATCATAATATTCATAATAAACATGTCAATATTAATCATAAAGTAATAATGCAATTGGTTTATCCAGCTTGCAAAATTTTCAATACAATTTTTTTAAAAATTATCTTTTTACTCTTTTTAGTTTCTAACCTCTATTTTTGTTAGTTAGCCATTGGTAAAACAAATCCCATGTTAAAGAGTTGACTTTTGTTGACTATGAACATAGCCATACAGTTTTGCTTTTGTTTTGCCAGATAAGTTTTAATGGTTTTCTTTTTTTCAACTTTCCAATCTAATTTATCCATATCTAGAAAACTTTATGTCTCAAGGCTTTATTAATATTGGAGACTCTTACAATACTTAATTATTTAATTATTTATCACAGTACTTATAGAACAGTAATATCAATCCAATATTTGTTTTCTGGATATTATACTAGGGTTATACAGATACTCTGATCCAAAATAGAGAAGGTGCTTTAAAGAGAAAGTATTTATCTGTATATCTGCTTGCATAACAACTCTACAGCACCTTTTCTGACATCTTTTCGGTTTCAGATTTAAATGCAAATTTAGTCATTAAGTAATAAGATTCCTAAAAAATCATTCCCCATTACTTTTCTTTGGTATGGAAAATTATGTGCACAGATGAAGGGAAAATCAGAAATATACATGACCAGCATTTGATTATTAAAGTTATTAAAGCAAAACTTAATGATTGATGAAATTGAGAATAAACAACAGAATAATACTGAGAAACTCTTAGCTATTCACACTGAAGTGTGAATACACTGAAGTGTATTATAGTTGAATTTTCCATTTTCATTGTTCAGGGCTTGCAGAATTATTACCAGGCTCTTCAATATCAGTTAAATGATATTGTAGAGTTGGTAAGAGGAAAGTTGTCTAAACAAACACGGATTACATTGGGTGCTTTGGTCACTATTGATGTTCATGCTAGAGATGTCGTCATGGAAATGATTGAAAGCGGTATGTAACATAAATTTATTCACCATCATGAAATAATACATACTGTTGTGTGCTTGATTTTTGCCTGATTATTTAAGAAATTATTTTTTAAATTAATTATGTTTGTTAAAATAATAATTTGGTCATTTTAAACATGTCTCAATTATTTTTGGATTGTTTTCTTTTTCTGTTTTCCTGCTAAAAAAATATTAAGCCTAAAACATATTCCTTCTTTACATTCTACTAGGTGTGTTAAAGGAGACAGATTTTCAATGGCTTGCTCAGTTGCGATATTACTGGGAGTATGATAATGTACGTGTGCGCATCATCAATTGCAATGTAAAATATGCTTATGAATATCTTGGCAATTCTCCTCGACTCGTTATTACTCCTCTCACAGACAGATGTTATCGCACTCTGGTAAGGTTTTAAAAATCCAGTTTCTAAAAAGTCAGTTAATTACAATAAATCCTCATTGTATTTGCATTTTTAAAGTTATCTTGAACAAATATTGTTGTTCTCAGAATTTCTGTTACTAAAGAGTGAGATTCTAATACTGTACATTTGTTGTTCTTAAATTTATTAATTTAATAGCAGTATTGAGTTTTCCTTTTCTGGTTATTTTCTTCTGTAGTTGGATGGATTTTTAAATTTAAATTCTTATACTAGCAGAGTTGGAATCAAAGGCCTAATGTTCTCTTTTGGCCCTATTGATTCTAAGAAATAAAATTTATGTATAAGTAATGTTCTCCAGATTTAGAGCAATTCCTCAAGATTATCTTATCCTATTGAAATTCAGTATCTGATTCTGATATCGTTGTGAAAAATGGAAAATATAAATGAGTTTGTTTTGAATTAGAAGCTGTTATTGGAATAGCAAAAAACTATCATACTGTATTATTGATTCAAAGGAAATGACAGATCTGCTCTGATGTGATTACATGTAATTTCATTCGTTTTCAAGTGTGAGGGTTTATATTTTGAAATATTATCATTAATGTCTTTCTTTTAGATTGGAGCATTTTATTTAAATCTTGGTGGTGCTCCAGAAGGTCCAGCTGGGACAGGTAAAACAGAGACCACCAAAGACTTGGCTAAAGCTGTTGCAGTGCAATGTGTTGTCTTCAACTGCTCTGATGGCCTTGATTATCTAGCCATGGGGAAGGTAAATTGAACTTGCGTTTTTAAAAGTGTGATTTCAATTTTTAAAATATTCCTAGGTCAAGGAATGCTTGTAAGAAATCCAACTTCATAGTTTGTTAGTAATTTTTTCAGTCTCATAGGGCTGAATGCAAAGTTTAGTAAAAGCTATTCGTTTTTTAACTGGTGTAACAATTAAATATTAGGTGTAACAGTTTATCTGTTTAAAATTTGTATAACTGCCGATCTTAAAACCAAACTCTGGGCAACTTACAATTCAAAACTAAAACAAAATATACAGCAATAGAAACGAAAGAAACAATAAATCCAAAACCAGAAAAACCTAGCACCACAACCATACTTTCCTGTTGCAACTTGCAATATTTTCATTTCATTCTAAGCTCACACTATTCCAATGCTTGGGGGAATAACCAGCCTTTAATTATTATTTCATGATCCCCATCCATTTACAAAATTAGACATCCTTTTTACACAACCAACAGATATGGTGGTATCTTAGACATATGGTCCCAAATAAATAACCAATTCCTCTATATTAGTACCTTCTTGATTTGGAAGGTTTAGCTTGATAGATAGCATGGTTGTTGTCACAAGGATTATCAACATTCACTTTTTTGAGAATGTCAGGCCCGATCTTCCTCCTTACATTTCATTTCACTATAGTGATTTGGAGCTCTAGCCCACAGTCATATGATGGGTGTGATTTCTAGTCTTAGAATAACCGATAGAGACAGTTTAGACAGTTTACTGTACTTCTTAAAGAGAGGATGCTTGTAGACAAGTTACATCACAGTAGCGGAACTCTGACATTGTTTTATTTAAAGAAGAAATAGCCACAAAGTTATTTTTTTGTAAGCAAGCTCCTAAATTAGTAACAAGGTAGCATGAATTATGACTGGCCTTTATAGGTTGGGCTATTCTAGGAGCCTGGATCCAGCCCAAAAGGATTGCTTAATAGTTTTTCACAGTTCTAATATTCATATACTCAATCATTAAATATAAAAAACGTTTTGCCTGAACTGATTTAATCAGTTTCACAGCTGATACAGTATCATAAAGCCTGATTAGGATAAATAAGTGTAATTAAGGCTTGAAAAACAAGTAAAGGAAGACAATGTATTGTATTCACATAGTGTGCTATCCCATTATTTGGGTGATATGTAAAATTATTTACTCACTGAATCATGAACTAATCAAACTGTCTGATTGTGCACACTATAATATACATTCTAGGTTAGTGAGTTGTGGAAATGCAGCCAGCTTCCCATTAGTATCTGTAGCAATGGCCCTTTCAAATGATGAAATATGCATTCTGACATTGCTGCACAAGCTTTCCCTATACATATTTCTGGTGTGATACCATGATGAAAATATTAAAGGGATAGAGTTGCTCCCCCTGCTTCCTGTTAAGAAAAACAAAGTATTATTCTAATTTGGAGGGCTTTTTCAAGTGGCTACTCTTTGCTAAGGATTACTGCTTCATGTTTCTTCATGTATCTTATTACAAATAATAATTTTACAGAGGCCTTTCGATATAATTTCTTCCCCTAATATAATGTCATTTCCCTAATGAAACCAAATTTAATTAATATAGTAATGAACATGTGTTAGGGGTTAATAGGAACATGTCTTGGAGTTAATTGTTAATTAATTAATAAGTTGATTAATTGACTCCAAGATTAACATCAGATCAACAATCAAGTAAGCAACCCCCACAATCGAGGAACTGCCAAATAAGCCAACAGTAAACAGCCATCCAAAGAACTTCTAAAACCACCCCAAGGCAAGCCACTGGAATATAAACTAAGAGCAAACCTCATTCCTTACTGATGATGTTACCTAGTTTGGGTAATGAAACATCTGCAAGAAGACAACCAAGCTCCGAGAGCACCAAGGACCTTTTATTTCAACCCTTCAACCCATATTTCAATATTCTCCTTTATTGGAACATGTGTTAATTCTGAGGGTCCTGACTCAAAATGATAAATTATGTCAGCATGTTAAATTATATATTCTTGCTGTGTCTGCTGTTTTGTCTTTAGTTTTTTAAGGGTTTAGCTTCTTCAGGTGCTTGGGCCTGCTTTGATGAATTCAATCGCATTGAACTGGAGGTACTGTCTGTGGTAGCCCAGCAGATTCTTTGCATCCAGAGAGCTATACAACAGAAGATGGAGATATTTAATTTTGAAGGAACTGAACTGAAGCTTAATCCCAATTGTTTTGTTGCTATTACTATGAATCCAGGTTATGCAGGTCGCTCTGAGCTACCAGATAATCTGAAGGTAAAGTAGAAAAATAAATAGATTAATGAGGTAATTCAGATATGCTTTTAAATAGCCATATATTAAGATTAGAAAAGTGCATGTATTTCATATGCATAAAAGAGATAGTCATATAAATAGCGTGTGCCAATGTATTATTAATGGAACCCTCGCACATGCCCGAGATGGCGACTCCCGATGGAGGTCCGGTTTTACGGGGGTAATGTCCTGACAGTTGGGGGTCCTTAGGGCCAATTACCCATCTATGGCCCATGGTGTGTTGAGAGAGCTGATTTGCCGATCCGATGGGAGCATTTTCGGCTCTGGAAGACCTTCTAGGAGAGCGGTTTTGTGGCTTCGCTCTCTGAAACAGCTTATAATGAGACGGGCAGTGCTGGTGGGATTTGAGTCAGTGAATTTGGGCCGATAGCTTCATGACAGCCGGCCCTACATTCATCAGAGGCTGCCGGATGGATGGCGATATACGGCTGCGATGACTGTCTGGCACCCTGGACTGACTTCGTTAGACTCTTGGCAAGATTGGAGGTTGCCTGCAGAGGCCGGCGGTGGGCGAAATCGGTGCAGAGGAGGCCGATGGTGGTGGCAGTTTAAAATTCCAAAATGGCGCCCGAAATAGCAGTTACAGTTGGCAGTTACAGGCAGCAAAAACCAAAGCAATTTAGAGACCAAAGAGGCCTCAGAAAGGAGAATAGGGACCTTTCTTATTTATTTTCAACTGATCTCCTGGGCAATGGAAAGATGCTGATCCTTCCATTGTCGGGCCAGCTCTGGATTACCATCCCAGAGGCCTCCCCCCTCTCTTTCTATAGGGGGGGGGTGTTAAACCTTCATGCATAAAAGACCTAAAGAAAGCTAAGGAGATTAGAAATGATTGTTATGTCTATCATGGGGGCTTTGCTTCTACAAAGTGACTGCCTTATTCCATCTCCCCTCCTGTATTTTTATCTCCTATCGCCCTTTTATGACCGGATATTCGGCTTTTTGTGAATCATTTGCTATCCAGGTTTGTTGTTTCCTGTATATCAGGATGAGAATTTCCTTACTTTTATTTCATCTGAGTCTCCCTGGATTTTCGCCTACTATATATATTTCCCACAGACTATCCGTATCTCTAATCTCAAGGATTGGCTATTCCATCTATGCCTAGGTACAACATTGAAAGAACAGGACTATAGCTGCTGTTTTCTTCCCTTATATCTGGTTGCCGTGAGAGGGTGATCAATGTTCACATCTGAGTTCAAAATGGCTCTTTCTACTGCTGATATGAGAGTTCAGCAGGACTAAAATGACTTGTACCTCTAATTGATACTCTCTCCACAGGACCCTGGATAACTAGGACATGCCTACCAGCTATATATCTAGCTACAAAATGTACTCATTGGGAGAACTCCTCAAACTGCGAGATGCCCCCCTCTCGCAGGTCTGGCCCTCTTCTTTATCGAGGGCCTATCTCGATGACGGACTTTGGAGTCCGGAGAGATGGCATACAGCAAAAAGAGGGTTATGGGGTTTTTTAGGGAAATTTCTTAATAAGATTTTAAGGGATTCTGGGAGGGGGGTAGATTACGTGGGTTCGGGGGAAGACCCGCGGGGGAGGGTATCTGGGCCAGCCGTAGGGCATGGCATGGGAGGTGTGAACTCTGGGGTCAAGGAGATGATTAGATCTTACGATACAGATGCCCATAACATCGATACTGTAGGTGGGAGGGGCAGATATGGCGGGAGCAGGGGGCCACATCATCCTACGGGAGTGCGTCCTCGCTGTTTACAAGCGGTGGCGCGCTCTGACCCTCAAAGCTCTTCTCGTTCCCCAGGTTGTACGGAACCTCGGGCCCCAGGCCTTCGGCTGATGCTGTGCAACGCCAGGTCTGTGGTAAATAAAGCCCCCCTCATTTGTGATCTTATTCAGGAGGGGGGTGCGGACCTGGCGGGTATTACGGAGACCTGGTTGGGCCAGGAAGGGGGAGCCCCCCTTGTTGATATGTGCCCATCAGGTTTCCGTGCTTTCCATCAGCCAAGGTCTCGGGAGGGGCGGAGGGGTGGCGGTTGTTATTAACGAGGGTCTTGGACCAAGGGAGGCCACTGTTCCTCAGACGGCTGGATGTGAGTCCCTTCTTGTGAAGTGGGGTCATAGGGTGCAGTTGGGCTTGCTAGTCACGTACCTGGCTCCCTGCCATGTGGCAGCAGCCCTGCCTGAGCTGCTTGATGTTATAGCCGCGGTGGCTGTTGACACCCCCAGGCTTATGGTCATGGGGGATTTTAACCTGTCATCAGTTGGCGAGACATCTGAGGTGGCTCGGGAGTTCATGGCTTCCATGACGGCTATGGACCTGACCCAGTTAATTTATGGCTCTACTCACATGGGGGGACACACACTGGACCTTGTTTTTGTCTCTGGACAGTGGTTGAGTGATCTCGAGATAGGGGATATAGTGATTGAACCCTTGTCATGGTCAGATCACTCCCTCCTTCGCCTGGACCTTCGAACCGCCACACCCTGCCGCAGGGAGGCGGAACCGACCAGGTGGTTCCGCCCCAGGCACCTGATGGATCCTGAGAGATTCCAGATGGAGCTTGGGCCATTTCCTGAGGTTCTAGCACACGACTCGGCTGAGGACTTAGTGGCCGCCTGGGATAGGGCGGCGGCTGATGCTTTAGACCGAGTCGTGCCTTTGCGGCCTCTGACCCGGCGCCGGTCTCACCTGGCTCCTTGGTATACTGAGGAGCTGAGGGAGATGAAGCGCTGGAAAAGACGCCTAGAGAGCAGTTGGAGGGCTAGTCGTTCTGAATCCGACCGAACACTGGTAAGATCTCATATTAAGAATTACCTAGTGGCGATAAGAGTAGAGAAGAGTAACTACTTTTCTACTCTTATTGCGTCATCAGATAATCGCCCAGCCGCCCTGTTTAGGGTGACCCGCTCTCTGCTCCATCAAGAGACGCGGGAAGACCCCTTGGAGGGTAGAGCTGAGGATTTTGTACAATATCTGTATGACAAAATTGCTCAGATTCGTGAACAGCTAGACTCTGACTGGATTGATCCAGAGGAGATGACAGGGGCAGGTCCTGAGAATATTATTTGGGAAGAGTTTGATCCTGTGACTCCCGAAAGCGTGGACAGGATACTGAACAGACTAAAGGCGACCACATGTTTATTGGACCCGTGTCCATCCTGGTTGGTACTGGCCTCCCGGGAGGTGACACGAGGCTGGCTCCAGGAGATTATAAATGCTTCTTTGAGTGAGGGTGTCTTTCCCACCGTCTTGAAAGAGGCGGTGGTGAGGCCCCTCCTCAAGAAGCCCTCCCTGGATCCAGCTGTATTAGCAAATTATCGTCCTGTCTCCAACCTTCGCTTTGTTGCAAAGGTTGTTGAGAGTGTGGTTGCACGACAACTGCCTCAGTACCTGGATGAATCAAATTATCTAGATCCGTTCCAGTCGGGATTCAGGCCCGGGTACAGCACAGAGACAGCATTGGTCGCATTGGTTGATGATCTCTGGAGGGCTCGAGACAGGGGTTGCTCCTCAGTCCTTGTCCTATTAGACCTCTCAGCGGCTTTTGATACCATCGATCATGATATCATGCTGCACCGGTTGGAAGGGTTGGGGGTAGGGGGCACTGTTCTACAGTGGTTCTCCTCCTTTCTCTCTGATCAGTCGCAGTCTGTGTTGACAGGGGGGCAGAGGTCGACCCCGAGGCCCCTTATATGTGGGGTGCCACAAGGATCGGTCCTCTCGCCCCTTCTATTCAACATTTATGTGAAGCCGCTGGGTGAGATCATCCGTGGTTTTGGGGTGAAGTACCATCAGTACGCTGATGACACCCAGCTGTACATCTCCACCCCGGACCACCCCAATGATGCCCTTGAAGTGATGTCCCGGTGCCTGGAGGCCGTACGGATCTGGATGGGGAGGAACAAACTCAGACTCAACCCATCCAAGACCGAGTGGCTGTGGTTTCCGTCGTCCCGATATAGTCAGTTGGCGCCATCTCTGACTATTGGGGGCGAGTCGTTGGCCCCCACAGATGGGGTTCGCAACTTGGGCATCCTCCTGGACTCACGGCTGTCTTTTGAAGAGCATATGACGGCCGTAGCCAGGAGGACTTTTTATCAGGTTCGCCTGATTTGCCAGTTGCATCCCTTTCTGGATCGGGACTCGTTACGCATGGTCACTCACGCCCTTGTCACCTCACGCCTGGATTATTGTAATGCTCTCTACATGGGGCTCCCCTTGAGAAGCACCCGAAGGCTCCAACTGGTCCAGAATGCGGCTGCGCGGGTGGTAATGGAAGCAATGTGGCGCTCTCATGTAACCCCCCTCCTGCGCGAGCTGCACTGGCTCCCAGTGGTCTTCCGGGTGCGCTTCAAGGTTTTGGTTACTATCTTTAGAGCACTCCATGGCTCAGGACCAGGGTACTTACGAGACCGCCTCCTGCCACCAATAGCCTCTCACCGACCAGTTCGCTCCCATAGAGAGGGACTCCTCAGGGTGCCGTTGGCCAAACAATGTCGACTGACGGCCCCCAGGGGGAGAGCCTTTTCTGTGGGGGCACCTACCATCTGGAACGGGCTTCCCCCGGAGTTACGAAACATCCAAGACTTACGCATTTTCCTCCGAGCCCTGAAAACATTTCTATTCCAACAAGCTGGTCTGGCCTAACTCTCCCTTTTTAATTGGCTTTTAAACTGTCTTTTAAATTGGGGCATCTTATAGTCCGAAAAATACAGTACTTTTATACAGTAATTTAAATCTTTAGGTAGAGTAGCTTCATTAAATTGCTTATAAATGATGATGGGTGTGGACCAACTGCACTGTAATACATAAGCATCTGTGTACTTGTATACTTTTGTGCATTTTTCAGGAAATGTTCCAAATGCAAATTAAAATGAATAAGATCAGTCCTTCTTTATTAGATTAGTTAAGGCCACCCACCTCCACAAAGACTCTAGAAAGCTTACAAAATATCAATTGTATAATTAAAAGATAACATAGCAAAATATAACTGTCAACACAAGACAATAGCAATAACATTTAAAAAATGTGACAGGGGCTTCACAAATACCCTATCCCAGACCTGGCAGCACAGCCAGATATTATGGGGCTATTCTGGAGGGTGGAAGTGTTTTTAATGAAATTTATCAAGTCACTGCACAGTTGTCAGCAGTCATGGAGAAAAATTCTTAACCTCCTTAGTTTGATCACTCAGTAATATATATAGTTTGCTGAATGTCAATTTAATATGGTATGTATTTGAAACATGCCTAGTTGCGCATATATATATATATATATATATATATATATATATATATATATATATATATATATATATATATATATATATATATATATTCATAGATTCTCACGGGTACAGGTAGGCAATTCTTGGTGTATTCAGGTCTTCTCCCGTGTAAGATTGAGAGCACTTTGGCAACGTTTCGGCAGAATCTCATCTGCCATCATCAGGCTTATGCAAGGGATCTTTTGCAGCAACTGCCGTTACTATTTCAAATCTGGTGCTGGTAGTCTGCTTTGCTGGGATGGCCCCACTTTTTCGTTCTGATTGATTGGAAGTCCCAGTCTGTGTCTATTGTCTTGGCTTCGGGTGTATGGTTGGTTTTTCTCCGCCAGGTGGCAGGGCTTCATCTTTGTGGCTGGCTGGAATGTGATTTGGTTGGAGGTCTCGGGTGTGTGTGTGTCTGGCTTCTGGGGTGTAGATTTTTCTGTCTGTGGGTGCTGGGACTCGTTTGTTGACAAGGGCTAGTTTCCAGATGTCTGGTAGGCGGGAGGTATCATCACGTTTATTCATGTTATGGGAGCGTTTTTCTATTTCAATGGCTTCCATAATTATTCTCTTGTTGAGGTGTTCAGTTTTGGAGATTAATTTGGTTCCTTCAAAATCAATTTCAAGTCCTGTAGCTTTAAGGTGCTGGAAAAGAGGAAGTTTTTTCCTCTGCATTCTTGTGTTCTGCAATGCGTGCATTTATTCTCCTAATAACCATACACCCGAAGCCAAGCCAATAGACACAGACTGGGACTCCCAACCAATCAGAACAAAGAGGTGGAGCCATCCCAGCAAAGCAGACTACCAGCACCAGATTTGAAATAGTAACAGCAGTTGCTGCAAAAGACCCCTTGCATAAGCCTGATGATGGCAGATGAGATTCTGCTGAAACGTTGCCAAAGTGCTCTCAATCTTACACGGGAGAAGACCTGAATACTCCAAGATTTGCATACACACACACACACACCACACACCCACACACACACACACACACACACACACACACATATACACATATACATACATATACACACAACACACACACACACACACACACACACACACACACTTTCCCAAATCAATACACATATTAGGGCAATATAAGCAGTTAAAGTTTCCTCATGTCTCTCTTGTTCATTCTAGTGGACAGATGGCATAGTGGCCAATACTTTTCGAGAATTTGCTTTAACTGAAACACCTGACCGCAAATGGGTTGTTTTTGATGGTCCTATTGATACTCTTTGGATAGAAAGTATGAACACTGTGTTGGATGACAACAAAAAGGTAATGCTATTCATTACCTTGGATTGTTGGGGGGGGGGGGATTGCATTAGCTTCCAAATTACCTCTTCTTTCAATTATTGCAGACATATACTTAATTTTCAGTTAAAGAGAATTTAGGGAGTTAATTTCTTTTTCCTATTACTTATTTTTTAATTCATATAGTTTATCATAAAAAAGAAAACAAATTATATTTCAGCAACAACCTTCATTGTGCCTATTTTAAAAAAGGCTTAGCAGTGCAATATGTATGATAGCTCACATTTTTAAAAATACGTTAAAGGAAAGAAGGTGCATGATTAAAAAAATTAAAAAGGGTTGAATACAAGCAACTGCAGAAAAGGAAATGAAAACAATTAATTCATGTGTTGAGCAAGAATGTAACAGCCAAGTGCCTTGGAAAAGCTTTCTAATATAAATCCTATCTTTTAAAAATACTTACAAAGCTTGTCCTTAAGTAATACATTAAGATTTACCATTTTTTACTAGTAAAAGCAACAGAATTGCTCTCGTGGACTGCACCCAGCAAACCCCAGTTTACTCACTGTCCCATTACAAGTAGTTCTCGACCTACAACAGTTCGATTAGTAATCGATCAAAGTTACAACGGCACTGAAAAATGTGACTTATGACTGTTTTTCATAGTTATAACCTTTGCAGCATCCTCATGATCATGTGATCAAAATTCAGATGTTAGGCAACTGGTTCATAGTTATGACCTTTACTGTGTCCTAGGATCATGTGATCAACTTTTGTGACCTTCTGATGAGGAAAGTCAATGGGGAAACCAGATTCACTTAACAATTGCAATGATTCACTTTACAACTGTGGCAAGAAAAGTCGTAAAATGGGGCAAAACTCACTTAACAAATGTCTCACTTAACAATGTAAATTCTGGGCTCAATTGTGGTCATAAGTCGAGGATTTACCTGTATTGTATTCTTCCTCAGGACAACTTTCAAGGCATGATAAATCTTATAGAAACTATGGTGATTTTTATGTTCAGCTATTCTGAATGCATCTACTAGGTTGGCCTTAACTGAGACACTTTCTTTCTCAACCCAAAGTTAGTAGAATCCTTTATAAAAGGATTGCACACATATAATTTGGATATTTTTTTGGTATCTGTTTTTGTTTTCAGCTATGTTTGATGAGTGGAGAAATTATTCAAATGTCACCTCAGATGAGCCTCATCTTTGAGGCTATGGATCTATCTCAGGCTTCCGTAAGTTAAAAGCAAGTTAAAATAGTTTTTTGAATTTGAAATTAGAACCAGAATGAGATTCTAAAAATACATTTATTATTCTGCTGTAGCCAGCTACAGTCAGTCGATGTGGAATGATTTATTTAGAACCTTCGCAGTTGGGATGGAAGCCACTTGTTACTTCATGGTTGAGCACACTTCCTGAACCCCTGAATGAAAAGGAATTCCAAGACCTGTTTGAGGAACTTTTTGATTGGTTAGTACCTCCTGCTTTGCGAGTTCGTTGGAAACAGTGCAAGGTAATTTGACATTCTCTCAGGAAAACGATTTAATCAGCCTATTTTTGTTGACAGAATCATATGTTTGTGAAGCCAGCTTTCTGTTTGGAATTCTAGATATTTTTAAGTTTGTATAATTCAAAGATATAAATAAACTGCTTGGAGTATAGGTAGTTCTCATTTAGCAATCACAATAAGGACCAGCACCTTGGTTATTAAGCAAAGCAATCATTAAGTGAAAACAAACTGCTTATGATCTCAATTTAGCTTTCCTTTGCTTTACAGACTTGTAAAGGTGATATATGCAAGGGTTGATCATACTAAACAAGGCAGCTGCTAAATGAGGACTACTTATACTAAGACTGGTCTTTTGAATCCTACTCGTAGTAGGTTGTAAAATCTGCTAGAACTCTCAAAATTTGTTTGCTGTTATCCATAAGGAATTGTTGCAGATTAGTTCTTGGGTTGGAAGGTTTTGGCCTTAGTTACCTGGAGGGATGCGTTCAAAGACGGTGACTTCTGTTTCATTCTGTGTCTGCTAGGCTTTATCCATGCCCTCCACCCTCATTTTTTAAACATCTGCATGAAATTGCTGGAGGAAGTAATCTAAAAATTGGAATTATCTAATTATACGGATAGTTTAACCTCTGTTGTGCAAACTTAACCTAGATCATCAAATTAAGATGGGAAGGGATAATGTGTTGATATGAATGGAACCTTGGAAATGAATGGATAGAAACCTCCCAAAGAATCAGTTACTCTCTGATCAATTTGCATGCTACTCATCTCAACAAGTGAGTCTATATGGAGAACAAAATTAAAATAAAAAATCACAACCAGCCATATAAAAATTAAATTTTTTAATTTTAATTAAAATTAAAATTTTTAGCAGCTGATGAAGGTATAAACATTAAGGAACCCCAACCCAGCCCTTCACACACTTGGGGCCTCAGGCCAACACATAACCAGTTCTTTTGTGCCTGGTTACAAAGACCATCAGGATTGGGGCCATTCTAATCTCCCTAGGGAAAATATTTCATAGGACAGGTCTTATATCAGAAAAGGCACGTCTCCTGGTCTGACCAACCAGCATTTCTTAGCTGACATGAGTGGATAATTTTAATTTGTATGACTTAAGGTTTTCTGTACATTCACTATGATGATCTGTTACAAAAAATAATAAAAGTTATTTGTTGAGTAAGTTTTATGAGTAATAAAAAGAGGCTCCATGAAACAAAAACAATTATAAACTTTTAATAAAATATTACAATTATATCACTTGAAATGATATCACAATGATATTAAAATATCACTATATTTGTAGCTGTTCAGAATTTGCACTCTTAAAATATAAAATGCGGTAAAACTTCAATTTATAGTACAATATTATAATATAAACCTCTATATCTGTCCTGCACATGTACTTAAGTACTGTTACTCTTTCTCTCTTACAGGAGTTAGTTCCCACCAGCAATAGCAATAATGTGGTATCTCTCATTCGACTGTTGGAAATACTATTGTGTCACAAAGCGAAAAAAGATCCAAGCAATAAAAATATTCATAAATGGGTTACGGTTGGTCTCATAATTTAACATATGTTTCAAACTTGAAAATTGGTTATAATTTTTTTTTATAAATTTCAGCCTTTTGAGTTCACCATTTTTACAGTTAATGTAAGACAAAGTATAAAATATTGTGTTATTCTAGATAAATAATATACACTTCAAATCTTTTATCTGGAAATTTGCTATAACTGTAGCAAATGTACTGAAGTTAAAATATTTATACTTAGTTACTAATTTCTCCATGAACATATTTTATGAAAATACAAATTATTTATTTATTTATTCTTTTGGAAGGGTTGTTTTGCTTTTGCTATGATTTGGTCTATTGGAGCAACCTGTGATAGTGATGGTCGGATTATATTTGATAACTTTATGAGAGATATTGTCATAGGAAAGTTGGATGAACATCCAATACCAGCAACCATAGGAAAATGGGAACATCCATTTGAAGAAAAAGGATTGGTGTATGATTATATGTTTGAGGTATGGAATCTGCTCTAGAATTATTGATAGCTATTTTAATTTTTTATATTTGTTGTCATATTTGTTATATGAGAAAGAAACAAATCACCACTAATAGTAGCTTTCATTAAATGTTAGTTGTGTCTCAGATAATCTGTGTATATGAGCAAGTGTTAAAAAAGTCATGAAAGATATAATAATTTTTTTAAGTGATTGTCATTAAGATAAACCTCTTTAACCTCCCTTTCTAATAGAAGAGAAAATAGGTAAAATCTTCCTTCCCATTTAGTTTTTACAGGAAGCAGTAGTGAGAAACTATTGATATGGTGGATGGGGGTGGGGGGATGTTTGCAAAAGTTTAGCTTGCAGTCAATAAAATATATTTACCAGTATTTGTTTTTTCTAGAGTAGGATTTCCCAACCTACGAGAAATACCTCTCTTGGGGAGGTGCAGACAGAGCCCAGGGAAGGTGTGAAGAACAATGGACAACAAAGTCCATTGTTACAATAAATCTACCTTTCCCAAAGTTTCATTGTATTGCTTTTATTGTTTATTTATGTTCATTTGATATTTGTATTTTTAAGGGAGGTATTACATTAAAATGAGTTGTGATGACAAAATGTTTAGGAATCCCTGTTCTAGAGAATACGGTTTAAAGGGAAAAAAAGTGTTATCATTAGTATAATTTCTAACGAAAACAGAGAGGTGCCTACCATGTGTGCAAGGGCCCTCACTATTGGTATAGAAACACAAAATGCGCTTAAGTTACCTAATATTTTATTCTTTACACATTTCATTGTTTTAACTTAACTGCTTTGATATTAAAAGAGATGCTGATATCTATCAAGTTCTAATGAAACAGAATTTATTTCTGCATTTCTTCACAGTTAAAAGGAAAAGGCCGTTGGGCACATTGGAATGAAGCTGTTAAAAGCATCAATTATAGTGATAAAAGTATTAAAGTTCAAGACATTATAGTTCCAACAATGGACACAGTCAGATATACCTATTTGATGGAATTATGCATTAAATATGGAAGGTAAGAAGATGTTTCCTTTAATTATACAAATGTTTCATTTTCCATATGAGCTCTTTATGTAAAGCATCCAGAAATTATTTTACAGTCTAATTAGCAAACAAGAATTTAGTACTATTGTGTTTCTAATATTAAGCTCCAGAAAATATTATTTAAAACAAAATGTTCTTGTATGCACCTGGTTTAAAGAGTATTAACTTTTATCTTAAGATTTTGCATAATTGCTCATAGTATATTATTATTGTATCATAATATATTTAGAATTGTAGAACTTTCTCTAAGAAAATAGAATGCTCAATTTCTTTAAAGTTCATTTCATTTCATTTCATTTCATTGCCCTTTCTAGCACCACTTCACCACATACATATTTCAAGCCAATGTGCAGTAGGATGTATCTGCACCACAGGCCACCGTAAAATAGAGGGAAGGGAAATTATCTGCAGAAGAGTTCCATTTTCATCTTAGATTTTACTATGTTCTCAGAAAAATACTGAAGTGAATTCACTGTTAAATACCTTTATAGACAAGTACTTCCATTGGGTTTAAATGCATGGATTTATCTCAATAAATCCTGATAAGCTATAAAAGATTGGTTTCTATTAATTTACATAGGTTAACATATTGGACTGTTGAGCCAATATATTGATCCACTGCTTTATGCAGAAGGTTCAGTTTCTATTTCTATTCCAATGGACACCATTGGATTTTACCTTATTTCTAATAACAGTAATAATTCTTTTTAAGTAATTAAAAAAGAATAGTCTATGGGGATATAGGCTTCCTTCCTTCTATAGTACTCTTTTTCTAGCAACACAAGAGCTTGAGATGTGCTTATCCTTGAACAACGGAGAAATGGAACTGACTAAGTGTGACTGCTGTAATAGTAAAATACCTTGGTGAAATAAAGCAGCTAACTTAGGAGCTGTGTAAATAGAGTAAATATTAAAAGGTATAATAGCAGTGCCCTGTTAAAAGTTCCTCTTGACCAGAGGTTCTAAACCCAGTTCAATTGTAGTTTTCTTTATTTCATTTATTAATTTTTTAAACTGCCTGATAGCCAAACCTCTCTCTGCAGTGCACAATATAACTCACTAAAATATATGCTCAGTTAAAACCCCATATGATAACATAAAATAAATTACAAAATAAAAGCATTATACAAACTAGGCAGTAGCACTGCAGCCATTTTAAAAACTAACAATTACAACAAAGTTAAAATACAATTAAAAGTCAACCAAAAGCTTGGGAAAACAGAGAGGTGCTAATGCATGGGTGAAATGCTCCCTGCATTACCCGATCCGGTAGCAAGGGCAGCGGGTGGTTCGGAGAACCAGTAGCAAAAATCCTTGCCCCCCATGCCCAGCTGAGCCACGCAATCATCAGAGGCTTTTTTTTTATTTTTAAAAGCATTTTTTTCTACAACCTCTTTGGCCAAAAAAAAGCTTTTAAAAGTAAAAAAAAAAGCCTCTGATGATCGCACAGCTCAGCTGGGATCGTCAGAGGCTTTTAAAAGCATTTTTTCTACAACCTCTTCGGCCGAAGAGGTTGTAGAAAAAATGCTTTTAAAAGCCTCTGACGATCTCAACTGAGTTGCCTGATCGTCAGAGGCTTTTAAAAGCTTTTTTTTTTACAACTTCTTCGGCCAAAAAGGTTGTAGAAAAAATGTTTTTAAACGAAAGCAAAATCTCTGACGATCAGGCAACTCAGCTGGGATCGTCAGAGGCTTTTAAAAGCATTTTTTACAACCTCTTCAGCTGAAGAGGTTGTAGAAAAAATGGTTTTAAAAGAAAAAAAAAAGTTGGCCATGCATTACCCCACCACTACCAAGCCACGGCCCACAGAACCGGTAGTAACAAATTTTACATTTCACCACTGTGCTAATGTTGTCAGTTTTGCCACTCAGGGGAGATGATTTTAATTCCACAACAGACAGATAATGTTTGTAAGTAGCTCAGATGGACACCTTCCAAATCCACTGAAGTATAGGAAGGAGGAGGTATAGCACAATCAAACTTGCAAGTCTGTTATTATAGCCAGTCTCAATAAAGTATATTGGACTTCTACATACATTTCAATTGCATTTATTCTTTTATTTCTCTATGATTCCATGAATAGGTAACTAAAATTATAAAGCAATCATATGATTCTCAAGCAATTAAAAATGCTCAGAATCAATTGTTGTTGTTTAATAGTTCCAACTATCTAGTCTAGCCTAGTCATGAAAAACTAATGTCTGTCTGAATTTCTTTCCAAGGGCACTGCTGTTTGTGGGACCTACTGGTACTGGGAAGTCTGTATATGTAAAAGACAAGCTAATGAACAACTTACAAAAGGATCTCTATTTCCCATTCTTCCTTAACTTTTCAGCTCGAACCAGTGCCAATCAGACCCAGGTTAGTGAAATAGTTCTCTTTGAAATTACTTGGAATCCTTAATTAAAATTTGATTTTTTTAAAATTTATTTTTGCTGGAACCCTACTTTGCTTTAGGCTTGCAGGTTACATTTAGATTCATTTGACATGAATATTCATTTACCTCCATCATTTCCTTAGCTAAACAATATAATTGATAATAAAATATATATTTAAGCATAGGCAATCTATTTTATTTAAGATTCAGGATCAGTTGTTTACGTACCCACAAACCTCTTATCAACCATCATTTTAAATTACAAGGTACATTAACATTTGTCTGAATCTGCTTTATTTGCATTTTGTGTGCCAGAAATATATCAAACTGCAATATACTCTGCAGCACAATGTGGCTTGCATCTCCGTTTAGTTTTACATACTTTCAATCATCTGGGTCAATATCTGATTAAATCAGGAGGAAAACTGCCACAGATGTATTCCTGTCAGAGGTGAATTAATGTGTTTGTCAGCATATGTTGGCCATAAGTGGCTACCTGCATTTATTATGGATGCATGTGGAAAAAGCTATTTGAGTGTCATTATGTAGATGAGTTATTTTAATTTTCTTCACAATAATTATACAAGATAGCCCTTTTATCTTTAGAGTGGAAAAATTGAATCTTCCCTTGGGATCAGAGGATGGTAAAACAAATGATTGATTATTCATGAAGCTTCAAAAATAACAATAATGCATATATTTCAGTGTTACAATGTTCCTACTAGTGCCACAAGTTTTTTTTATATTTTGTCCATTTCATAGGTAGTTGCTTTTATAAGTATTCTCAGCTCCAGACCAGACCAGATCAGACCAGGAAATCGACTCCATAGGAAGACTAAAACTACTTTATTGAGTTTCATTATCATAATAAAATCTTGCAAATCTGACTGTACTTAGTTCTTCTTATACTTCAGTAAATTAGGGCCATTTCCACGTAAGCCACTTCCAAATATTGTCTTATTGTTCTGGACTTATTTCAGCCCCTTTGAACTTGGTTCTGCTACAGATTTCAGCATATAGGCTTCAGTCTTTGAACAAGATCTTTAGTAATAAATTATTTATCATTTGTTTATACAATATTTCCTGAAGCTTGTGTTTCCAGTTTTCTTAGGTACTACACGTTGCAGCTGTAGATCATCAGCATGGCAATCAATATTGCCTCTCTTGCATTGGTATTTCGATCTGTTGAGGGTTGATTTTATGCAGTTAAAGTTGAGTCATGTCACTATTCTTTGGTGCGATATCTTTTTCTTCATTGTGTGTGAGGCACATCTTAACCTTTAGTTTAAAAAAAGAATGTAATAATTTGATGTGTTATTTCTCATAAGCTATTTTTAATGAATCGAAACATCTTCTCTTTTTATTGTAGAACATTATCATGGCCAGGTTGGACAAAAGGCGGAAAGGAATATATGGGCCACCTGTGGGAAAGAAGTGTGTAATCTTTGTAGATGATATGAATATGCCTGCACTGGAGCAATATGGAGCTCAGCCTCCAGTTGAACTTTTAAGACAGTTTTTTGATCATGGAATCTGGTAACTGTTTTTTTTTATTACATATAATGCAGAAATGTTTGAATGTTATCACACTTGAGGTTATACAAAACATCTGTTTCAATTGTGAGGATATACCACTATTGTTGTTTTTTCCACTTTTTCTGCCTTTTGGGGGAGGGACTGCTTCATTAGTAGTAGCAGTAATATAAACTAGTTTGCCCTTCATACTCAACCTGGGTCCTTCTTCAGAGCAAGAAATTTTGAAGCAGGTACATATGAATATTTTTGTGCCATAGCGGCACAAACCCTCCACATCCATAATTTAGTTTTTAAAAAAGGACATATCAGATAAGGCATTTAACCATTCATTGGCTCTGGAGACCAGCACTAGACATTTTCCTGAAGCAAACATTGGCCCAGTAATGTGATCTTTAGAACATCAAAAGATTGTCCATGTAATGCAAGTCACTCTAGAGGGTTATGATATTAATTTTTGCCACAGTGAGTTTATTGGGGTTGCCAGCTGCTCTAGAGACGTTGATTAGTCTTTTTTCTTTTTGGCCTCAATGGCTATTCTGGAGATGCAACCACTAACCAGTAGGATTCTCCTGAGCAACCAATATGCTCAATGTCTTGTTTCTTTCTCATCAAGAAGCAAGACCATAACTGGTAGATTCAGCAGTTCTAAACCTGAGAAGCAGCAGTCATTACTATAGCTAGCCAGAGAAGCATCCTGTAGACTTCCTTCCTAATTGGGGATAAAAATAAAAACCACAAAACTCTGCCCTGTCTAATGCATCATCTGAAAAAGTCAGCCATATGTCCCACATATTTAATTTGATTTTTTAGAAGATAATTTCATATACAGTCAGGTCCAGAAATATTGGGACATCGACACAATTCTAACATCTTTGGCTCTATACACCACCACAATGGAGTTGGAATGAAACAAACACAATGTGCGTTAACTGCAGACTGTCAGCTTTAATTTGAGGGTATGTACATCCAACTCAGGTGAACGGTGTAGGACTTACAGCAATTTGTATATGTGCCTCCCACTTGTTAAGGGACCAAAAGTAATGGGACAATTGGCTTCTCAGCTGTTCCATGGCCAGGTGTGTGATATTCCTTCATTACCCCAATTACAATGTGCAGATAAAAGGCCCAGAGTTCATTTCAAGTGTGCTATTTGCATTTGGAATCTGTTGCTGTCAACTCTCAAGATGAGATCCAAAGAGCTGTCACTATCAGTGAAGCAAGCCATCATTAGGCGGAAGAAACAAAACAAACCCATCAGAGAGATAGCAAGAACATTAGGCATGGCCAAAACAACTGTTTGAAACATTCTCAAAAAGAAGGAATGCACCGGTGAGCTCAGCAACACCAAAAGACCTGGGAGACCATGGAAAACAAGTGTGGTGGATGACCGAAGAATTCTTTCCATGGTGAAGAAAACACCCTTCACAGCAGTTGGCCAGATCAAGAACACTCTCCAGGAGGTAGGTGTATGTGTGTCAAAGTCAACAATCAAGAGAAGACTTCACCAGAGTGAATACAGAGGGTTCACCACAAGATGTAAACCATTGGTGAGCTTCAAAAACAGGAAGGCCAGATTAGAGTTTGCCAAACAACATCTAACAAAGCCTTCACAGTTCTGGAACAAGATCCTATGGACAGATGAGACCAAGATCAACTTGTACCAGAGTGATGGGAAGAGAAGAGTATGGAGAAGGAAAGGAATTGCTCATGATCCTAAGCATACCACCTCATCATTGAAGCATGGTGGTGGTAGTGTCATGGCGTGGGCATGTATGGCTGCCAATGGAACTGGTTCTCTTGTATTTATTGATGATGTGACTGCTGACAAAAGCAGCAGGATGAATTCTGAAGTGTTTTGGGCAATATTATCTGCTCACATTCAGCCAAATGCTGCAGAACTCATTGGACGGAACTTCACAGTGCAGATGGACAATGACCCAAAGCATACTGTAAAAGCAACCAAAGAGTTTTTGAAGGGACAGAAGTGGAATGTTATGCAATGGCCAAGTCAATCACCTGACCTGAATCCCATTGAGCATGCATTTCACTTGCTGAAGACAAAACTGAAGGGAAAATGCCCCAAGAACAAGCAGGAACTGAAGACAGTTGCAGTAGAGGCCTGGCAGAGCATCACCAGGGATGAAACCCAGCGTCTGGTGATGTCTATGCGTTCCAGACTTCAGGCTGTGATTGACTGCAAAGGATTTGCAACTAAGTATTAAGAAGGGAAAGTTTGATTTATGATTATTATTCTGTCCCATTACTTTTGGTCCCTTAACAAGTGGGAGGCACATATGCAAACTGCTGTAAGTCCTACACCGTTCACCTGAGTTGGATGTACATACCCTCAAATTAAAGCTGACAGTCTGCAGTTAACGCACATTGTGTTTGTTTCATTCCAACTCCATTGTGGTGGTGTATAGAGCCAAAGATGTTAGAATTGTGTCGATGTCCCAATATTTCTGGACCTGACTGTATGCATATATTATTATATGCATGTATATTATTAAAAGGAAGCTGCATTTTTCATAAGGTTTTAGTCAATAATGAGGATTAAGCGTACATTTGTAAATATATATATCCTTAAATTTCCATACAGAATAGAGCTTAATTTTCTTAGTGAGTGTTTCAGTACTCATAATAATGTATAATAATGTAAGTGTGACTCCATAAGGAATTCCCCTTTCATGTGATTATTTCTGCAGTACTAAGAAATTGTGGTATTGTACTCAATTCTGTCGTTTTATCAATGAAATTCCTTTTCCATTGGATCAGATTTGGAGGTTTGCAGGATGATGCAAAGATGAGGATTGAAAAGGGAAAGTCTTGCTGCACAGTTAATGTATAAGATACTATATATAGCTAGATGAATATTAAGGCATTTCTATGCTCTTGCACTAGACATTCGTCTATTGCTGTGGTTGTCTGAATCTCACATATTTCTTTTAAAGGTATGATTTAAAAGACACAAATAAAATTACACTAGTTGATATTCAGTTGATGGCTGCCATGGGTCCACCAGGTGGTGGAAGAAATCCTGTAACACCTCGTTTCCTGAGACATTTCAATATTTGCACCATTAATTCCTTTAGTGATGAAACAATGGTCCGGATTTTTTCTACTGTTGTTTCTCTCTATCTCAGAGTAAATGAATTTATTCCAGAATATTTCACAATTGGAAACCAGATTGTCAGTGGCACTATGGAGGTAGGTCATATTCTCTGCTTATTTTTAGTTCTGCTAAAAATGTGGACTAGCAGATTTTCAAGATGACTCAGATAATCTCATAAATGTATCATTTGGGGAGAAAGTGCAACTAATTTTTCTAACGGGCAAATATTTTCTGAAATACTGGTAGTATTGAGAAAGTGTATTCAAGGGATCGACAAGAGAGAGAAATTATGAAATGAGCATTGCAATTATTGCAATGCAATCTCTGCCTCTTTTGCATGTCCATTATGAGATGCACATATGCACACACACACATGGCAGAGCTTGTACCGCAATATCACCAATAGTAATGTTGGTGCTTTGACAAAATATCTGTACTTCCAGATACCTGTAGACAGGTGCATGTGTATATAAACTCACTTAGTACTTTTGGATCTCCAATGTTACTGTGCTGTTATAAATCAAATAATAAATAGGTTTATGTGCATAGTCACCTGCAGCTTTCTTTAGTAGTCACGAATAGACTGATCTACCAAGACCCCCTGAAGTCCACTTTTAATATCTGCCACTACTGCTTGCAGCAGTTTCCACAACTTAACTCCTTTGTGTCATATAAAAGTACTTAGAGCAAAAGGTATTTGTAATAATTTACTATTTCTCACATTTCACTTCTGTTGTTTTCATGTTTCTGTCACAGATTTGTTCAACAGATCATCTACAAGCTAGGGATGGTTCAAAATGCAATGGCATGGGCTGTAATGGGCATGTCTTGCCAAGCCCATATATCATTGCTGCTTCACTAGCAGAAAAGGTTATCAGTTGGCTTCTGGTTGCAATTACAAGTACTGATTGTCACCTTTAATGGCATAAGGCTTTGATTTTTAAGAGAGCATCCATCTCCAAATGTACTGGCCGTCCAGTACAATGATGCAGAGTTGGTATGCTCTGGGTCCTTTCTATTAAATGTCATCCTGTGGGAGTGAGAAGCATGTTTTCTCTGCCATGGCATCTGTCCTCTGGAACAGCATCCCCCAGAGATAGCTTCCATCCTTCAAATGTTCCACAGTTTCTTTAGACCTGGCTCTGCTCCCAGGCTTGTGGTTAGAGTATATACATGGAGCCCCTGGTGATTTTTTGGAGGGGTGTTATTTTTATCTGGATGGTAATATTTCTTTCTAAAACTTTATTTTTAAAAAACGTGTAAGCTGCTCAGAGTCTTTTTGGAATTGGACAGCCTTCAAATCCAATACAGATGTAGATGTAGATACATACTTATGTTTTATGATCTATGTTTATGAAGTTCATAATTCTAAAAGTCTATCCTTTTTTCTTTCCAATAATTAAGGTATATAAGAAAGCCATGGCAAATCTATTGCCAACCCCAGCCAAATCCCATTATACGTTCAATTTGCGTGATTTTTCACGAGTTATCCTAGGCTGCTTGCTTATTAAGAAGGACTCAGTTGTCAACAAGCATACAATGATTCGTCTTTTTGTACATGAAGTATTTCGAGTGTTTTATGACCGGCTTGTGGATGATGCTGATAGGGCTTGGGTGTTCAAACTCATAAAAGAAATTGTGAAAGAACATTTCAAAGAAGCCTTTGATGCAGTATTTTCACACCTGAGACAAGGAAATGCACCTGTAAGTATTTATTAAAAAAACCTACGGTATCTGTTATTCATTCCCGCCTGATCAGCTTTACTAGAAATAGAGCAAAATCTTACAATTGTGTGCCATTCCATATGGCAAAAACAAGAAGTTTCTTCGTTGGATGTTGATTTCAGAATAGCCATATTTTTATGCCTTTTTTAAAATACATAGGACAGCATGAAGACACTGTAGCCCATGACTTCTGATCAGGGGTGGGTTCTAAATTTTTTTACTACCTGTTTCGGTGGGCGTGGCTTATTTTGTGGGCGTGGCTTGATGGTCATGTGACAATTATTTAGGATTTAGCAGAGGTACTGGTCTACCAGGCTTTTAACTGCTTGCAGAACTGTACCGATCTACCCATTTATTTTTTGCAGGCACTGGTCTACCCATTTATTTTTGCAGGCACTGATCTACTCATGTATTTTTGCAGGCACTGGTCTACCCATTTATTTTTGCAGGCACTGATCTACTCGTGTATTTTTGCAGGCACTGGTCAACTCATCTGTTTTCTTTTAACACTGATCAGCTGTACGGTGGCCCTTTGAAGCCCCACAGCAAGAGTTTAAACAGTTTTTTTTCCTCTAGCCATCAGCTGGGACTCAGGAGGCAGCAATAGATTGGGGGTGGGGCCAAATAAAAGGTAAGAATAACGCGGGGAGTGGGAGGGTGCGGGGGGGCAGAACCGGTTCGGTGACGTCATATTGTCACCGCTACCAGCTTGGGAGAACCGGGCCAAACCGGGAGGAACCCACCATTGCTTCTGATACATCTTGTGACCTTTTTGAGAGGTTACAGAATATGACTGTTGGGATATATTGTAGTGGCTATGCAATTTGAGTGAATTATGGTTGGGTAGATATTTAATTGAGGTATCTGGGTAGTGATATTCTCTGAAATAGAAAGGAAATGCAGGAGAGACCCATTTGATTTTTTGCTGCATGATAGTTTCAAAAGCTCCTTTGTTACAGCAGAAGTATGAAATGGTAACAGGGTCTATATGAAAGAGAGGGAAAAATCTCCCATAAAAAAAAAAAAGCTCCATCATTTGCTACCTTTGGAGGAATATTTTCACTTCATTTTTTTTCTCTTCATTTTTTTTCAAACATCTTCAAAGCTAAACATGCAAATAAAAATAGGAAAAGATCCCAGAGACAGAAGAGAAACATTATTTTTGGCATTAAAAATAGAACCTCACTCTTTGGGAAGATAGAGGGAAGCATCAGTTCATGAACCTGTTTAACAGGACCCCTCAAATATACATAGCTGTTAGCCTCAACTGCTCTGAAGGAAAGATCCTTGGAGAAAAGTCCACAAAGACCACCCAGAAACCAGCTTCTGTTGCATTCTTGTCACCACAGTACTACCAAGTATATGTAGATGGTTCCCAGGTGTTTCTATTCTATTGTTGAAATGTTATTTATTTTATCTTATTCATAATTGTTGAAATTACTAATTAATTATGATTTGTATTTTGGAAGTAAGAAATTGCAAATGAGACATTTTGTAGGCAGCTGTCTGGAAAGAGTTGCACCATCTGTGCTGAACTGATTAATAATTTGGGTGTTGACTTGGACTCACAGCTCCTGCTTAAGGAGCAGGTGGTAACTGTGGCCAGAAGGACCTTCATACAGCTCCATATTGTATGCCGGTTACAACCATTTCTGGATCAGAAGCTATTTGTCATAGTAATTCATGCCTTCCTCATGTCTTGATTCAACAATTGCAATACATTGTATATGGAACTGCCTTTGAAGATCATTCAGGATATATATGTGATCTAGTATATAGCAATGCAAGTTATTGGTGCTACTTATTTTGATGAAATAGTACACTAGTGCAATAGCTGAAATAATTATCAGTTGGCTTCTGGGTGCAATTCAAGTTGATGGTTGTCAACTTTAAAATTCTGCCTGGTTCAGGACCTGAGTATCTGTCAAATCATGTATTTCAATAAAATATGAGAATCTGATAAGCTATGGAAACTCTGAGAAATCCATTAAAGTTATTAAGGGAATGTCTTATTTTGTTATCCAGGATCAGAATTAACTTGGCCTTAAGGACACGGTTCCTAAATAGGTCCTGCCCTGCTGATCATTCAGAATTAGAATCACATCGACAAGTTTTGCTAGAGAGCATGGAAAAGATACGTTGATTCCATGTGACAAATACAGTTCTATATATACTGTTAATTACTCAATGAAAGAGTGAAGCCGAAGAATATAGGCTTCACTCAGGTCCGCCGTCTAGGTGGGAAAAATAGTTTATTCCGATTGGCTGAGCTGTCTGACAGCTCCCTATAAAAGAGCACGCTGTCAGACAGAAAGTTACTAGGTTATTGCTTATTATAGAGTGAAGTCAAAGATCTGCCTCTGTCTCTTCAATCTCCCACTATTCAGCATATACTGTACAGTATGTACAAATTAAGCCATATAGGAATTAAATCAAGATATTTTGTTATTGTTGCTATTTAGATCTGAATCAAGATAATGACATTTTCTCCTGCTTGCAAAATTAGCATAGCAAAGGGTTATTGTATACAGTAATGCTTAGTACTGTTTTGAGTAACAGTGGTGCTTTCTGATTTAATTGTTGTAATCTGAATATTTTTTACATTGCATTCCGTGATTTTTTTATCATGTATTTGTTGCATTTATGACCTTATGCACAATGGCTTTGAGGCTTAAAATGGTACATTCAAATCTTTATCACTAACCTTTTATTACATTTGTCAGTACAAATATCATAATCTAATTTCTGTGTTCTTAATTGCATATAATGCTTTTAGACTGAAATGACTGAATGTCATTTCTTTTCTATCACTAGATAAGTGAAGAAGATCTGAGAAATCTGCTGTTTGGAGACTACATGAATCCTGACCTTGAAGGAGAAGAAAGACTTTATTATGAAATTCCAAGTATACAAATGTTCAATGATGTTGTGGAACTATGCTTGGATGAATATAATCAAACTCACAAAACAAGAATGAATCTAGTAATTTTTAGGTGCAATAGCTTTGTACATTACTTTTGCCAACAATTATTCACAGAGTACTTATAGTCTTACATAGCTTATTTGTATTTAGAAAAAATACAGAGTTCTAATTTAATTTAGGAACTTGCCCAGGCAAAATCTGGTAGCAGTAGTTAATTACCTTATGCAGAACTCCTGATTCAAACTGACTTTTTTTCAAAAGTCAACATATTGTATTTTTTATAAACTCTATAGATTTTGGAAATAAATTAGATTAATTCTACGAGTTACAAACAAAACATATATTTAAATAGTGTTATTCCCTTAACATGAGTATCAGTTTTTTTCAAGTCCTCATTGTTTCTTCAATTTTCCACAATTTTCAAGTTGAATAAAAGATAAGGAATGATGTGTTTCAGTATATAGAATGAAAAATAATTCTTTATAAATATTTAATTAATTAACATTCAGCCAAACCTGTCTATTTTTTCTTAATGTTGGGGGGGCAGGCAGAATCTGAGGTTTTCCTTTTGTAAAATTTTGTTAAATTTATATTACAACTTATACCACAGTTTTTAAATTTTCCACTTCAAAATGATGGAAAATATTGTTAATTTCCATCTTTATATGAAAAAGATTTGATTTTAATTGTAATGTTGTTTGCTGAAATTGATATTTTTAAAATCAAAGGTATGTATTGGAACATTTGTCTCGTATATGCCGTGTGCTCAAGCAATCTGGAGGTAATGCTTTACTTGTTGGAATGGGAGGAAGTGGACGACAATCCATGACCCGATTGGCTACATCCATGGCAAAAATGAATATTTTCCAACCTGAAATCTCCAAGAGCTATGGAATGAATGAGTGGAGGGACGACCTAAAGGTAAAAAAATATACAATTAAATTTATATAGCTTAAAGGCTTCTTAATGGTTTTAGAAAGATCTAAAGGATGAGGCTTGGAACCAGTGATTCTGGAAAAAATCCATTTTGTGGTGGCTAAGAATTGATATCTCCTTCGTGGAACATAATTAATTAACTGGTTTTAGAATTATGCTCTTAAAACCACCCTGGAGTAATTTACACAACTAGATACCATGCAGGATTTTACCTATTAAAGTTATACTGTAAAGTTTAAAAGGTCAGTCAGAAGTGAAATTTTCTGCATGGTGAAGTAATGTACTTATTCCATGAGGCATTTGAGTTGGAATGCTCTGTGCTCTGGCAGTGGAAGATTTGGGGGTGGGGGGATGGATTTGAAATGAATACATGAATTATCCTAATGTGATCAATAATCATATTATATATATAATATCAATACATGATATTATACATATCAATATATAATATGATATTATACATATATCAATATATGCACACACATACTGTATATGTATATATAGGTATACATACACACGTAAATTATATATATATATATATATATATATATATATATATATATATATATATATATATATTCTTTTTAAAAGAATAAAAAATACAGATTATGAAATAAAAAGTCAAGAAAAGTAATAAATGAAAAAAGTTTAAAGAAAGAACTAAAGAAAGGAGAGTCTTCATAACAGCAGTTACAACTACTGTGAGATTCTTGCATGTTTTCTTGCAGACATTTCATTATCCAAGTAGGTAACAGTGTTGATGGGAATGGTCTTGGTAGTTCCTTAACTGGGCTGTTGTATCTATTGCACTGAATGCTTAATAATGTTTGTGTTACTTCTAGAACCTTCTGAGGAGCGCAGGTATGAAGGGCTTGAAAACTGTGTTTTTGATCACAGACACACAAATCAAAGAAGAAGGATTTTTAGAAGATGTTGACAGTGTGCTTAATACAGGAGAAGTACCCAATCTTTTTGCAGCTGATGAGAAACAGGAAGTTATGGAGGTATTCCCATATAATATTTCTCTTAAATATTAGAATTATTTATTCGTTTTTTTTAAAAAAAATATTAAGATTAAAATTTAAAATATTACCACACATGGCCACAGCTAAAACTGAGGTTTAAGTCTGCTTTATTTAAAAGGAAAATAACTTGTAATTTGCTTAACCTCAATTGAACCATGCCCCTAGTTGGTAAATTAAAACCTATCTATATATTACGCTATATAGATAATAATATGCCATTAATAAAATAGTAGGAGATCCTGGTAACAGTAATGCAAGTTGTTATCATTTCTTGGGTTTACTACTGCAAACGTGCTTTATATAGGGCTATTAGAGACTACCTGAAACCTACTGTTGCTGAAGAATGAAGTGCTCTCTGTCTAGTGGCAAGTGGGAATCAGCGTAGTTATAAGTTGTTGATTTTGCAATTACCCCATTGGCTTCCAAACGCTTCTGGGAACAGTTCAAAGTCTAGCTTTCAAATATATAGTCCTTTATGGCCTGGCACTCAGATATCTTCAAGATTGCCTCCTTCAGATATTGTGAAGTTTAGGTTTAGGTTTAGGTTTATTTGGATTTATATACCGCCCTTCTCCCAAAGGACTCAAGGCGGTGAACAGCCAAAAATAAAACACATGCAGTATAAAATTTAAAAACAATTTAAAACATATTAAACAAATTTGGCCCATACTAATTAAAACACCCCTTTTTTTTTAAAAGCAAATTAAAATTAAGCAATTAAAAAGAGTTAGGCCAGCCCAGCTTGTTGGAATAAAAAAGTCTTGAGGGCACAGCAGAAAGTGCGTAAATCCGGGATCCTCTGTATCTCCGTGGGGGAGCTCGTTCCAAAGGGCAGGTGCTCCCACAGAGAAGTCTCTCCCCCTGGGGGCCGCCAGTCGACACTGTTTGACCAATGGCACCCTGAGGAGCCCCTCTCTGTGGGAGCGTACTGGCCGGTGAGAGGCTACTGGTGGCAGAAGGCGGTCTCATAGGTACCCGGGTCCTAAGCCATGGAGCGCTCTAAAGGTGGTAACCAATACCTTGAAGCGCACCCAGAAGACCACCAGGAGCCAGTGCAGCTCGCGCAGGAGAGGTGTTACATGGGAGCGCCATGTCGCTCCCATAACCACCCGCACGGCCGCATTCTGGACCAGTTGGAGCCTCCGGGTGCTCCTCAAGGGGAGCCCCATGTAGAGAGCATTACAGTAATCCAGGTGGGACAGAACTCTTTGTAGAGTTGCTTGTACTTTATAGAAATATGATTAATGAAAAGGAAACAAATAGGATAAGTGTATTAAAATACAATACAGGTTAAATAAATCTTACTACTAGCTTCAATTTAAAAATATTAATAGTTTTAGATTCTTATGCTCCACCGCAGTTATTGAACTTAGGCGATTTATTTACTCTCAGTAGATTCACTGAGAGTTGGGCAGCATATAAATTTAATAAATTATTATTTGCATATTTATCAGTTTAATTGGCATTGTTTTCTCAATCAGACATATATTTTTCATGTTAATTTCTTTTGATGAATACATTACAGTTCCTATTAGTAGTTAGATTGCTTTCCAAAACTAGACTTTGGAACTGGGTGATTTACTTCTGTGTTTTATTCTCTAGGGAGTTCGTGCTGTAGCCCAGGCAGGCCATAAGCATGAAGAGCTTGGTCCATTGGCCTTATTTGCTTTCTTTGTCAACCGTTGCAAAGACAATCTCCATGTTGTAGTAGCTTTCAGTCCAATTGGAGATGCTTTTCGCAATCGCCTGAGACAATTTCCATCTCTCATCAACTGTTGTACTATTGATTGGTTCCAGGTTTGTAGAAATAATCAGAGTAATGTCAGTATATTTACCAGGCTCTTATATATTCTTACCCATAAAAACTTGCTTTTTACTCTCTCTGATGTTGATAATCTTTTTCTTAGATTTTGAATGAATGTCAAAAAGTTTCTGTCTTACAGAGAATAATCCAATTTTGAATGTTCGATTGGTAATGAATATTTGAATGTTCGATTGGATGCTTGCATACTACAGGTTTTTTAAAAAACCTCTTAAAGTATCTCAGTGTCATTCAAAAATATATTCTTTACTCCAATATGACATTGGACAGTTGATCATAACGGGGAATGGTTCTTACTTGAGCTATTTTGTTGTGTATAGTGATGTATAGTGTGTTATAAAACAATACCTTATTGTCTATTAGTGAATAGAAAGGATTCAGCACTTCTCTTTCATTTACTGTCATTAATGATATTCTATGTAGAATATGAGACTGGGGGATCCCACTCTGATCTACTTACTACTATAAATATGGCTAGAGAACTTAAAATATTGGTATCAGTATGGAAATATTTTATGGGATCCAAAAAACTCCTGGATGTAGTGCTTGTGGTGCCTGAGGTTGATTGTTAATAAATAATACAAAGAAATACATATGTAGTAAAATAAAATAAAATGAATATGTAAGAAGAATATTCCTCTGTTAACTAAAAAAAAATTAAATGGCTTTTCCCCCCCACTATTTTTCTAGATTGTCATTATATTGATTAAGATCTTATGTGAAATGCAAGGAAAAGGAATATCTGTGAAATGAAGTAATGTGAATGTTTTTCCTATTTCTTTGCTCACCTGCAATTAACAAATTTCATGATGAACTGTTACTGGAATGGAGTAGCAAATACGATGTATAGGTAGTCCTTGACTTATGACCATAATTGAGTCCAAAATTTCTGTTGTTAAGTGAGACATTTCTTAAATGAGTTTTGCCCCACTTTACAACCTTTCTTGCCACAGTTATTAAGTGAATCACTCCAGTTGATAAGTTAGTAACCTGGTTATTAAGTGAATCTAGCTTCCCCGTTGACTATGCTTTTCAGAAGTTTGCGATCACATGACTTCGGGACACAGCAACAGTCATAAGTATGAACCAGTTGCCAAACATTTGAATTTTGATCACATGATCATGGGGATGCTACAAAGGTTGTAAGTATGAAAGTGCCATTATAACTTTGAACAGTCACTAAATGAACTGTTGTAAGTTGAGGACTACCTGTATAAGAAGACACATTGTAAGAAAACTTTATATCCTTATGCTTACAGCCATGGCCTGAAGATGCTCTTGAACGTGTGGCTGTTAAATTCTTGGAAAAGCTTGAGCTCACAGAAAATGAACGTACAGAAGTTGTTCCCATCTGTAAATATTTCCATACATCTGTGTTATCGCTTTCTGAAAGGTTAGCTTTCTATATAGGTTTATGCTTCTAAGATAAATGCAAAAGAAAAAATCCCAGCATATAAAACAATATTGCTAAAAAACCCTAATATTTAATAAATAGATTAAAACATATTTTCAGAAATAAAGCTGTAACGTCATTTTCTACCTGCTTTGAATTATCATATTGTACAGTATGTGCAACATTTAATCAAAATAAATGTTGCAATAAATAAACTTATCTCCACACATAGTTATTATGGATAAGAAAAATTCATGAATGGCATCCCTCATACACACACACACACTGTGTATTTTTAAATGTTTTCACAATATGGAGAAGTCACATCATTAGGACTGAATTACTAAGTACAGTATAACTGCTACAAGTTGAGGGGAGGGATCATTTGAAATTTCCCTGGCCTCCACAGGAAGTTCTTCTAAGAGTGTCCAGTAAAAGATAATTTATAATAGGCTACCATTGGATATCTTACTTTTCCAGCTGGGAAGCCCTTGACTCTTCTATCCAGAACTTCTCCATTCACCTCAGCTATAGGAAATGTTTTGCATCTTCTTGCTTAAAACCTACAACCATAGAATTTAACAAACCACGTGCCAGCACAGAAATGCAAGAGGCAAATGCAAGAGGCATTGCGCATTGGGAAGGTGTGATTGAAAAATTCCCTTAGAAAATGAGTGAAGATTAATCTCTCGATATAAAAGGGAATATATTGGGGAAAGAGAAATGTTGTGATGTGTGTGTGTCTGTGTAAAAGAAGGCAACAATCCCCTTTGCAAAATTCCAAATGAAATCAATATAATCATCTTAGATTACTTACTGTTTATGTATTACCTTCTTAAATAAGCTCTGGCTTTGGCACACTTTCACTGCAGAGAGGATGGTTAAAGCAAGAACATCTGGATCTCTTCTTGGATTGTTGTTCTTCTTTTATTGCCTCTTCTTTCAAATTTTCAGAATGTGGGGGATAAGTGAAAGTGAGCCTCTTTGAGGATATTAACTAACTAAGAGGAATGTCTGTTTTTGATATTTGGCTCTAGCCAGCAAATCTGAGACTATCAGAGGCTGTTCTACTTTTATAATGCACTTTGAAGGAAGTATAAAGACATAGTCTGGTTTTACCCATATTCCATTATATAAATGGGATTATATGAGAAGCAAAAGATGAATTACACATGTTCAAGCCTTTCAGTGTGGAGTGCTTTAGGAGTCACTAGCTTTATTACAATAGCCAATTATAATTTTCAAATTTACCGGTAAATGTCTTGCTTATTCTGCTACATACATAGAGGGAAAGGAACAAGAATATATATTTATTATCAAACAAAGTAGAGCTTTTTATTTGAATCCTTGTTATAATTAATTAATTCATTATTTTTTTACTAATGCAGATTTTTGAACCAATTGGGACGACATAACTATGTTACACCTACTTCCTACCTTGAACTTATTGGTTCCTTCCAACTTCTTTTGTCACAGAATCGTGATACTATAATGAAGGCAAAAAAAAGATATACTAATGGATTAGACAAATTAGCTTTTGCTGAATCTCAGGTGAATCAACAATAAAAGTACACATTTATCTTGTGAGAATAGCTTCGTAATTTCAAAACTCAACTATCTTGGCTTTTTTTTTGTTTTAATTGGATTGTGTCTAGTGCTATTTGTTTTGTTTTTAAATAACAAGTTCTTATCACCAATTACTTGCATTTATTTCAAGAAATATTATCATATTTCTATATGATTTGATTTGTAGGGCAGGCTAGAAATTTCTAGCATGTTTACCCATAAATAAATATAATTAGTTCAGGGGGGCTTCTCCAAAATTAATGAGTTTAGATCGTAATCCCAATAGTACATAATAAATGCTTTATTTCTTCTGTCTATTTTGTGAATATTAAACAATTCATGCACAACTACTATTGGTTTCAGGTTGGTGAAATGAAGAAAGAACTTGTTGATTTGCAACCTAAATTGGAGCAAGCAAAAGTGGATAATGCAGCCATGATGAAGGTAAAATTTATGATGGTTAGGATAATGTGGTTATTGTAGTATACAATCAAATGATCATACTAATTTTAGTATTTTAATGATATGGTGATTTTATAGCTTTGTGTGAGAAAATTTGTATTTTTTATGACTTGTACAGCAAACTATTCATACTGAAATGTTGGTAAATGTTCATCATTCTAATATCATTTTGTAGGGGTCAATCACAAAAATAAAGATTTTGCTTTGCTGTGCTATGCTAGGCAAACTATGGTGTAAATGATAGTGGTTAGCTTACATTACTGTTAAATACACATCAGATGGCAAACGACAACCCCTTATGTTTCAGATCAGTTTCAAGACTATTAAGAATTATAGTAATCATTAATTAACAAGTATGTCTTGGCTTTTCTCCTCTCAGGTTTTTGAAATGTTAGCTATCCCTATTGCCATGAGAGCTATTCATTGTCAAGTATTTGACAGTGGTGATTTTTCCCAAGTGGAATCTGTCTTTTAAATTTTTTTTTTAAATCACACTTACACACAAACACAAATACGTATGTATACACACACACACACACACACACACACACACACAGAGTTTGTCCCAGTGAAAGTGGGATTACGGATAGTCCTCAATTTACAACTGAAATTTAATCCAGAATTATAGGTCATAAATCATAAGTCAAAGCATCATGTGATTGGACCTATTTTTTTAACATTTTTTGTGGCAATTGTTAAACAAATACTGTGATTGTTAAACAAATCAATTTTCCCCAATGAGTATTTTTTGCTGGAAACCAGACATAAATGCCAGAAACTGGCAAAAAATAACACAAATTGCAGTATGTGACCACAGGATGCTGCAAATAGCTGTAAAGGTGACATAGTTGCCAAGTATCTAAATCTGATCACGTGCCCTTGGGGTGTATGTGTGGGTTATAAATAGCTTTTGAAACGTTTGTTGTAACGTCAAATGGTTGCTAAGCATTTAAGCATTGCTAGGCAATCAATGGTAAGTCAAGGACTACCTGTAATAAAAGTCTATACTTTCCTAATAGATTGTCTTGGTTGCGTCTCTTCTGTCCAAGCTTCATGAGATGCCAGCCAGACATTAGCAATGGGGGGGGGAGGGGAGAGGAGTTGTAGAGGGACTGTAAGGAAGAAGTGGAGGATGGAAGCCTAGCTGAGCCTTGTGAGAAGCTTCAGCCAGCCAAGGTCAACTATTGATATGTATAACTGGCACCTAATTGGACACTTGCAGATAACCGGGGCATGGCTGGGATGGGGAGGTGTGGAGGGAAGAAGAAAAGTTACTTTGTATTGTTTGCAAAGAAAAACCTCAGATTCATCTTAAACTACTTCTGTAACCACCTAAGCTTCATTAAAGTTTACTCTTGGCAAAAACAAATAGCCAGGAGTCTTTCTTTGCTAGATGACTGAATGGGACGGTTGACATGGATATTCATATATTTGACAGAAACATGCTTTCAAAAACATCAATACAAGAAGTCATAAACAACAATTCTAGTGGCAATCATTAATTTTATGCAGAGCTTAACTTTTTTAAAATACCTTTTATATGGCTCCAAATATAAACTCAGATGTTCAAAACAGTTATTTTGTCTTACTAAGTATATCCATGAATCTAATGGATTGTGCATCTGTTACATGATAATTGTTCGTTGATTACTTTACCTCTGCTTTCTAGATCATTGAGAAGGAATCTGCCGAGGTTGAAGCAAAAAGCAAAACTGTAAAAGTAGATGAGGAGCTTGCTACAGAAAAGGCCACGGAAGCTCAGGCACTGAAAAATGAATGTGAGAGTGACCTTGCCGAAGCAATTCCAGCACTAGAGGCAGCATTGGCTGCACTTGACACCCTGAAGGCAAGTTAAAGACAGTAAGAGTTTATGAAAGAAATCTAAATAGAGACTTGGTTGGAATAGAATTCTCTTGCTCATTGTTTGATTGAAGGAGCATTCCATCACTTATTCCATCCAGAAGATCAAAGTTTAATCCTTGATCTTCTCCAAGAACAGGGAGCAGATCTATTTAAATATGTGACATTTTGAAAACTACAACTTGACAATATATAATATTTTAGCCTGCAGATATTACAATTGTAAAATCAATGAAGAATCCACCTTCTGGAGTTAAACTAGTTATGGCTGCCATTTGTGTCATGAAGGATATAAAACCAGAAAAAATTGCTGATCCTTCTGGAATTGGAGGCAAGGTAAAGTAATTGAAGCAAAGCAAAATGCTTCTAGCGGCAAAACCCACTTTAATAAACAGGAAACATCTACCTAGAGCTAAATAAGATAAAACTGTAGGCATGGTAAAGTTGCTTCATCAATACTTCATCTCCATGAAAATTCTCTTGAGTTTTCATCATGAAATGAGAAAGTGCAGAGAAACAGTAAATTGAATTATTGGTTCCATAATATGTTGTTAGTAAAATATTTCTATCTTGATAGGAAGAATGTCTAGGAATGTGGAAGTGGAGTTAATTTATATAACAGACTATTGGATTTTTCTATTTTTTAATTCAATTTTTTTTGTTCTGTTTTTCACTAAAATGTGGATTTTTCCTTTATCATCTATTTTTGCACCACTATTAGAAACAATCTACCACTTTATTTCATATGTTAATAGATTATATGGGAGGATTATAATGATGAAGCTCAACATTTTTTCAAAAATGTAAGATGGATTTATTTTCAGACATGTAGTGTGCAGAGGATAGGGTTGTGTAGAGCTTTGGATTTAAAGATAAAGGACCTCTTATGTAGCATCTCTCAGCAATCCTTAAAGCAGCTCTGTTGGTTCCTAGAAACACACAGCTGCCACAGGACCCTGAGAAAGTTATGTTTGCTTTAAGGAATTGTCAACAGGTGATACCTGTGTATCCATGTGAACTCTAAAGAAGCTTTTTATCTTTGAGCCTGAAGTGCAAATTCACAGTCCTTGCTATATATAGTCAATGATAGTTATTTTATTCCATACAAATTCTTTTCTGCATCCTCTTATTGGATATCCTTCAAATTATACATTAATTAGAAAACCCTTTGCATTTTCCCACTTTCTCATTACCTTTAAAAAAAATCATTTAACATAATTCTTTAACTTTTTTTTAGATTTTAGACTACTGGGGACCTAGCAAAAAACTTTTAGGTGAAATGAATTTCCTTAAAGATCTGAGAGAATATGACAAAGATAACATTCCAGTAAGTCTTTGTATACTTAAAAAATAATAAATTGTGATTCAATTACAACAGTTACAACAGAAAGGCTAAACTCTTATCTCTTCTCTAGCCTTTAAAAGCCAGCATCTCTTTAAATGGAAGAGAGATATTCATATATCACACATGTGAGAATAATAATTGTAAGCCCTTTCTTATTTTCCTGTAGCTAAGACATAAACAAGCCCCAGCCACTCTTTTTTCCTACCACGTGCTCATGATCATGCCTTGTTTTCATGCCTGGTTCATAACTGAGACAGCTTAAAGTCATTGCTACGTGTTCTACCGTTTAAGTAATGTGTTCTCATTTAAGCAGGCAGCAAGCTATAAAAAAAATTATGTGGCTGCAGTGATTCTTCACTGACCATTTAGTCTCTGTCTACACCAGACAGATGATTCAGAGGGATGGATTAGCCTAGCATCTATTAGCTACTTTAGAGGCCACTTTAGCCTCTGCTCTTCCATTCAGTTCTTGGGCATTGTTTACAACATACATTATAGTTGGGGGAGAAAATGAGGCTGGATCTTTCTGATCTGTTCTGTTGATATTAGATAATATTAGCAGGCTTCTTTTGAGCATGGGTTTAGCACTATTTCAGAATAGGGCAAAACCACTGCCCAGAAGTTGATAGTCTCCTATTGAACACATCTGTGCAAATTATCTTATGCCAAACCAGAGCCATCTGGCATCTGTCAGAACTTGCCATCTCCTTAAAGCCCCAATCCAAGGCCTTTCCCACACTGAGAGTCTAACTGTTTTCCTGCCAGCTGAACAAACCAGGAGAATCCATCAGTCTCTGTCATAAACATGCCCAGGACAAGATAGGGATCACCAGCAGGGGGAGCAAATTACAGCTTGATTATAAAAGCTACTGAGTAATGTGTGTCTAATAATAGCCAAATCATTTAGAAAATTATTACTGCTGAATTTCAGATGTATGTAATGTATGTTTCATATAGGTATCAGTGATGCAGAAGATTCGTTCAGAATATCTAACTAATCCTGAATTTGATCCTCCCAAAGTGGCTAAAGCATCTTCTGCAGCAGAAGGGTTATGTAAATGGATTATGGCAATGGAGGTTTATGACCGTGTAGCAAAGGTATTGTTATGGGTTTTTTTCCTTTTTATGTTGAAAATACGATTGCTCCTAGTCAGATTCTTTTGGGATGCTCTTGCAGCGCAACCACAAATTTTGGATATATACTGCTTTTGAATATGGAAGTTCGGTATATTGCACTATAATTATTACATTAGTTTAGCATAACAGATATAGTATAAACATCTAGTTTATAATTCTGCCAATCATTTTAGTCATAGTCCAGTAACACTGCAATTAAGTGAAGATCTCTTGAAAAACTGTGTGTATGAATCAGCAGTAAGAAATCTCATGTTAATTTCTTAACAAGAGAATAGTCTTCTGCAGCAATCTATCCAAAGAGTAAATCATGCAGTGTTAGAAAATAGTTCTACACTGAAAATAAGAAAAGATCTACGATGAGATCGTCGTCACAGCATCACGGTGACTTTTTCCCCCTTCGCTAAATTGGGCATGGGCATGGCCAGCATGTGATGCATCCAACCCATGAGCCGCAAGTTTGACACCCCTGATCTAGAAGGAAGTACTTCATATTAATCAGAATAGAACTGGAAGGGACCTTGGAGGTCTTCTAGTCCAACCCCCTGCATATTGTCATATTTAATCATTTTAAAACATCATCTGTTTTTGTTTTTAAAATCATAATCATTATAGAATATAATAATCTATATTAAATTTATTAAATAGGTGGTTGCTCCTAAGAAAGCCCGCTTAGCAGAAGCCCAGCAGTCATTAGCACATACTATGGCATTATTAAATCAGAAGAGAGCTGAACTTAAAGCTGTTGAAGATCGTTTGGAAGCATTGCAAGAAACCTTCAATGAGAAAACCGAAGAAAAAGCCCGCTTAGAGTTCCAAGTGGATCTGTGCGCTAAAAAGCTGGAAAGAGCAGAAAAGCTGATTGGAGGACTTGGTGGAGAAAAATCAAGGTCAGAGAAAATACTTTGTACTCATTTTACCAAAACTATTAATAAAGAAGAAAATACACACTTTTCAGTGATATTTAAGTGTAAAAGTATTAAAGAGTTTGCATACTATTTACTATTTTTTTTTACTTTTTTACAACCTAAAAATGATAACATTATAAGTTATTGACAAATTGTTTTAAATTGATTTTTTGCTGCTACAGGGGCTATTTTTATGTCTTACAATATCTACATAATGAAAGTTTTATTTTGAGCTCTAGTTGTATTATTTATTGCTTGTATACTCCAGATAAACTCTCAGTGGTTTACATATAAAATCTGTAAAATAATAACATTCCTTCTGCAAAGGAAATATAACATATTCTTTTCCTGATAACTCTTTCTCACACACATAATTAATTTTAACAACTTTAATATAAGAGGAAATAAAAATAAACCTCATGAACTATTCAATATGTCACTTCAGTTAATCTGCTCACCTTTTCTCCCTTAGATGGTCTCATGCTGCAGATGACCTCCAGAACACTTACGATAATTTGACAGGAGATGTTCTGATATCAGCAGGGGTGATAGCTTACCTTGGTGCTTTTACTGCTGGATTTAGACAAGAATGTACTAAAGAGTGGAGCAAACTCTGTAAGGTAGTATTAGTTTATTGCTTTATTTCTAGAACACACATAGTCTTCTTCTAATAATGACTCTGTCAAAATAGATGTTATATCTTGTTATTAGCATGATGGAAATAATTTTAACATGCATTATAATTTTAATATTGTACATCATAATGGAAACAATAGCTAAATCTGCATTTAAAATAGTATAGAAGAGTCTAAAAGTGAAATGCTTTTCTAAATCTTGCTTTAAGTATAGGAAATTTTCCTGGTATTGCCTATTAACCTTTTCTATTTAATTTCTCTTGACTCTTACTCAAAAATGAGATTATATTAACATGACCTATTTTAATACTCTATGTACACAAGCTTAATAATAATGAATGTTAATACAAGCTTTATCTGTGCCTACAGGTGAAAAATATTCCATGTTCTGAAAACTTCTCTCTAAGTAAGACCCTTGGTGATCCAATAAAAATTAGAGCCTGGAATATTGCAGGTCTTCCAACAGATCAGTTTTCCATAGATAACGGTGTGATTGTTGACAATTCTAGACGTTGGTAGGTAACTAACATTAGGCTATTGAAACATTCATATTGATAGTTTTAAACCTCTGGTTATATTTTTTTCTCTTTTCTATATGTATTGTTCATTGTTAATTATTTTATACCCACCAACTTGTCCTTAAGGCAATTGAAGGAGATTAAGATATATATATATATCTTTCTAGCCAGGTTTTACCTATGTAAGCTAAGATGTTCTACAGCCCTTAGTTGTATTGTTCCTTAGCTTACGTAGGTAAAACCTGGCTAGAAAGAATATGCACATAAAAGCCTACGGAAAAAAAAAAAGACACACACACACACACACACACACACACATATATATATATATGGTTACATGCAAATACATGCCTATGTACATACAATTTTAACCTTCAGGAAAGAGAGCATTTTCTTGGATGTAAAATAGCAATAGCAATAGCACTTAGACTTATATACTGTTTCACAGGGCTTTACAGCCCTCTCTAAACGGTTTATAGAGTCAGCATATTACCCCTAACAATTTGGGTCCTCATTTTACCCACCTTGGAAGGATGGAAGGAAAATGATAAATGAGAGCTAGTTTGGTGTCGTGGTTAAGGCACTAGATGAAAATCAGGAGACTAGTTCTAGTCTTCTCTTAGGCATGAAGCCAGCTAGGTAACTTTGGACCAGTCATTCTCTCTGAATCGAAGGCAATGGCAGGCCACTTTTGAAAACTGCAGAGACACTCCATTCAAGCAGTTGCCAGGAGTCAAGACTGACTTGAAGGCATATTTATATATCCCCAAAAAATAGCTGCCTAAGGTAATAAATCTGCAGTAATTTTTTTAACTATAATGAAAGTATACTATACTATTTAATATTATTTAGGTATAAATACTTAAATAATTATTTAAGTATAAATAATGGATAAAGTATAATCTTTGATTATTGGTTCAGTGATATCAGTGATATTTTGTGAAATTCATGGATTGTTGTTGGCACCTTTCTATTAAAGTCATCTCCTCCAACAAATGTTTATTATTAAACATTTTAAAAACCAATACTAAAATCATTTTTTGAATTGTTAAACTGAAATTTTTAAAATTATTAATAATTTTATGCATAAAATTAATAATGTATTCTAATAGGTTTGATGCTATTTTGTAGGCCATTAATGATTGATCCCCAAGGTCAAGCAAATAAATGGATAAAACATTCTGAGAAAGAGAACAGACTGAGCGTCATAAAATTTACTGATTCAGACTACATGAGAACTCTAGAAAATTGCATTCAGTTTGGAACTCCTCTTCTGCTTGAAAATGTTGGAGAAGATATAGATCCTTCCTTGGAACCTTTGCTACTTAGGCAAACTTTTAAACAAGGTACAAGAAATAATAAAGGCTAAATATTCAAAGGAAATATTTACTATTTTTTAATAATCCGTTACATTGTTTAATGTGTTTCTTTTTATTCCTCAAATACTGCTGCCTAGTAACAGTTGAAGGTAATGCAGTTTTTCAGTACCATTATTTTTATTTTATAACCAAATTTGCATGCATTGGAGATTTAAATCCAAGAACATTATCCTTCTGATATTTTAGTAAGAGCCATGTTGCATGTATAATATTGATTAATATTTTGTCTGTCTTTGCTTTTCCAACATTCAGGCCAAGAGTATTGGAAAGTAAAAGCAGACAGTTTGTTTCCTTGTAAAAAAAAATAGAATGTCCATTATAAGTAGGACTTTGGCAGGTGTATTTATTTTCACTTCTATAGAATTCCTCCCTCCCTTTTATTGTTCAGCTTTTATTGTTTCTTCAATTTCTTCAGCTTTTGTATCAGGTTATAGAAAAGCCTGTGCTAAAAGATATGAAATTATGGGCAGAAGAGCAGTGTTAGTTCAACCGGAGAAGTTCAAAATAGTTTAAGATGCATTTTCTCCCCTGTATGTAGGCATATACTTTCAAAGAAATTGTATGCATGCTAGCTAAAAAGATGAAACCAGTGGGTTTCTATTCTATGTTTCAACATTATTCAAAAGTCAGTAAAGTGAGTTTTATGAAGGTTGAATAAAAAAAAGAAGTTGGAGTTAAGGCAACATTAATAGACATATCTGATAAATCTAATTCTTACCTTTAATGGTTCCCAACTGTTACCATTTGAAATTTGAACACACAGAGATTACAGGAAAGATATTCCCATGGTGTGAGTAGAAGGCAATTTATAAACCATTAGATTAAATCCAGGAAGGGACCAATAGTGTTAGTAAGACAAATCTAAAGAAGTACAAAAATTTATTTTATTTGGATGGAGGTAAAACAAGGCAAAGATGTGCCAGGGATTAACTGAATGGAAGTGGGATTGTCATGAGGTTCAAGATTATCATAGAAGCAGAAGATGACGTATTTAACCAAAATGCAAAAACAAAGTCATATCAGGGTAAGTGTTGCAAATGATAAGCCTAATGCAGAGGTTCCCAAATTTTTCTGATTCACAGGGCTTCTAGCATAGTTCCCAAACTATGCACAGTGATGCCCTAGGACCTATGGCCCACAGTTTGGGTTTTGCAGGCCTAAGAAATAACTTCAAGGGGAACAAGAAAAAAAACCCACAATGTGTATCATTAACTTTCAGTTTGTAACATTTTGCTGACCTGAGCCAGCACAGATTTATCTACATTTGGGATCTCCATGGACATCTCTATTAGCAACCTTAGGACTTCAGTACCATTCTTTTCTTTTCTTTTGTTTTATTTTAAAATGCTATTTTAATGCTAGTTGTGCAGGAGAGAAATGGAACCAGTGTTATATGAATCCAAGAGTATCCCAAGCTATCATTGAACGTGAATACAGTTATAATCTCTTTTAACTACCAAATGCTGAACTTGCTGCCAGTTAAAGGCTATTGCTGTATAGAACAAATACTTTGTTTTCTTTAACACTAGGGGGCATGGATTGCATTCGACTTGGTGAAACAATAATTGAATATTCTTTTGATTTCAAATTTTATATTACCACCAAATTAAGGAATCCACATTATTTACCTGAATTAGCAACAAAAGTTTCTTTGCTAAATTTCATGATTACTCCAGAAGGACTAGAAGATCAACTTTTAGGCATAGTTGTTGCCAAGGAAAGGTAAGTTTTCCTCAGGAGGTTTAATTCATAAATAAAATTCAGTTTCATTCTAATTCAGGAAGAATTTTGAACATGCATATAAGTATATACATGTACATATGCACATGCATGGGTAATTAAGTAATAGGTACAGACTTTTCAGAGAGACCAAATTTAATTTTTTTAATTAAAAATAAGGGAAGTGAGTATTAACTTGTGGGTTGAAGTGTGCATTCTTCCTTGTACAATAAGTATGAAGTAATAGAAGAAATCTTTGTCAATGTTCTATATTTGGAATACTAAGATGATTTAATTATAGGAAGAAGCAGACTTCAATGTATTGAAGCTATGATAACATGTCCCTTGCAATTGCCCGTATGCCAGTATGGAGCCTGTTCTAACTTTGGTAGCTTGATTGAACTAAATAGGATATGAAAAAACATGCATGAGTCTACTAATAGTTTTATAGAATCATTTAATCCAATAATGAAGATCAAAAGAGAATATTTTACATTGTATAAATTTTTAAAAGAGATATTTAAACATAATTGTGGCCAACAAAACATTGACATAAAAAGAACAAAAGAGCCTCAAAAAAAATCCACTAACAAAAAAGGGTTTTTGTCATTTTAGGCCAGAATTAGAGGAAGAACGAAATGCTCTTATCCTTCAATCAGCTGCCAATAAGAAACAACTAAAAGATATAGAAAATAAAATTTTAGAAACATTGCAGTCTTCTGAAGGTAATATTTTAGAAGATGAAAGTGCAATTACCATCTTGGACTCAGCAAAAATAATGTCTAATGAAATAACAAAGAAGCAGCAGGTAAGCCACTTCAGATTTTGCAAATAATAGCTATATATAATGATTAATGTGTTGATCCCAAAGCTGAACATAGCTGTAGTGGTGCACAGCAATGCTGTAATAACAGTAGCATTCTGTATGGCAATTAAACTAGCTAGACATTAAAATTAAAATCATGGGGTCGCGATGGGTCAGACATAACTTCGCAACTAACAACGACAAGAAAAAGAAGACATTAAAATTAGGGCATTTTTTTTTCAAAAAATTGCCCTTTGAGCACCAGCTGGCCAATTTATATTTTGTTTATCTTAATCTGTTGTATTTTTTTGTCCTTTCCCATAAGATTACTATATAGGGGCTGCAAAATCAGATGAGCAGTAAATATTCCCAAGATTTTCTGTAGTTCAGATATGATAATTAGCCTCGTGCTATCTCATGGAGGACAGTAAGAAGAGATGCAAGCAAAATATGACTTAGCTGGCCTCCAAGCGGTCTGCAGAGTAGCAAGGAAGACTGGTCTGGTGGGAAGAAAGTGGGAAGGGTGAAAGAAATGGTGATACCAGAAGCAAGCTTTCGAGCCTGTTTTCTTTTTCTTGACTTTCTTTTGTTATTTTTACCTCACATTGGGCCGCTGGGTCCCTTGCTTAGGGTATTTCAGTTATTACTCTATGTGCTTCTTAGGGAAAGTATCTTCTTAGGGGAAGTATCTTGTGGCACACTGATTATTATTTGAAATTATATATGCTGGTAAATTTTTCCATGGGGACCCAGTTTGGTGTAGTGGTTTAACCTTAGTCAGGAGACAGAGACAAACCACTTCTGAAAAACCTTGCCAAGAAAAATGCAGTGACTTGCATTACAGGCAGATAAGAATCAATTATGTAAGGGGGAAAATCATCCATGCTTAAACTTGGAATCAAACATAAGAGACTTATAAAACTCAACACACAAGGAAAGCAGTGTTTAAAAATCTCAGAATTTTAATATGAATCAAAAGTTTCTCTCTTCTCTATCCCTAGTTATTGAACTGGACTCTTATTTTTAGTGCTAATATCAGAATTTCAACTAATAGGGTGTTTGTGGGAAAAAAATATTGGAATTGTCATTATTGTGCTGTCACATTATTAACTTGGATGATGGATGGAAAGAAAGGATGGAAGGAAGGATGAAAAAGACATTTTCTTTTGAATATCCTGTTGCTTCCACCCTTTCCCCATTACAAGCACTTACTAAAAGGAAGTGTTTTAGGAGTCAGGGGAGCTGACAGAAACAGGGCATTGCTTTTCTGAAAAGAACACCTAAGTGGTTGTCCATCTCTATTTAAATAGTTTTCCTCTTTGGTTGAATTGCTGTTTATCTTTGAACTCTCTCTTTGACTTTTAGCCTTAAACCTCAAAAGATACTGATGTTGTCAGCTTTACAAATATGCTAGCATAAAGTAGCCTAGAACATTTGTAATATACTAGAAAGTTCTCAACTTTTTCTGATTTCTGATTCTGTGTTTTATACAAACACACAAATCTAATCATAGGACTTGCTGCAGCAGCTAATAAACAGGGCATTGATCATTGTGATGGTATAATGCAAGAAACATTGTGGAAAGAAAAGGCTTTGTTTGATTCTTAGATTTTATACTAACAACTAAGGAATGTACTTTCTTTAGATTGCAGAAAAAACTGAAATTAAAATAGCACAATCTCGAGAAGGCTACAGACCCATTGCAAAGCATTCATCCGTATTGTTTTTTAGTATTGCTGATCTGGCTAATATAGACCCAATGTACCAATATTCTCTCAGTTGGTTTGTAAACCTTTATATCAACTCTATTCATGACAGGTGAGTAGTAATTGTGTTCAAGTATTTCATTTTTCAAAATATGCCTGTTTTAAGCCTATTTATAGTTTCAAGTACATTTTTCCCCCTGAAAATAGTTGTTTTTCTGTTTGTTTGTTTGTTTGTATGTATGTAAGCATTTATAATCTGTAAACCACCCAGATTTGCTTCATGGGGAAATGGGCAGTATAAAAATTAATTCAAAAATCATTTCAAGTTGATAAATATTTAATAGCACCAGACGTTCTTAAGAAATCAAGATTATTTTTCTCCTTCTTTTTCTGTTTCCTTTTATTTTGTAATTACATATGCCTAATCAGGTGCACATATTGTAGATATTGCAATATGTTCCGGTTAAATCAATATATGAATATGTATAACAATATTTTATTTAATGGATATGCACTTTCTAAATACGTGTTTCTATTTTTAATAGCAACAAGTCTAAAATTTTGGAAAAAAGGCTACGGTATCTAAATGACCACTTCACATACAACTTGTATTGCAATGTTTGTCGCTCCCTGTTTGAGAAGGATAAGTTGCTGTTTTCATTTTTACTCTGCTGTAATCTTCTGATGTAAGAGATTCTAGAATTTTTAATATGTTAAGAGAGTGTTAATTATTTATCTTGTAGCATCTTAAATATTAGGAAATGTTGTATTTCAAGTAGTGGCATGTTTGCCCTTGCAAATCACTGATGCAAAGCAGCTGTTAAAATGCATCTGCACACCAGAACAAATTGAACTGGGATTAAATTGAGATGAGATTTAGTAATTCAGTCCCATTAAATATTTTATGAAATATATTATTTATCTAAATATTTTCAGTTTGTTTATGCTCTATGTTTCATCCCTTCTATAATCATGTAGTCTTTCAACATTGCCTCATTAGTTTTTCTTGTAGGAATCTTTGCTGGGATTCTTGGGTTTTCCAGCCCACTACTGATATTGCAGGATCGCACTCAAAGCCTGCATACACTCTGACATGAACATGCCATGCAATTCTTGCACAAGTCAGTCTTCTTACATACAGGATTCCAACATGGCAGAGGTGAAATCCAGCAGGTTCTGACAGGTTCTGGAGAACTGGTAGTCGAAATTTTGAGTAGTTTGGAGAACCGGCAAATACCACCTCTGACTGGTCCCAGAGTGGGGTGGGAATGGAGATTTTGAAATCTCCTTCCCCCAGGAGTGGGAAAGGAATGGGAATTTTGCAGTATCCTTCCCCTGCCACGCCCACCAAGCCACGCCCACCAAGCAACACCATGCCCACCAAGCCACACCCACAGAACCGGTAGTAACAAAAATTTGGATTTCACCACTGCAACATGGTATTTGGGTCTCCCCCCACATGAAGTCTTCATTGTCAAAGGATCTCTAATCACTTAAGTTAATGGTAAAATGTCTCAGTGATTCAGGTCATGGTTGTCCCAAAGGTGCTTTTTTTCAAATGACAACTGGACTTCCTTGATTTTTCTTGAAGATCTCCTCTGAGAAGTTTCTTCAGTTCTAATTAACTTGTGGGGAAGGAAGGATTTATACTCTTTTCAGTTATCTAGTCATTAATACTTTGAGAGTCATTGAAGCCATCTGGGGATTAATGGTGTAGGTAGTCCTTGACTTATGTCCACAATTGAGCCCAAAACATCTGTTGCTAAGCGAGATATTGTTAAGTGAGTTTTGCCCCATTTTATGACCTTTCTTGCCACAGTTGTTAAGTGAATCTCGGAAGTTATTAAATTAGTAACACGGTTGTTAAGTAAATCTGGCTTCCCCATTGACTTTGCTTGTCAGAAGGTCACAAAAGATGATCACATGACCCTGGGATGGTCATAAATATGAACCAGTTGCCAAGCATTCCAAATTTTGATCATTTGACCATGGGGATGCTGCAACAATTGTAAGTGGAAAACAGTCATAAGTCACTTTTTTCAGTGCTGTTGCAACTTTGAATGGTCACTAAATGAATGGTTGTAAGTCGAAGACTACTCATATTGAAATTTAGTGACAATTATGGCTAGTGAATTCTGGTTTCTAGTGATATATAAATAGACCAATTGCATTTTAACCTAAAATAGTAGTGTATTGCTTAAATTGTACTTGGTTGTTTTTTAAAACAGGGCTAGGAAAGAAATTGAACATCAGGAGTTTATGTTTTTATTAACTGGAGGGGTTGGTCTCAAGAGCAAATTCAAGAACCCTGATCCATCTTGGTTACAAGATAAAAGCTGGGATGAAATATGTCGTGCAAGTGATATGCCTGCTTTTAAAGGATTACGGTATAATAGCAACTCTTTTATCATAGTTTTTGGGGGAGGGATAAGCATTTTCTAATATATATGTCTTATGCAAATCAACACGCAAAATGTGTAGCTTTGTTTTGCACCTCACCCCTTATTGAAATCTCTGAGATTTCAATAAAACAATTGTTATTTGCTTGTCTTTGAGGCCTTCATATAGCAGGCAACATCACAGATTGCCCACCTTTTTATGTGAACATTGCCACATTGGGAGCATGCAGTAAAGAGTAAACTGTACACTTTCTGGGGGTGGGGGAGGGGGGGAAGGCAGAAAGCTTTGAAAAATTGGAGAGGCAGAGGAGAGAATAAACTTCAAAGAAAAGGATACAATAAGATCAAAGAGAAGTCTTCAAGTGCTTTCTGAGAAAAGTAACTTTTTGTGAATAAGGATGAAGCTCTGGAAATATAACTAACTTACATGTGACATAATGTTATTATTTAATTTTTATAAATAATTGGTTCACTCAGAAAGTGAGAAACAATATAATAACCCCTCTCCAATGACACTCTTCTACCATGAAAAAAATCCAATAAGAAAATATAGTACCAATGGAAAAACACAATCATTTTGGAAGCATGATGGCAAAGAGATTTTAAATTATATTATTCCCAAAATAAACCTAGAAGATATTATGCCATTGCTTGCCAAATGAACCGGGCCTCACCACTCTTATTCTAGAAGAACATCTAGAAGAGTTTTATTCTTGTATAAAATTGAAATCTAAATCTTTCAAGTTTATTTTATTGTTGTAGGAATCATGTGACTTCACAACCCAATGAATGGCGTAGCATTTATGATAGTAAAGAACCCCAAACAGTTCCTTTACCCACACCATGGAATGCAGACTTAAATGAAATAAAGAAAATGATTATTCTCCGATGCTTGAGACCTGACAAGGTAAAGATGATGTATGTAACATAATTTCTATTGGCAGTTAATTAAGTAGGTGTTGTTTGCGTTCCTAAATATAATTCCATTTATTTTATGTCTCTCTCGCATTTTGCTAAATGTAAACATTCAAAACAGCTAACAGTACAAATACAAAATGCAAAAAATAATCACCTAGTCAATGTAAAATCTCAGAAGCACCAATAGCATTTCAACAAATGCACTGAATAATAAATGCTTTAGCTGACTAAGCTACAAAGAAGCTATCTTTTTGACTGATTTTCAAATTTTGCAAAAGTTTTTAGAGAATTTCTTCAGAATTGAATTGCTCCAATATTGTTAAAGACTATTCAAGGTCAAATTTAGTTTTGACACTGATAGCTGCCCCAAAAGGGATCCCGTTAATTGCAAAAAGTCAAAGAAGTCAAAAAATCATTTTCAAATTGAATTCAAAGAGAAACTGAACTTCCTTATTATACCCAGTGATCAGTTATTACAATAATATTAGATTGCCATGCATCATAGGTAAGCAAATGTGAAATCAACTATATATTTTATTTCTAAAAAATGAAGAGTTAAGCAAATGCACTAGCACACCTGTTTCCTTCCAATATTCCATACATTATATATATTGAAATAAAATCTTCTGGTTTTAGTTGTTTAACTTTTTAATTCAAGACTCTTTAAATCACATTTCATTTTTTAAAGAAGAAAGAAAACAGTATTACTGCTTATAAAACTAACAGTTTAAAATACATTCCTAAAATATGTAGAAAAAAACAAGCCTGCCAACATGTCAGCCTTTTGGATCACTACAACAGTGATTTCCACAGTATTTAGATTTGTTTGAATTATTAAATATTTAAATGATTAAATATTTACCAGTTAAGCTGCCTTGAAATAAAAACTCAGTAATTTATAGCAAATCCTATTTTATGCTCACAATTTATTTGAAAACAGATTACACCAGCTATAACAACCTTTGTGACTGATAAACTTGGAAAGAAATTTGTTGAGCCACCTCCTTTTGATCTAACAAAAAGTTACTTAGATTCAAATTCTTCAATCCCTTTAATCTTTGTGCTTTCTCCTGGAGCAGATCCTATGGCAAGTAAGTTCACTCATTATACGTGGGGGGGTGGGGGGGTTTCTTACAAAAGCTTCTGTTAGTTTGAGATTTTTTATGTGAAGTTTCTGAATATCTTTCAGATATAGCATTTAGTAATGCAACCTTTGGTTTATTGTCCATCAAGTTTAGTTTGTGTTTTATGTTAATATAAAACCATTAAAAGATACTATATAGAGAAAATACATTTTCAAAACATTCCCAGGAATGGGGAAATTGAGAGTTGGGGAGACAAATGGCCTTTATTTTGCTGTCCCAAAATTTGCTTTATTTGCAATCTGCATTTATTTTTGTTTGTGACTCTTCTAAAATCAATAGTCATCACAAAACATAATTTAGATTATTACATATTACTGATGCATTAGCCAGGGCAAGAGAGGAGGAAGGCAACAATCTTCTGAAGGCACTTGATAATGGTCAGATGTCTTGCTCTACAAGCAAATATTTGTCAGGACATGTATGTTAAATTGAGCAGCTTTAGCATAGTTGAAACCTTCCTGAACCAGAATCTGAGCACGGATAGCTCAAGCCTTTAGCACCTCTCATTTGGATTACTTCAATTTGTTCCACATATGGCTGCCTTAAAGTTAATTTGAAACTACAACTGATGAAGAATGCAGTTGCTCACCTACAGACCAGGAAAGTCTGCTACAGTAGAATAACATTAGCTTGCATGAGCTGCATTGGCTACCAGTGAGTTTCTGGGCCCAATTTAAGATGCTATTTTTCACCTATAATGTTCTTATGACTTGGGTATTCTACATTAGCGGTCCCCAACCTTTTTGGCACCAGGGAACTGTTTCGCGGAAGGCAATTTTTCCATGGACCCAGGGGAAGGAGATGGTTTCGGTTTGGCTCACTTGCCCACCACTCACCTTCATCTGTGTAACCCAGTTCCTAACAGGCAGCAGACCAGTATCTGTCTGTGGCCTGAGGTTTGGGGACCCCTGTTCTATATCTTTGGGGATGCCTGCTTCAGGCTGAATCTACAAGCCAAGAGAGATGCTGCAGAGTCTTCCCCAGAAAATGTTAAAAGGGCAGGAATCCAGAAGCAGAATTTCTTGGTTCTATCCTCCTCACTCTGGAATTGCTTTCTCTCAGAGGTTGGCTTTTTCCTCACTATCTTCTTGAAAAATAATAAAAACAGTGCTTTTCATGAGCTAAAGAGATTAGAATGTGACTCAGCCTCAGAATTTTCAGTTTCAGATATTATCAGCAGAAGTAGTTCTAGGATATAATACACATAATATACTAGTAATGTTACTATCTTTTTTGATGATGTAAACATCTACATATTTCCAAATTATAAACATGCAGTTATTTGTGTCTTGGTGTACATAAATTGTCCCATATTAATCAACTCATACCTCATACCTACAAATGAAATGTAGACATTTATCAATGATTTTGAATACAATGCCTTAGTAAACTAAAAAGCATGACTTACAAATAGGTTTAGATGTGTGATTTATAATTATTTTCAGACAAATATTAATGCATTACTGTTTTTGTACCAGGTCTTTTAAAATTTGCAAATGACAAAAATATGATTGGAAATAAATTTCAGTCCATCTCTTTGGGACAAGGGCAAGGACCAATAGCAACAAAAATGATTAGAGAAGGAATGGAGGAAGGGACATGGGTTTGTTTACAAAACTGTCATCTTGCTGTTTCCTGGATGCCAATGCTGGAGAAAATCTGTGAAGAGTTTAACAGTGAAACTTGCCATTCCTCTTTCAGACTCTGGCTGACTAGTTATCCATCACCCAAGGTATTTCAAATATGAAATATATCTGAATATTTATGAAAATTTTGTATTCTATAATAAATAAATCTTTCATAGTTGTCATCAGATAGCCCCAAAGATGTTCTCTGCAGCCCATCATGACTTTAATAAACAAAGCTTTCATATTTAATATTTATTTATTATTGAATTTATTTGTTGCTCATCTTGTGATTTAAGGTGACCCTAAGCTGCTTAAATGTGATAAGATATGCAAATAAACAAAATATAAATATCCTGCTTTTTATTTAGAGAAGGAAAGATTAGAGGTTATTTACCTCAATGGTATCTGCTAATTGTCCCGCTAAATGCTGGTTATTGTGGTAAATTCTGGCCATTAGGACCCAAGCACAGTCAAAGCTCTCTTTTACCCAAAGCATATTAATGCTATTCTGTACAAGCTAGAATTTCTAATGTAAAGATTACCTTGATATCCAATACACCCTTACTCACCTCCCACCAACCAGGAAGTACACATGTTCTATTAACACACAGAGGGTGTACTCCGTTAAAAAAAATTCTTTAGAGAACTGCAATAGTTAATTCAGGTCAAATGCTGCTACTTTAAAGCCCTAAATAATTTGGCTACAGGAGTCCTAAAGATGGTTCTTGCTATATATTTTGGACAGCTCTAAGACTGAGGAAAAGTATTAGATTTATTGTGTATGAAATTTGTCGTCTGTACCCCTGAGTCAATTAACACTGAAATTGTTACTAATCTAATTCTCAAGATTAATATATTGATGTCGTACACAAAGAAAAATAGCTGTACTGAAGGGCAATAAATGAATTATATATGAATTTTTTAAAAAAATCAGAAGAAAACAGTTTATTGAACCTCATGACTTGATTATTAGATTGATTCATTGATTGATGTAAAGGTGCAAAAAACACCAGGCACAATATTTTAAAAAGGTAGTGTATGCTGAATAATTTAAAAGAATATATAAAAACAGAACTGTTAGTAAAGTTACCATGCTTGCATTCCCTAGTTTCCCGTCACCATTCTTCAGAATGGTGTGAAGATGACAAATGAGCCTCCTACAGGCCTCCGGCTAAATTTACTTCAGTCTTTCCTCTCTGATCCGATTTCTGATGCAGACTTTTTTGCTGGGTGTCATGGAAAGGAGCAGGTAACTTTTTTCATAAAAATTGGTAAAGAGATAATTAATTATCAAAATTACACAGTTTTGCTTGTCAAATATTAAAGTGTAGCTATAAAGTATGAAAGTATGGTCTTCTATATAAAGATTTATGTATACAGTTTGTATTCTTTGGCCTTTTTATAAAATTTCTGCTGCACATACTTGCTTATAACTCCCTGTCTTGTTATCTTTTTCCACTGCCACAATTTCAGAAGTTTTTTATCCATTAGTAACATAGTCCTACAAAATGGTAACTCTTATTATTTCACTGTTAACTTCAAGGAGGCTAAGTTCTCCATCCTTGTACAATAAAGGAGACTCTGTCATCCAATTAATGTATTAAAATAAATGCTCTATGTAGGCTGCCTAACCGAGCAGCAATTAGACAAGTGGCAAACCTCTGAAAGGATGCAGAGTAATATAAAATTTTGGTCCTGACTAAAATATACTTCTGGGAAAAGGTAACTCATTGGAGTTAGTGAAAATATTGTTGTATGGCCCAAACAACTTTTGAATCTTATTGCCAGCCAAAAGTTTTGTAGACACAGAATGTTTCAGTTGTGTTTGCCTCGTCTTATTTCCGTTTGGGTTAACTTAGTGTTTTCCCCCCTAAAAGAGATGGGAGAAGCTGCTGTTTGGAGTTTGCTTTTTTCATGCCCTAGTACAGGAGAGAAAAAAATTTGGACCTCTGGGATGGAATATTCCTTATGGATTTAATGAATCAGACTTGCGAATCAGTGTCAGACAATTGCAGGTAAACCTCTTCATTGTTTCTTCTAAAATCTACCCAAGATTTTGTAACAAAAAGTTACAAAAAGAAACTCAGATATATCAGTCTGTATTTCATGCCTAATATTTCCTTACCAAAAGAAGCTTTAAAAAACCTAGTAAACTTGCTTGAAGCATGAACTGTTCTGTTAAGTATATTAATATTAATGTGACTTTTCCATGTTTCTTTAGTGTTCTTTGAAGTGGGCATTCCAGAACCCTGCTGGGAAAAATAGTCCAGTCTTGAAATAGTGATATGTTTTTAACAGATCAAAACATTTAGAGTAGTTTAGAAAACACCTGAATATTGTTGTTCTCACTGCTGAGTACTTTGTTTACAATTTCAGCTGTTTATAAATGAATATGAGCACATCCCATTTGAAGCAATAAGTTACCTTACGGGTGAGTGCAACTATGGAGGAAGAGTGACAGATGACTGGGACAGACGTCTACTACTGACTATGCTTGCTGACTTTTACAATATAGATATAGTGGAGAATTCACATTATAAGTTTTCTCCCAGTGGCAACTATTATGCTCCCCCAAGGGGCACTTATGATGATTACATTGAATTTATTAAGGTATGATTTTAATGTATGTAAAGGGTTCATATATTTAAAAAATATTTAGCAAGCTAAATTAATCTTGAGCACATTTCTGTCTATAGACAACTGTAATATATTACCTTTTTACTTTATAGAAAATAGTGCCAAATGAAATCCAAATTAAAAAATATATAATGTTCAGCATGCTGGGATAGTATTGGTTTGAGTGTAGATCTTTTTTCCCTTTACACTAGAAATAAATTCCTGCTGATTATTTGCAGAGCTATTCAATTCTCATATGATCTGCCAAACAGTGGAATTAATTGATTAGATTAATATTTCCTCAGTCCTAAATAATTAATTTTGTCTTATTATCTAGAATCTCCCTATTAGCCAGCAACCAGAAGTGTTTGGACTGCATGATAATGTAGATATATCAAAGGATCTCCAGCAAACAAAAATCACTTTTGAATCTCTTCTGTTGACACAAGGAGGAAGCAATCAAGGAGGGTCTAAAAGTGGTGGCGACAGCACTTTATATGAAATTGCAGATGACATCCTTAACAAGGTAATATGAACTGAAATAAATTATACTATAACTGCTTCAGAATTATTTTTCTGATGTTAGTCTGATATAATTGATATTGTTTAAAGTTCTCAATTATTAAAATTACAAAAACTTCATACTAACAAAAGAAGATGCATATTCTGAAAGTTGTAACTTTCCCAGTTGCAACATGTTGTGAACATTGGATGATCAGAAAGAATAAATGAAGAAAAAATGCTTTGGAATTAAACTTTCGGGTTTTTCTTTGAAGACGTTTCACTTCTCATCCAAGAAGAAGCAAAACGTCTTCAAAGAAAAACCAGAAAGTTCAGTTGCCTCTTGAAAAAAAGCACCTTTGGAACAACCATGACCTGGATGACTGAGAATCTCCATAGACACTTTGGAATTAAAGTGCTGCAGAAAATTGTTAAGAACACACTGAATTGATCATTTAACGGATAAAACAAGGCCAAATTGTTTCCTTGAAGTCCAAGTAATGAAGCTAGAACTTTTGACACATCATGTAAAAGCAAGAATCACCAGAGTGAGTCCACTCCTCACCAATGTGGAGTCTATTGCTTTAATTAAGCAAATATTGTATGCTGGCTTTCTGATGGCTCTATCCAACTATGTAATAAATCACCTGGAAGTTGAACCTACATACCTAATTACCGTATCTCAATTTAGACTTCTTAGCAAAATGCTTGCCAGATTCTTTAGGGGGCACTATTATGTCATGTTAAAAAATAAATGATTTTCACATTTGCCTATACTGAACTTGAATCTTATTCAGAAATATGGAAAGATATAAAAGTGCACTTGGTATTTATAATATATTCAATAAATATATCCCATTTATTAATATATAAATATGTATTCAATAATAAATGTTATTGCAGTAGGGACATATTTGCTGTAACTTGAAATATGAACAACAGTTGAACTTCAATGCCAAATTCCATCATACTCAAATAAATAAAACACAGCAATTCAAACAGAAAGAAAAAAAATCAATAACTTCTTTGTATGAGACAAAGAGTTATCATTTGTGGATTTTTTGAGGTAGATGAAGGCAGGAAACAGATACTACAATAAGTACTAGCATCTTACTTTATTGTCATCATAACAGAATATTTCAAAGCTAAGACAAATAAGGCAGGCCAATCTTGATTGCCTTTTACTCCATCCTGTCTTTCCAGAGCATTCTAATCTTTTTGCAATAGCTGCTGCATACTGCATTTAAATACCCAAATAGCCTTGGAGAAGGTATACAACATCTATTAGGAAAACATAAATGTAGCCTGGAAAAACAGGAAGAAGTGAGAAAAAAACTGCAGGAAATCAAACAGCTCAGTTCCTCTTAAAGGAATAGCTATAGCTAAAGTTGCATACAGGTGGGCCACAAACACACAGGCAAACAGGCGCCAAGGTGGTGGTGGAGAATTTAATGTAGCTTCTTATCTTCTGCTCAGTCACTCAAAAAATTGGAAGTTTGTTTCCTTCTCAGATATTGGTAGTCCTTGCTTAAAGATCCTAACTGGGATCAGAATTTTGGTCACTAAGTGAAGTAGTCATTAGGCAAAACATCAAGTGACTGTATTGCTTAGCAATGGCAGTTCCAGTAATCCTGGTTATTGTCATTAAGCCAGGATCACACCATTGTTAGGCCAAGAGTTTATGCTTCTGTTGCCATGTCGTGCTCTCTCTGCTTCAAATTCCCCTGCCCGCCTATCTCCTCCACCATCTTTGCCTTTCTGGTATCTGGAGCCCAAGTGGACAATCTCTCAATTTCTTCTTGACTAGAGAGCTTTCATTGGGTGGTGCAGACTGCCACCTGTCAGCTTTTGCCACTTGATCATCTCTGCTGCTTCAGAGACATCTAGATTGCCATTTTCCTCAACTGGAACTCTCTCATTTTAATAGCAATCTAACTTAATTAGTGAGGACCTGGGAGGCAATTAAGACACAATTCATTGTTATATATGTGCAGGTGCTTTGATCCAAAGTGGGAATGGAGTTTAGAACCCAACATCAGCATGCTTGCTGCATGTGTTAGAAGCTTGTTAGAGGAGCCATGAGTTTTCCTGCAATTGGTTAGTAACCACTTGGGATGTACCTCATCAAAGGCACTGTTTTTTTAGGGAGCTGGTGACAAGCAAAATAAAAATACCTGCGCCATGTCAGAAGAAACACTTTTCCTGCTTTGGATTGCTTTCTATTCATTATTAATTTATCCAACTACACTCAACAGAAATCTGGGTGTAACAAAAAGGAAATTTAAAGAAGAGTAATCTCCAAATCTCCAAATAGGGACGCAGTGGCTCAGTGGCTAAGATTAGAAGTTTGGCAGTTCAGCCATTCGAATCCATAGTGCCGTGTAATGGGGTGAGCTCCCGTTACTTGTCCCCGCTTCTGCCAACCTAGCAGTTTGAAAGCACGTAAAAATGCAAGTAGAAAAATAGGGACCACTTTGGTGGGAAGGTAACAGCACTCTGTGCGCCTTCGGCGTTGAGTCATGACGGCCACATGACCACGGAGACGTCTTTGGATAGCACTGGCTCTTCGGCATAGAAACGGAGATGAGCACTGTCTCTAGAGCTGGAAATGACTAGCATGTATGTGTAGTGGAACCTTTACCTTAATCTCCAAATACAATACTTCCTCTGTTCATATTGGAAAAGCTAGTACTAAAATTATATTTCATTGCTAAAAAGATCACTATATTTCCAATCTGAAATGAACAAAAGATTGTAACAGAGCAATAATTTATTGTTTTTATTTTGTTCAGGTTATTCCAAGGGATACTTCGACTACTGCTCCAGAAGATGGTGTTTACATCAATGGGCTATTTTTAGATGGAGCTCGCTGGGATAGAGCCAAGTTAGTAGTAAACGTTTATCGCATATACAGTAGTAAAATTGCTTCTTCACCTTTCATTGAATACTAATTTTCAACATATTTTTGTAATTTGACATCTTACATTCCCTTTTCCTAGCAAAATCAATAGGAGTAAAAACAGGGCCATCACACTGAGATGCAAAATGCTAGATAACCACCAACTGGCATGATGCAGAAAACCTGAACTATTTTCTGCCAGCTGTGGTGACCTGGATGTTTTCAACAGAGATATGGCACTCTAAAACAGGAATGCATTAAATTATTTTATAAAAGTCATGAGATGTAATATATACTATAGATTTAAAGGCAAATTTCTGTTTTAAAATATGGGGATAGTAATAAATATTCCAAATGATAGTTGGGTTTATGCGCTTCTTTACCACTTCACAACTAATAAGACATTCTTCTGTACTCCCATCTTCACCAGGTCGTTCTCTAACTGGGATGATCTGTCTACCGGTATTAATATTTGCTCAGATCATGGCTTCCGCTGGCTTATTAAGAAATGCTCTATTGCGTGTCTGGAAAAAGTATAAATATAAACTAAATGATAGGTTACCAATATGGACAGTACCCAGACACGCGATAGAGAACATAAATTTAGAGCAAAAGCAAGATAAGATTACATATAAGGAACTCCTTTATAAGGAAGGAGTCAGACTACAGTTAAAATCCATGGAACAATTAAAAGAAGAAGGGACTATTAAGACTTGGTTTCAATATGGACAGCTGCTGGCTAGATGGAGAGAAGATCAAAAAATTGGTATTTTGCAGCAGGATGAGAATTTGATAAAGCAAATAAGAGATGAAGGTCAAATGCACATAAAAAGGTTGTACAATGCATTATTGGAAATAGATTCAGAAACAGACTTAGTCAAGGGTTGTATGATAAAATGGGCACAAAATGTAGGTGAACCAATAATGATGGAAACATGGGAAAAGATATGGGTTAGAAATGTAAGATTTACACAAGCACAAAATTTAAGGGAGAATTTTTACAAAATGTTTTATAGATGGCATTTAGACCCAAAAAAACTAGCTTGTATATATCCAAATTTACAACCCAAGTGTTGGCGATGTGAGTGTGAAGATGCTACATATTTTCATATATGGTGGACATGTAAAAAGATTAAGGCTTTTTGGATAAAAATATGGTGGATTATTCAAAATATTTTGAAGAAAAAAATTAAATTTACACCACAGTTTTTTCTGTTGGGAATAGTTACGGATTGTACTGTAATAGAGACTAAGCTGGTTTTGAACTTAATAACAGCTGCCAGATTACTGGTGGCACAGTACTGGAAGAAGGAAGATCCACCTACTATTGAGGAATGGACATTAAAAGTTGTGCATTTGGCGGAAATGGCAAAAATTTCATCATACCTTAAAGACCATTCAAATGAGAGATATATATCGGAATGGAGAAAATGGATTGATTACATATAGAAGAAGTATCCGAATAAGAAGATTCATATAGCTTATGAATGAAATAATATTAAGTAGTTTATGTTTGTTTTCTTTTGAGTTATAAGGAGTTAAGGACCTAGGGAGAATATGAAATGTAATAATTTGTTAGCACATTTTAGTTCTTGGTTTGTGAATGCTATACCCTGTGCTCGTTCTGGGAAGTCTAGGGAGGGGGGTGGGGGGAGGGAGGGGAAGGGAGGGTGGGAAGGGGAGGGGGGGTTGAGGGGGGAAGGGTGGGGGGGTGAAAATGTTTGTATTTTTCACAAAACTTTTCAATAAAAAAAAAAATATTTGCTCAGATCATTTCCCTCCACTGAATTGAATAGGAAGTGGCATTCACTAATAACGTTACAAGCATAACCACTCTATGCTGAAGGACTAATCCTTAATGTATGGTGGAAGATCAAATTTATGATGACTGGAGTAGCTATAGTTTTCTTCTTTTTCCTAAATGTGTTATACTACATAAAACTTCATTCTTTTTAACTGTATTATGTTAGTTTTCCACAGTAGTTGTTGTTGTTTTTTCACCAGAGGGCTCCTAGGTGAACAACATCCCAAAATTCTCTTTGACATGATGCCCATTATTTGGATAAAACCAGGTAAGCAATTTTTTTGAAAATAATTATTTGAAAATGTTGCAATCCCGTATCTCTTGCAATAAATTAGTGGATTCAATTCCTTAATGTTAGATTACTAATTACTTTACAAAGTTTAAGTTACACAGCAAGATGTCCTAACTGTCAATACAAAAATTGTATTGTTGCCAGCATAGCAAAACTATATGCATTTTCTATATGTAATGGTACCTCGGTACTCAACTGTTTTGAAACTCATTGAATTTGGAACTCAACACATTTTGATGTGAAAATGTCCCAGTTCTTATTGTTTGTTTGGTACTCAATGTACAAGCTAGAACTCATCAGTGTCAGCTGCCTTGTAACCCATTACATTATTCCTTATGGGAAAAAATTGTTTGGTACTATCATTTTTGGTGGTCATCACGCTTCCTGGAACCAATGAATGACAAGTACTGAGGTACCCCTGTGTATTTTCATTTCCCTTCCCACTAAAATTTTCCTACATGCCAACTGGGAAAAACAAGAACCAATTGCTATCCCTTATGTAGTAGTGAGATATGGTTCTAGCAGAAACAATTTTATAGTATTGATAGTTCTGCACCATTTCATTGTCTTTCAGATAGATCACCTGGAGCTCTTGATCCATGGTGGTGGGGTGGCAGAAGCTGCTTCAATGCAGCCTCCATCATCCTATCTTTGTGGATCAGTGCTGTAGGTGACTAATGTGATGGTGGTGGTAGCTGACCAGTGTCATGGCTGTGATGGGGGAGAGGGACAGGAATATTATATGGCATGTGTGTGACCCTAATACTCATTGTTGCAACTTAAGTGTTTCATAGGAGTGATCCATAGGAGAACATGTGGATATGCACTAAATCTGTCAATTGTTGTAAATTTATATGTACTTACAAACTATTTACAAAAATTTCATTATGGTCTTTCAGTATCAAATGCAAACAGTTAATTGGCAGGGCTATTGGTTCCTACTTTTAAATGTTAATATGTCATTTATGGCCTGTCATAGTCTTTCAATATGCATTTTAAACTTGCTGTTTACATTACTGTAATATATTGCATGCAGGGGGGCAGTAGCTCAGTGGTTAAAGATACTGAGCTTTCTAGCTGACAATCAAAGTTCAAGACCCCAGCGCTATCCAGCAGGGTGAGCTCCATTACTTACTTCAGTTCCTGCCAACCTAGCAGTTCGAAAGCATGCAAGTGCAAGTAGTAGATAAATAGGTCCCACTTTGGTGGGAAGGGAACACCATTCCGTCAGCCTCAGTGTATATTCATACTGGCCACTTGACTACAGAAATATCTTTGGACAACACTGGCTCTCTTGGTTAAGAAACTGAAATGAACCACCAGCCCATAGAGTCAGACGTGACTGGGCGGGGGAAATCTTTACCTTTACCTTTAATATATTGCATGTAAGGTCATTGACTATTACAAGAAATCTCTCTTGTAACATGACATCAATATTCTAGACAAGGATTCATTGATCTGAATATTTATCATTATTTTAAAAAACAAACCTCATATGACAGCATTTATTTCTAAATACTAGTTTATGTGTTGCTTTGATGTCTAAAGCCCTAAATCACTTTGGACCAGATATTTCCTCCCATAAAAATCAATTCAATCTCAAATGTTCTTCAGAAAGCATTATATTTATCGAAGGCAATTAAAACTCATCCTTTTTGGTGGTGCCAGTTAATTCAGTCTGTGCTCAGATAGCATTGCTATTGAACTTTAGGCACTAAATCAAGGCATATTCCCACTCCCCTTTTTATGTTAATATTTGTTTGAACATAAACAGTTTTTAACTATAATTTTATTTTATTCTCAAATTGCTACTGTCAAAGAGGGTTTTTTTTAAACATGCAACTAATGTAAAGGAATCCCATCATACTCAAAACTAAGATGTCAGGGAGAAGTATACTGTAAGAAGTTAATCCATAATATTTCACTTTTATTTATTTATTTATTTATTACATTTTTATACCGCCCCTCTCCCGAAGGACTCAGGGCGGTGTACAGCCATATTAAAACAAACATATACCCATAAAATTTAAAAACAATTAAAATATATTAAACTTTGGCCCTTATATTAAAAACCTTATATTAAAAAACTACAGACACCCAATTAAAATTCATTTTCTCAGCCAGCTCGGCCTGTTTAAACAAAAGGATCTTAAGGGCACGGCAGAAGGTACATAGGTCGGGGATTATAGTCATTTATAGTCACATGTTTAATTGCCCACCTCAAGAGATGCAATGTGTGTGGTTGTTTTTTTCCCTCAGTTTTACTCCATCGTGCTGCAATGCAGTTTGTAAGCTGTAGGCATTCAGTATTTTTATTTCATGTTATCCGCAGTTATTTCATCTTACAGAATATTTCCCTTGCAGCCAAAACATCAGAGCTCAAGAAAACAAATGCATATGTGTGTCCGCTGTACAAGACAAGTGAACGCAAAGGAGTCCTTTCAACAACTGGGCATTCAACTAACTTTGTCATTGCAATGAAGTTGTTAACCGACCAGCCAGTCCAGCATTGGATCAAGCGAGGAGTTGCTCTACTTTGTCAGCTGGATGATTAATTATATAGAACTCAGATCAGATGAGACTAATTACTCCATATTCATAGCTTTCCCTAGAACAAAGGACTGTCTAAATATTTTGATCATTTAGACTTTCTGGTAACAATATTTTACAATAAACTGAACCCATTCTTGTTTATTGATGTTTTTTCTTCTGTTCTTTTATAAGAAAAGTGTTTACTATGCAAAATATCTTATTTAGTGCATCATAATTCATTTTGAAGTTGTTGAAAAATAAATTTCCTTTTGCTCAAAAATGTTGCTTCCTTTCAATTTTTAACATTTGAATATCTAAAATATTTGATTAAGTCTGTGTTGATTTCTGCTTTCTGTACAACTCTTCTGCTTTTTTGGAGGGTGACAAACTCTGGAAAATGAATTAGATTAAATGGACCATTCTTTTGCAGCCATGTTTCTTCATCTTCTGTGTGTATGTGTTTTTTTAAATATAAAACCATTCCACTTCACTACTGATGTGTGGATGGCACATATTTTTACCTCAGAGTAGCTGGAATTAGTTCTTGATATAGAATAGAATAGAATAACAGAGTTGGAAGGGACCTTGGTGGTCTTCTAGTCCAACCCCCTGCTTAGGCAGGAATCGATCATATTGTGGAAAGAGTTGTTATGATAGCATAATCAATAATGTGTGTTGTGTGTTGAGGCATCATTACAATCCAAAATTAGCAGGCATCACAGAAAAAGCAAGAAGTCAATTTTTAATTATGGACTGTTTTAGAACAATAGCCTTGTTTTTGCAACATGCTTACCTGGAGTGCAGGGGCAGAGTAGAACTATTTAATGGAAAATAAACTTGCCCTTCCAAATTCTGTGATTGAGAGACTATCCTAGAGGTTCTCTGCAGAATTAGTGTTTCCTTAACACTTCTTTGATTCAAGTGCATCTCCTATTTATACAGTAATGGCTGCTAGTACCAGAGATGTACGTCTGGTTTGCATAGTTTTGGTCAATTTTAATGAAGAATAATACCTGGATTCTGTTGTTGCAAATAGGCTTTTTGGTTTCTGATATGATGTGTATTTGATATTTGCTAACATTCAAACTGAACTCTCCCCCCAAATTCAGTTCATATGCAATCCTCTAAAGAGGGCTGTAAAGCACTGTGAAGCGGTATATAAGTCTAAGTGCTATTGCTAAGAGAAAACATAGACTTCATGGTTCATAATGAATGAATCAATGTCCTTCATGTTTTTCTATATACGACTAGTTCTCTGGTACTGAATAACTTCCCAGGTTCTTGCTGCTTTAATTATATGCCGTGCATTTAGGAATTTCCTGAAATGAATTAAATTTTCCTGACAGTTATTACAGTCTGATTTTAAAATGCCTGTTCTTTGAATACTTTTTGTTATTCATACATGTGGTTCATTTGCTGACCCTCACTTAATCCATATGTCTTGTCTGCAAGAGAGAATGTCTTACAGTCAGATATTTATAGTGAGTTATTAATGGCTGCAATGATGCAATGAGCCCAGGATCATTTTTCAATACAGCAAACATCACATTTTGGTTTTGACACTTGCTTAGAGTGAGCAGTCTGTGTTGCAAATGTGGGAGAAAGGTGAGGAAAATGTGTGTTGTCATTATAAAAAGTTCTCCCAAACCTTAGCTTCCTAAGCTATTTCTAAATAATAAAAGTTAAACGTTGGCATTTCTGGAATGTTGTTTTTTACTATTCCAGGAGTAACACAAGTGTGTGTGCGTGTTTGAATTTGCATGTTTTGCTTTTTATGCGTTAGCATTCCAAAGAGAAAAAGAGTTTTGTGATTTTCCTGTATCCTATAAACGTTGTTTAATAATTTTTAACACTTTTTCAATATTTAGGCATGTATTTATGCATTTATTTTGATGCAGCCAAATGAAAATACAGTATATCTCAATACCATTGACTTTAATGGGGGAAAATAATTGAAAACAATGCCAGTTAAAATGTTCCACTTTGGCTTTATTCTCTCACTAATTCTGTTATTATGGTGTAAGCCATTTTTAATATACAACAGAGAGTGTTTCCTGAACAGTAATAGACTATTAAATCAAATGCTAGTGATTTTTTTTTACAAGGAAACATCCACATTGCAAATGATATTCCTTGTTTGTTAATAAAATCGAGATGTTCTGCATCTCTTTCCACTCAGTCTAAGCAACTTTCAGCTGAACTGTTCCTTCTTAATGTACCTGACCCAGCACTTTCTTTATAGATACAGCAAATATGAGCAGAGTGAGGAAGGGCATTGCAAAAGAGATCAGTAGTTGAGCTTAGCAAGGGTGGGGGCAGTAAAGATAGGAGAATGAAGCAGGAGGAAGAATTGAGCCCTCGAACTCTGGGTTCTTTGGCATAGGTATGTTCTCAGAAAGAGGAGCAAAAAGAAGTCAAATTGATAATCTGCCTAGTGTGATCCTGATGGTTTTAGTGTCTGTCAAGTTAATGCTCAAAAAGAGATTGAGACAGGACGGTTAAGAATTCTTTGCTTTTGTTTATCGTTATACATCTCTATGTCTCTAGCTAGAAGTTTCTAGAAGTTGCAACGTAACAATTAACCCCACCTCATTCTGTAATTTAAGATATGTGGTTTTAACCTGTATGATACTACAAAAATGCATGATGAGGAAGCTGAGGATGACATCCCTATTCAGCTTGTCATTCAGCAAAGCCTACATGACATACCCCGGAGCAAGACGGTGACTACTGCAAAGAGTGACAGGTGTGCCCTGCCTTTGATATATTGTTTCTAGCATCTGTTAAAATGTTTCTTGGAACAGAAACTGTGTAATTTTTGAAATACAGTTTCACAGAATGCTGTGCAACTGTTCACAGAATATTGTTACAGGCATGGGATTTCCATATTTTGTATGTTTATGTGATGATTTTTGTATCTTTAGGACGACACATATTTTTATTTATAAATGTGGCTAGTATCCATTTAATATGAAAAATTTCTCTCCCCCCTGAGAAAGATTGACATAAATGTATAAATTATAAACTACCTATTTTGTTTTATTTTCCATTATAATGCCAATTACAATGTTTTTAACTTTGTGTGTTCTGTTTTTGTTTTTAATGTTTTATTAAAGCAAAGTATTGATCTTCCGCTGCTTCCCTCTAAAGAAGGGTAGGCAGTAGTTTTACAGTTGTGGATAAACTTCCTACTCTGGTAGCCAAGATCGATACGACGAATGACAATGAAGTGACTGATGATCTCATCAGAAGGACAGGCTGTTATTTTTCTTTTTTAATGTTGGTTTTAAGTTCCTTTTTGATTGTTAAATAAATTCATTAATCTTGTTTCAGTCTCAGTTTGTAGGAAAAAAATACCAAAACTTGTGCCACCCCTGTTATTGGGCAACCTGTAGTCAAAGTTTGGCAGATTGTTCTCTGGTGGCTTTGGGAACTGCAGTAAATAAATCAATGAAAAATAAGGCACAGGGGAAGCCATGAATTGCTTGTCATCTAGCTCTTGTCTACGGGGCTATTTTATTTTAGTTGAATAGACAGAATTACTAAATGCTATTTTCCTAAACATTACCATATTTAATTATAGTGAGGGAAGGGTAGGCATTCCCCCCCATCCTTTCAAATAATTTCTATCATCCAGTCCCCGAAGCCTTATTCTGGAATGTTGTGACCTCTTAATCAGTAGAATGTCTCAATTTTCCTGCTTCATTTTCGCCCACAGTGATAAATTCCTGTGACTTCACTTTCTTCAGAAATTAGTAGGCCCCAGAAACAGGCGGACACAACTTGTTCCAGGCCAAGACCCCCATGGTGGCTACTTTCCAAAGGACATGATGCAGAGTCAAAGCAAAATGATGTTAGAATTTATGTTCTTTAACTTTCATGACAATAAAAGACAGTTAATAGGATTACTCTCCAATTACATATTTAACAATTTGACCCTTTTATTGGGCTAACAACAGTTTGGTGGTTCAAACTTTAAAAATCCTTTAGGAATCAGTCTTGAGAGTTTTAGGAGCAAAGAAGAAATAGTAACAGTCACTATTGCAATGGAATGCAATTATTCCATTCAATGAGAGAAAAGCAAGAAGAATGGCACATGTGTTGTTTAATGACAGGAAGGCCTAACGTACAGAGTAGAGCTCTGAATTCAATGAGATAAAAGACAGTGTTGAAAGAATAGAGGGGGAAATAGGGGAAGTTGTACTAAGTGATTTATATAGTTTTCAGCCATAGAAAGCAGAAAGAGAAACAAATCAGCTCTTTGTGAAATAATAAATAAATAAAGGCAGAATTTGATAAACTGTGGCTTTCACGTGCACACACATACACACTAAATACCTTTAAACTGAATCCTTTTCCTAACTAGACATGCCTGCAAGAATCCTAGTGCTTTAATGGTTTCAAATGTGACCAAAGGGAAATCTTCCCTACAACTAGTGAGTTGGATATTTTGGCTTGACTATAGCATTCGGGTTAGACACACCTTGAGTCAAATTCTCTATAGCCCAGAGAAAGAAAGGCAAGTCACATTAATAGGTCTCACTGAACTTCCAAATCAATGGGTATTGGCATGTTAGTCAGATACAACTACCATGAGGATACAAAAAAATAAAAAATATAAAGCACTAGGGAGTGACATTTCTACTCTGGTAGCAGTTAAAAGTGTAGGTAATTGTCAAGACATGTAAACTCAAGTCAAAGAGTTTGGTAAACTATTCTCCATTCCAGAATACCCCGGAAGTTTACTCGCTAGGTGTATAGGACAGTAGTGGTATTCACTTACCTTCGCTACCGGATCAGAAATGTGAATGCTCATGCCACCTGTGCATGCGCAGAACGATGACGTCCAGGTTGGTGGACGGAGCCTCCTGCCGGTGCCACTACCAGTTCTCCTGAACCAGGTAGAACCGGTAGAATCCCACCATTGGTATAGGACCTGTTTTTTCTTGCATGAAACACCAATACATTAAATATACAAATTAAATCTTTTCTCTTTTTTCACCATTTTTTGCAGTTTGAAATTCAGTGTGATATGATAATATTTCTGGCTTATTTGACTTTTTTTTAATGCTGTTGCATTCTGTTTTCAGCTTTTGTTTCACAACAAGTCCAGATTACAGAAAGATCATCACTGCCATTCGGACAGTTAAGTAATAGGTTCAATTTTCTTGGGAATTTATAAAAATACACAAATGAACTCAATTAGTTGATACCAACCCTCATGTGCGGAGGAATTAAAAGTAGCACCTGCAGGTGTGAGGCAGCCTTTTATTATGTTAACAAGCGTTTGTTACTCATTACTAAAACAAAGTGGTCTTTGAGTTTAAAGAACATAAATTGTAGATCTTTCATACTCGTAACAGGTGAAGAAGAGTCTTTACTTAAGTTGATGAGGAATGGATCTGCTTTTCAGGAAGTAGACTCCCAAGGTTGGCTTCCTCTTCATGAAGCAGCAGTACAACCAAACAAGAATATTCTAGAAATTACTTTGAAAGGTAATGTCCCTTTGAGGACTATGTATGTCAATTTCATATATGAATTTATCAATTCAAACAAAACTCTCTCTTTCAGCCTCACATCCTACTGTCTGGCAACAGACCAATCTAAAAGGAGAAACTCCTCTGTTTCTAGCTGTGGACAAATGTCTTGTGAAAAATGTCAATGTTCTGCTAATCAATGGGTTTGATCCTGATACTAAGAATGAAGAAGAAGATTCTGCTTTAATTATTGGTAAACCAAATTGTATTGTTTGTCTGACATTAAACATTCCCAGTTATAAAATAATGATAGCTTGCATTGATTGAAAGTGGTTTTTCATGCCAAATTTAAGGATATAGTTGCCTATATGAGAAGATATTTTCTGCCTAGTGATTCATAATCCAAAAAAGACAATTTTTCTAAATATGAATGAAGAACAGCACTGTAAAATTCTTTTTTTAAAAGAAGTGAAGAACAGATTTATTTTAAAGTTTAGCACTTCATTTTGTGATTATTTTAATCATATACAAGTGACATTTGAGACTGCTAAACAAAGGTTTAGTCTTATATTCTCAGTGGAGATTGAATAGTTTAATAGCTGAGAGTTAAATGAAATTTTCAAATGCTGCTCTTTCTTATTTTAATATTTTACAGCAATTAAACATGAATCATATGAAATTGCTTCCTTATTGATACAATTTGGTGCCAATACCAATCTACAGTGTATCAACAAAAGGACAGCTTTACATGAGGCAGCCAGATTAGGCTTGAAAGATATGGTGGAATTACTGCTTTGGTCCAAAGCCGATCCAGATCCACGAAGTTCATATGGGCTCACCCCTCTAGCGTTGGCTGCACAGAATGGGCATACAGAAATTCTGGAACTCCTACTGCGTAAAGGTGAGATGTTCTGAATAAAACCTTCACTGTTAAATGTACTAATCTACAGAACAATTCTATTTCCTTGATATCAACAATCTAGTAATTTTATGTTGATGTAAACTAAACACAATAAACACCATATTATTTTTGATTTATTATTAAAAGCTTATTGCTGTTTTCACAATAGGTGCCAACATCCTTTCTCAAGCATCAGATTCTGCATCTATATTATTTGAGGCTGCTGGAGGAGGAAACCCAGATTCCATCTCTCTCCTACTAGAATATGGAGCTGATGCCAATGTCCCAAAGCAATCTGGGCATCTTCCTATTCATAGAGCTGCTTATAGAGGTCATTTCTTGTGAGTTAGAATATACTGACTCCATTTATGGAACTGGGGTGGGGGAAGAGTGAGGGAGGGAAAGTAATCTGTTCAACTTTGTGGTTTATCATATTTCTGATGAGAGAAACGTTTCTTTATTGTTTGTCAAATCCTGAGTTACTACGTAGAAAAGTCTTTTTTATCTTCAAAAGCTATGTAGAAAAAGCTTGTAGCTTTCTATGCACCATTCAACTGCTGACATTGTCCTTTCTACACATCTGTGAAAGGAAGTCCATTCTCTTCTGCATTTCACTGTCCTAGTCCTGTGACACAAAAACATTTGTAGAAGTTAGGCCAATTGATAGGGGGATTTTGTATCTGTTTGACATCATGACAAGTAACATACATTCTTTATATTTTATGTAAATATGAATATTCTGTTGCTATTAGAACAGTCTTCCACAGCTAAACTTATGAATATACCGTGTTCCCTCGGCTCCACACACACCCTTCTCTACCCGGCTGCTGCTGCTTGAGAAAAGGACAGGCAATTGTGGAAGATTGTGAGAAGTGCATGCATACAATAGAAGCAAAGCCCAGCCTGTCCCTTTTGAGCAATGAAATGTCTCTCTGTGGGTGATAGAGATGTTCTGTCCCCGTCCCACACGCACACACACCAACAGACGTCCAAGAGTTAAAAACCAAACCAGCCGACAAAATCCTTTTCCTTATGATAACGGAACTTGGCAGCAACCTAGTGGCTGCCTGCCAAGAGTTTATTACTCACGAAGGGAAGAGATAACTTCTCTCCGCTTCTGGTACATCAAAGTAAAATGTTCAGTTACAGAGTAACTTAAGTCCAAGTATAATCCAGCAAAGCCTATAGCAAAAGTCCAGCAATGCAGAATGGCGTGGAAGCTTTCAGCTTTGTTTGTCACAAGGCTTGACTGGCCACCACGCTCCCTTTTATACCCTGTGGGGTGAGGTCCAGTGACTCAGCCTAATCTCGGGCATGCCTTTTCTTCTGTTGCGTGCGCTTATCTCTGCAACCCTGGCATGGATCCAGCCAAGAGTCATTACTCTCATCACTGTCCACCTGTGGCTGCGTGGACATGCTTGGCCCTGGCCCTATCTCTTGCCCTTCGGTGGACACCGAAGGCATTGCCAAAGAGGAGGGTCCTGGAGAGGGAGGCCTTGCCAACTCCTCTCCTTCACTCTCAGAGTCCTCTCCTGCCGATGACACAGGCTCAGGTAATGGAGCCACAACAAGAGAGTAAAAGAGAGAACAAGAAAGAAAGAGAAACAATGGAGGGGAGTAATACAAATTGCAGGCAATGCTATTTGAAAGGGTTTCCTCAGTGCAGTTTCTCTTTTCCACTCCACTCCACTCCACCTGCCTGCCCGCCCACCACACCTGGGCCTGCCGGGCACCATCTGTCCCAAACCAAGTGATGGAGAGGCTTCAGGACAGCGACCTTAACCGTGGGCTGTGGTTAAGGGGCCCAGCAGCCATGAGGTGACCATGCTGTCTGCCTCCTACACCTTAAAAAAAAAAAAGACTTCCTCAAAAATAAGCCCAAATGCTTATTTTTAAGCCTAAAAGAAAATAAGTCTTATTTTTGGGTAGAAGAATATAGACCTGAATAGGCTGGATCAATACCATTTTGTTTCTTTTGGACTGCCCTTACTGTAGCTTCTTAAGGAATTTATTCTTTATAAAATTACTTGAAATAATCAGCTTGCATTTTTCTTTCTCCCTCTCTTCTCCCATTTTATTATTTGCTGATGTTTTTTAAGAATTTTTCCCCACTGAAATCCTTCTCTTTTTATATGCATTTTACTAAATGGCTAAAAAGTTGATAGTTGATAGAAACTCTTCTCTTACAGAAGGTTACAGCTCTTCCCTCTTTATGGTGATCTCAATGCCTTTTCTGGTAAGAAGCATTGAGGTATGTTTGAAGGGTTTGTTTGAAAGAATGTTTATCTTTATCTTATTGCTAGGGCTTTACAGATTTTGATTCCAGTCACAGATTTCAGTGTCATAAAGGAGAGTGGAATCAGCCCAGTTCACTCGGCGGCAGCAGGAGGACATTCTCAGTGTCTTGACTTTCTACTCAAATCTGGGTTTGATGCTAATTTTATGTTGCATCGAAGAATTCAGAAAAACTATGATGATGAGAGAAAGTCAGCACTGTATTTTGCGGTCTCTAATGGGGATATTGAGTCCGCTCATTTGCTCCTGGATGCCGGAGCCCTACCAAATCAAGACCCTGTTAATTGCCTCCAAGTGGCCTTGAGAATGGGTAACTATGAACTCATCAGTCTCCTGCTTCGCCATGGAGCCAACGTGAATTACTTTTGTAGAGTCAATACAACCCATTTTCCATCAGCTCTACAGTACACTCTGAAAGATGAAGTCCTGTTAAGAATGTTGCTGAATTATGGATACAATGTTTCCCGTTGTTTTGATTGTCCTCATGGAGATAGCAAGCATTCCAAGTACTTATTTGAAGGGTGGACCTCAACTGTTATCAAAGACACAATGGTAAGTACTTCCTGGGGGAGATTAATCCTTCCTTTATATGCTGATTGGTACTTATGAATTGCTCAGTGTTTAAGGGACGGTAGGATTTGTTTGGTCTTCAAAACTGAAAAGGATCATACTCTTTAAACATGCATTGAGCAGAGACATTCTATAGGATAAATGGCAAGTGTTTAGTTTTTTGTTTTTTTTTAATTTGATTTATATGCCGCCCTTCTCCGGAGACTCAGGGCAGCTTACAATGCGTTAAGCAATACCCTTCATACTTTTGTATATTTATACAAAGTCAGCTTATTGCCCCCACAAACTGGGTCCTCATTTAACCTACCTTAGAAAGGATGGAAGGCTGAATCAACCTTGAGCCTGGGGAGATTCGAATTTACAGTAATTGCAGACAGCTGGTGTTAATCACAATGCTTTTAGTCTGCTGAGCCACCAGGCCCTTATTTCAAAATAAGTTATTTCAAAAGTGTCTGCTTGATATTTTGTGAAATTATATTAGATGTATGGTTATTTTGCTTCGTTTTGCTGTTGATTTAGTCTGGGATGCATCAGGCACTTTATAATATAAGGCATTAAATGCTGTGTTCTCATGTTTTTTTTCTTAGTTCTGTGAAGTAATTACACTGTCATGGTTAAGGCACCTGTCTGGGAAGGTAGTGCGAGTGATGCTAGATTATGTAGATCATCTTAGAATATGCACTAAACTTCAAGATACTCTTCGAGAACAAAAACTGTGGCCAGAAATCAATGCAATTTTGTGTAAGTGTCAAATAAAGTTATCAGCAGACATTATAGAATGTAAGGATACTTGATACAATGCACTCTAATTTTCAAATTGATGGAGCCATTCTTTATGTGCCATCAAGTCAATTACATATATACCGTATTTTTTAAAGTATAAGACGTACCTTTTTCCCCCCAAAAAGAGGGTGAAAATCTGGGTGCATCTTATATTCCGAATGTAGACCTGCCCAGCTTGTCAAATGGAGGTTTCAGAGGCTGAAAAAAGCATCAGAAACGAAGCTTCAGAAAAGAAGCCCCCAAACAGAGCTTCAGAGGCTTTTTTTCTGAAGCTGTTTCGGAAGCTTTCAGAGGAAGAAAACAAAAGTTTTTTCTGAAACAGAGTTTCAGAAGTTTCAGAGGCAGAAAAAAAAGCAAAGCAGAGCTCACAACCAAGGAGCCTGTTGCTAAAATTCACCTTTGGGAACAGCTGATTGGGGGTATTCCAGGAGGCTGATCCACCTGCCAATCAGCTTTTTTCTTATTTTCCTCCCCAAAAACTAAGGTGCGCAATATACTCTGGTGCGTCTTATACTCTGAAAAATATGGTATATATTTTCCATGACAATATGTTCCTGACATGATCTTTCAGGACTTCCAGCATTGCACTCCCTGCCAGTATAACAGAGTGTATCTACCTTGCATAATTTTCAAATTAGTAGCTGTATTATTTTGAAAACTATTTTTACTACTATATATGATTAGAATAAACCAAAAGGTTTCATTTTGGTAAATATCATTTAAAACAATTTGAATTATTTAAGAAATACTTTCAACATTGTATTTTGACAGTATCTCCCCATTACTAAATATGACTGGATTATTTTTTTTTTACTTCATTGAAGGAGAGATCACAATAACCTACTGATACACAGCATAAAAAATCTTTACACAAAGAAATCTCTTTAGTTACTACTTATTAGTGATTAGTAAGTAGTACTTTCTTCTTTGCCTCCTCAGCATTGAAAGTGCTAAGGCATAGAAGAAAGTAGTATCTTCTAAAATATCTTCTAGATCTAATTTCCTCATATAGTTTTATCATTGCAATTACCAGTTAAAAAATTTAAAACTTGCCACATTGAATAAAGAACACATTGAGCACAAATACCATCCCATGATGGATGAAGATCCCATATTAAATGTATTATAACATACCAATCAGACCTGTAGTCAATTTCCGGATGTAACTACTTGTGGCAGGTGTTAACTCATGCTTTATTCCAAGGGCCTCCCTTAAATGTACCAGTGTCAAAACTCAACTCCTCTGGGCTCACAACAATCAATCAAAGAAATTATAATAAAATCAATAAAAGATAAACATCAAAGAAGTGCAATGAATAAGGAGTCTCATTCTCCCTTGCCAAAAGTCTACGTGAAGACCAGACCTTTAAGTCTCTGCTGAACAGTAGAGTTTGTGATGGTGGTGGTGGTGGTGTCAGAGTCCAGGTCAGAGCAAATCTGACCAACTTTATCCATCCAATTGTCTCAATAATCCTCACAGTGAACCAACAGATATTCTGAGGGACTCTCCCTACCCAATAGGAACCAGGTTAATAATCTGAACAGGAAGATGATGTGATCAATTCCTTTCCCATCACTTTTATCTCTTCATCCAGCTCTTTCTTATGGGTTAGGAACAGATGTAGGAATGGATAATTCATATTACATGAATTTTATTTTCAGCAAACACACGTCCTTTGCAACATCTTTGCCGTTTGAGAATCAGAAAATGCTTAGGACGCTTACGTCTGCGCTGTCCTGTCTTCCTGACATTTCTGCCATTACCAAACCGTTTGAAAGAATATATCCTCTATAAGGAGTATGACCTCTATGGACAAGGACATCTAAAAGGATTCTACTAAGTCAAATGCATAAAAGTGCAGTTGGAAGATATTCTATATATAAATGAACAAAGATATTAAAGCATGTTTAAAATAGAATTCCAGTTGGTACTAACATGTCTGCTTGCTTTATACTTCAGTACAAAAAAGTACTCAAACCTCAATGCAGTTTTGCAGATCTGATTTATGGCATTTTTATTTGCAAAGATATATGAACTAACCATGTTAATTTGAAATATCTAACACCACAGATGTAATTTATGTAACAACACTCAAATGATATACTCTGGGAGCAGATGTCCCCAAACCTTGTGATACCCTATCTTCTGATTTCAATGGACATCTCAATTGGTCCAGGAAAAAGGGGTTCCCTATAATATAGATTCTATCTGTGGAGGGGGTTCTCCTTGCAACCCTTCATATGCTCACCAAATCCACTGCAATTATTTTTCCATCTTAGCTGCAAATATTGAAAGCAGTTTCTTAAAGAGTTAAAGACAAAAGTGTGCCTTTTGCTCATAGGTGCCCATATTGGAATGAAATAATTGCATGCTGTTTTAACACATAATATTTTCAAGAAGTACAAGCAGGGCATAACTATACTGCCTAATCTTGACTTTTTCTTTACAAATACTGTTGAATATTCCCTCTAGAAGGAAAACAATTTGCATGTGTAAGGGGTGTTAATTGGCACCAAAAAAAGTAGGTCATGTATACACTGATGGAAAGTCTTTTGGTTTGGTACTTGTATTTTTAAGCAAGACTTCTTGTGTATCTCTTAAAACTTATATTTAACTTTTAAAATTTGGCTTTCCAAGTGAAGTTTAGTCTTAGATTTTGTATGTGTGCTATTCAGAGATCCCTTAATAGCCTAAGTTTCTATTGCCCACATCCTTAAGATACAACTTAAAATCCTATAATGTGCCTTTTTTATTGAGAGTATATTTATTGCAACTTCAAAAACATTTCTTTTACAACCCCAAAAGGTTTTCTTTGAAAAGCAGTGTTGTAAATGAAGTATGTATTTCCAAAATAACTGAGGTCTTGTCATGTACCTTTACATTACAGATGTAATGAAAATTGTATATCGTCTTGTGTATTGCCTACACTTATTGTATATATTTTTAGAGTTATTTGACATAAACACAAAATATTTAAAATATTTATCAAATCGTATAATGTCATAAGTATAGCTTTATCTTGCCTAAGAAACTGCAACCACTAGTTGAACAAACAATATTTACAGATCTAATTTTCACAGAACATAAAATTCTTCTTCTATATTCTAATCAAATAAAAATAGGACACCAGTTGTTAGTTTTGTTTTATTAAGTACAATAAATGAATCTCTATTATATGGATATTCTTCCATTACTGACAGATTTAAAATGCATTTCACAAAGGTATTTTGAAATATATGTTTCCAATATATGATGTGCTTTGAGGAACAAATGCTAAATATTTACATAAATATTGTAGAAAAGCATCCTCTAAAATTGACTGGATTTTGCTGAAATCTTTCCCAAATTGTTTTATTAGTATCAAGATTTTACTTTGCAACTGACAATATCGAGCACACAATCACTAAATATTAAGAGAAATATTAAGAGAAATTAAGAGTTTTAATTAACTTTCAATTTAAAAATCACAGTCACTGAAACAAGACTAAAATATTTACTTTCTGATTAATTCACTGTATTATAAAAGACACCCCAAATTATTTGTACAAACCTCTTGGCTCATTTATAGATTTTATTATGGAACATTATTTTCTCAATTACATGATGGATGATTAGTCCTACACCATGTCATGATCTCTGATTGCCTAACAATATCCATGCATGAATTAGAAAAACATGTTCCTGTGTGCAATTCAATTTCCCCAGGAGTGTGAAGGACATTATGCTACAGGGGAGGCAAAAGTTTTGTTCAAGCAGAAATGTGCTTAGTTAGCCCATGTATTTGTAGAAAGAATGTGATTTCAGTTACAGATGAAAACAAAAGAAAAATAAACTGGATAATAATTTCGTTGAGCTATCACAAATAGCAATCTTGATTTTTTTTTAATCAATCCTATAAAATTAGTTGAATGCCTCTGGTTTACAATACATGCAAAATATGTTTCTATAGTTCATCAGAGATGAATATCTTATTCAAAGAAATATAGCAATTTTAACTTGAATGTTGTCCTTAGAAATATGATTCAGTACAGAAGGCAACTTAGAAACTACACTTGTCTAGCAACAGAACACAACTGCCAAGTTCATTTGTGCCTTGACTACATAACGGTATATTTGTGTATGCAAAAGCAAATCTCACTCAGTTCAGTGGAGTTTACCTTCAGAAAAATGAGAAAAGACCCCAAGGTCTATCTGCTGGCTCCAAGCAATAAATCAATCAGACAGCCAAATCATACTTTTTTTTTCTACTCAGAACATTCCTGCTGGAAAATCTAATATGGGAATTAGAGCTACTGAATACAATCCATACAAGTTGGATTTTGTAAGTAACTGCAAATAGGTACATTCGAATTCCAGAGCAGTAGCCTGTGAACTGTTTTATAATAAAGATCATTTGTATTATTCACATTATAATACATCTTTACAGAGAATATACACACTATCAGTTTAAAATGAACTGGTGATTTACTTTAAATGTATGATTTCATAGTATTATGTGGTTTAACAGCTGTAAACTGTGGATAAACAACTGCAACAGATATTGCCAAATTTCAGTGAGATGGCCTAAAATAGAACTGAACATATGATTTCCATATCTGCAATTTTATACTCAAGTTGAAATATAAGGAAAGCTTTCGAAAACTGGCAAGAGACTTCTCAATGAGCAATCACAACTCCTTTATTTCTTGGGTCTCCAAATATCTTCTACTCCTTTGCAATTAGAAACAAAGAACGAACATCCGTACTTGAGCTCAAAAGATTTTCCAGCCAAGGTTAACTGGCCGTCAACAGTTTTTTCTCCAAAGTCTGTGATCTGCCTCCAATTTCCATACAATTTCTGCTTGCAGATTTCAATATAAAAGAGGACAAACTTACAATATCTCTGGTATACTAGAACTGGAATGAAAAATCACTGCATGCTTGTAATACTACATTTCTCACTAATTAATAAGCTGATATAGAATTACAAGTACCTGCCTGATTTTTCTCAGATTTAGAAACTATGTGCAATTTGTATGTATTTCTATCACATGTGGATTTAGGTAAATATCACAACAGGTGTTAGAAAAATTATCTAACAGTTTTTCCATGCAAATGATTCTATCACCAACATAATCTCAAACTTTTGCTAATGAGAAGACACTTACAAAACTTGATTCCAATAATCATGGCAATTCTGTTAGAAGTGTATGCACTTTATTCTCATCTAGACATTTAAAAATCAATTTGTATAATGTTACAAATATACACAGTGCATTGACACGCCAAAGAACTTTCCAGTGTTTGGTTGAATGTCTTTGCCACCCTCGACAAAAGTGCTCTATGGATACAGAGGAGAAGCCAAGATCACTACCAGCCAGTACAATTTCAAGTAAAAATGATATTCTCATATTTCATCTTAAAACAATATTGCAGTGACACTAATTTCCTTGAACTCATACACTCTAGACACAGCACATGCTTATCAAAAGCATTACTTAAAAGTTATCAGGCTGCTTCCATTATTGACCTGACCATTTTTAGGAATCAAAATTGGCTGTTTGCTCAGAGGCTTAGGACACTTTGAAGACTAATATGACTTAATTATTATGAGATCAAATGTTAGTATTTAAAAATAGAACAAGGCTCTTTATTTTACTGCAGGAGACTAAAACAATTAACCACTCTGAAACCAAAGAAAAGAAACTGAAGATAAAGATTTTCTACTTCTTAAATTACACAAATTACTTTCTAAGTCACCAGAACAGCTAGGTAATTGAAACAGAGTAAGTTCTGTAATATCCAAATCTGCTACAGCCATGAACATTTCACTACATTTCTTTATGGTATGAGAACAAAAATCCATATTTACACTGAGCCATTTAAGAAAGATCAACCTTAATGAGTGAGAATACAGAGTTGGATCATGTAAAACAAATTTACATGATTTGTTTTGTAAATCGTAAATTTACATTTCAATTTATCATTTCAGACAAGAGGTTCAAAGGCTTGCACTGAAGGTGCTTCATGCATCGGATTCTTGCTTCTTCTTTCCATCTTCACCCAAATCACTGTCTTCTGATGGGCTATTGCTAAGAACTACAAACTGTCCTTCACCAACACTCTGGTTGGTTCGACTAGAAGCAGCAATTAATCGACTTTGCTCTTCTAAATCCTGGAAAAAAATACATTTATTGATTTATGCATAAGCTATGTGAATATTACTTTAAATAGTAAATAATAAAGATATTATTATTGGCAACTATTTACTGTGGTCAGTAAGCCACACACTACAAGTAGTCCTTGTTTGATGACCACAATTGGCTAGAAAAGGATTACAAGAGAATAAATAGACACAAATTGGAAATACACATTGAAAGCGATGTGCTTGTGCTGCCAGCTAGGAGAGTATTATGCAAACAGCCCAATGTATTCCCCATTGTAATCCTGCTTACTCTCTTGTAATCCTTTCTTCTCCAACGACACTTTGCTAGCAGAGGAAAAAAAGAAAAACAACATGTTAGGCTCACGACAATGTATACTGATTGTAATGGTGATCATTTGACTGAAGGACCTCACTGACATTAATTTTGAATGGTAAGCAATGACTACCTGCATTAAAAATGAATTACCAAGATTCACCTACCTGAACATAAAGCTTATATAGGGCTATACAGAACTTCAATCATTCAGCAACTTTCAAGAATAAAATCCTGTGAAGAATATGATTCATGCTAAGTAATACTTCTGGTGCAGTATTCTGTTTCCAACTTGTGAGTCACAAGTCTCCTGGCCACTCAAAGTAGGCCATTGCTTGTCAGGTTCTAGCAACTAGTAATTTTGTACTACCTCCAATGTTATCCATATAAAAATGTCTACTTTAATCTAAAACCAATCAATATCAGCATTGTGAGGAAAAGTAATTTCCCACGTTTATTAAATAAAATGCTATTTTGAAAGTTCAAAAATCCAGTTAAACCTTGATCAAATGCATACCTTTTCAATTTGTTTCTGTTTATTGAGCTCTTTTTGCTGTTTTTCCTTTTCTCTTTCTATTTCTTTCTGCTTTTCTGATGATTTTCGATCCTGAAATTTTTTTAAAAGAACATGCCAAATACCAAAATGTAACATTATTTTCACAGAATGGATTACTACTTTGTTTTGCCTGAAAAATTGCCTGAATATAGGTTTTAACCAAATACTCTTTCTGCTTTTCAAAGGAAAGTGTTAAAAATCTTGGCTTTCACATCTTATCAGTATATCACATCAGTAATACAATAGAAAAATGAACTACACGGTAATTTAATTAAAGATTAAAAGACCAAGATGCTTACATAATTGTTTCTCCAAATAGTAATTTGTGTAGTCATAAAACACTCGGTCACTGTATGATTCTGCTTCTCAATTATATCTGATTAGAACTCACCTGTATCTGCTCAAGAAATGAAGAAATGCAGAGGCACCTTCTTAAAAAATATACTAGGATAGGAAAAAAGACCCTTCTTCTCCTCAAATCCAGCTAAAGAATGTAGAAGAGTAGTTCATATGGGCCCAGACCTCCCTCACAGTAATGCACGATGATCACTTCAAGAATCAGAATTACAGCTACCTATCCTTCTGTTTTAACATTGCACTTTATTGCACTTTATTTATATTTTGCAAGTTTTGCAAAAAAAAAGTCAACAAACATCCACAAGAAACTGGAAAACAAAACAAAAAAACCCCATATTTGGCACATAAAGACTTGTCGAGCCGCATACCAAAAAAAAGCAATATTTCCAAGAGATTTTACTTCCTGATTTGGACAATAAAGCAACATTCTTTTAAGGATTAAGAAGAATGTAAGTTGTATGTATAATACGGTAGTCCTCGACTTACACAATTGAGCCCAAAATTTCTATTGCTGAGTGAGACAGTTGTGAATGAGTTTTGCCTCCTTTTACAGTTGTCAAGTGAATCACTGCAGCTTTTAAGCTAGTAACAAGATTGTTAAGTGAATCTG